GTAGGAAGTGTTGTCACCTTCTGTCGAAATTTATTCGATCCCATTGAAGCCTTACCGCAACGATCGCGTCCTCTCTGATATGCACGGAGAGTGTCTCTTAAAGCTTCAGCATCTTCCAAACGCAATAATAGGAGCTGGCCGGCCATCTCTGGTTATCCAAAGTTTCAATGTAATGTTCCGCATGTTTGCGTTTCACTTCGGGGGAGCCATCTGAAACTTGAATTTTTGCTCGCATCCCAGCCACATTCAGCCGGTAGAGATATTAAAGTGGCGATTCATCCGAACGCTTCCGCGCATGATATATTGTCGCCAAAAGGAATCCCCCTGTCCACAAAATTCTTCCACGAGACTTTCCAATAACCTTTTCCATGAGCTCCTCGTGGATCTGCTTGATTGACGATGCCAAGTTCGAGCTGATCCAATTAGCAGGTCACCGAACACTATACATTTTTCGCTGTCTGGGGACTGATCGCGTAAGAAAGCGGACTTAACCTTACCTACCCAACTGATCGCTCGGTCTTCGTCTTTGTCTTTCCCCGCAAACGCTTTTAGATCCGAGATCGCTGACACGTGGAGCGAAACTTCCGATCCCCGATGACATCTCCGTAGTTGACACCAAAGGTCGTCTCGGTTCGCCAATCTTTAAATCATCAAAGTCGTACTCGCTCTGTTGGCTATGGTGCGATCCTACAGATTTCAAATCCACATTTGAAAATGCTTAACCTGTTTTTTTAGTCGGTGTCTTATTCACGCGGTAATTGTTCTCACCTTAAAATTTCTGCTCCTTCATTAAATTTATCCATGGTTGCATTGAAAAAATGCTGCATATCTCTAAACTTCATATTTTTCGTGATATCAGGTGTGATCGCGGGCGCGTCGTAGGATCAGGCTACGTCGTGATACGTGCCATGTGATACTGTAAAAAAGCTGCGCCATTCGATCCCAGCGACATCCGTAGATCCTATAAATCCTCTGACATGGCTTCAGACTCAGCTGACGCATATCGTGACGATCCAGTCAGATGTTCCCTGTGATCATTGATCTCCAATTTGCTTATTTTGTCGTCCAGATTGCATATACCCACCAGTAATATTAGCCTTTCTAAATAAGATTCACCGTGGTCGTGATACGATCTTGGGTGAAATCCAGGATATCATCAGCGTCAAGATTTCCCAACGTGAAATTGGCTATTCTCAGTAATTGAGTCAATCCTTGGATCGCATCAAATATACTGGATTCTTTCCCAAATGTTGACACTGGTCCACTCAACGCTCCAATCAGTTTCGGACGTGGCGTCCTCAACACAGGATCTTCCGATAAAGTCTGTTTAATATCCTTCCAGTATAATTGATTTGCCAGATGATCTCATTGAAAACTCACAGATTCTTGTTTCTTGATCGCGATCTTTGACTTGTCTTGATCGCTATCCGAGTTGAAGGTCTTCATTTTCTTTCGAGAGGACTTCGACTTTTTCTTCTTAGATGTGGTTCCTGAAGCTAAAGGAGTGGTGTTTAATGAAAATCGCTCGGTTTAACCGAAGGATTTTCATCCGGCAGATCGTACTTTACAGCACGATCTGCGGGGGTCCTCGAATGGACCTGGGGGGGGGGGGTAGAGGTTTTCTTCCAACTCAATTTCTTGATCTTCCTCTTTGATTTTCTTCTCAGCTGCTCCCCTCCCAAAACGCTGATGATCCGGGGATCCTTTTGTTTCACACGTCTGCGGCGATCCCTCTGTCGCTGACGCTTCAACCCCAGGTTTAACTTTGACCTTTACATCTTCTCTCGGGGACTCACGGTGAAATCCCGAGTCACCAGAAGATCCGGGACGCGCACCATTGTGGTGGAGTGGGATTCGCAAAATTGCTGATGCGATCCCAACTCTCCACTGGCGCCCGGACGACCGACTAACGGAGGGGGTACCCCGTATCCGTGTATAAATCCTTCCTCACCTTGTGTACCCATCGGTTGGGCGGGTTGCACTCTTCTCGGTGGACTTGAGTCGATGCTGATCCGAATTGGGTTAGGGACAGGGGGTTTTGGTGATCTTGTACAAATCTTCACAAGATCGACCGAGTACTTGGTGTGATCTTCCCAATCGATCACGATTATCCATTAAAGCGAAGCTTGAATCTTCTGACCACTTAAGCAAAACCTCTGACCACTTAAGCAGAACCTTCTGACCCCTTTATCCGTCCTGAACTTGCTTGCCTTGCCCTTACTCATTATTTCTGCATTCGATCGCAGTTAAGTTGTTGTGTTGAGAATTCCTTCGCCTGGCCAAAACAATCCAGGGTGCACTTGTAATCGATATTCTCCTCGTCGGGAGGCCAAATATCCTGCCCGAAATAGAGAGGTCGACACGTGTACTTAAAAGTAAATTGAACTCTGTTTAATGTTAAGCAATCAAATACCAAAACCTACGATTCTGCCTATCTGTAGCTCACGATCTACTGCCACGCGTCGCCTCCCTGGAAATAAATCAGTTCTCGTTAGGTGGTCCACTTCAGATATCGTCGTGATCTCGTCGATCCAATTTTCGGATTGAGGTTACGGATTAATCTGTAACCGATCCGGATTTGTCGTTTCGAATTTGTTGATCAGTCGATCGGGTGTATTCAGGTCGTGACTATGGTGTGTGGCCCACACTTAATACTCTTATATCGAAATTTTTCTGTGTTCTCGATCCTGTTGACCCCTCTTCCATCCGTCTCGCACGGCTTATTGGCCAATCAGAGAGCGAGATTTTATTAACAGTAATTACTTGATCGATCCCTTTCAAACCTCCGGGTCGCTCTACCACAGTACAAAGACCCAGGTCCCCTCGGGCTCCAGGGCCCGAGGGGCAGAAACGGTACACGGAACCCCGCAAATTATAAAAATTACAGGTACCCAGGAGCCAGTTTTTCCTTCAAGAGTCGACACGTGGCACTATTTTGAGCGAGGTTTAGGGCTTGGCAAGCATGTGGTTGAAGGCGCGAAAGAGATTTGACACGAAATTGGGTTCTCTATCGTGCCGGATCTCCTCACTGGCCCCGAACCGACGGAGCACGCACCCTTCGTATCCGTCCGCCAGATTTTGGGCCGACCTCAACGAGCTGGCCTTGGCAATCACATATCCCGTAAACATATTCGCCCAAATAAAAATTTATCCGCAGCTTACATTACATTACAATGAATTTTTTTAAGGAAGTCTTGAACGGAATGTCTTTCGGTTCAGTTGGGGACTCGTTTGGCCTAATACTAACTTCCTGGACGACACCAATAGTAGCAGTAATTACCAGAACCTGATCAGAGACTTCTGTTGATTTTTCTTTATCCTATTCTTGCTGCTTGTTTATGCACAAGAAGAGCATGCCCAGCAGCTTTTATATGACCCGCCAATCGGACAATTCGAATTTGCGCTCTATTTTCGTGGATTAAAAAATGAAAACAGATTTGATTTAAAAAAATAAAACACTTATAATTTATATATAGAAGTTATGGATATTCAGTTTTGGTAGTAGCTATATCACACCCTTTTTGTAACGGGGCCTAGAATGCACCGTCACTACCTTACACGTGCGCTTGAAGAAGTAAGCTCAAGTATATTGAGAGAGGTAGACCTAGGGAGCCTCGAGTGGATATGCTTCACTCGGTGATCCGGTAGGTGGTAACTCGGTCGATCTTGTCGTCAAGACTCCTCAGCAAAACGCCGGACCGTTTCTGAGTCCGATCCTGACTACTATGGAAGTCGCTATGACCTCACTTGAAAAACATGTCACCCCTCCTCAGCATACTGAGCGACTAGTGTCCTCATGTGCTACATTATGTTTTCTTTAGTAATGTATAATTGGGCGTCACCCAAAGTCTGCAGCACAGCAAGGTTGACGCGACACGGTATCGGGGTACCCCCTCCGTAAGTCGGCAGTCCGGCGCTATGTGTATTTGTGGTTCTCTTACGTTGTTCGAGAATCCACTCCACCACAATGGTGCGCGTGCCCAGATCTTCGGGAGACGCGGGATTTCACTGTGAGTCCCACGAAGAAGAAAAGACAACGATCAAGATGGACTAGAAGACGACCAAGACACTGGAACCCGGATCGCCAGTGATAAAGAAGGAAGAAGGATCGGAGGACCTGCAGAGCCCGGGGAGGAGCTCTGCCATTGAGGTCAAGGTGGAATATGAAGAAAAAAAAACACAGGCTCTTGGACTCATAGACCTTTGGGCCCTGGGATTAGAAACCTGAGACTTGTACCTGCTCTGCACTGTTAACTCCTTGTATTCTTCATGAATCTGGGCCTTGTGCGATGTTGTGGATCTACGAGGCCTTGTTGTTGCCATCCCCTCGAGGCAGTGACCTGGAATTCTCTCGCCCCCTGTCCATATATTTCTTGGTACCCTGATTTACTTAGCGCTTCTCCACACCGCTTAAGTTTGCTCGCTCTTGATGACCTTTGAACCATTCGGCGAGTGCTACTTCCATCAAAGGATACTTGACTGCCCGATGTTGCTTACTGTTTACATTGCATCATTGTCGAGCTTGAGCAATTCGGCTCTCCACTTGAGTGTGTTGGAGACATCACTTTGACGTTGTGCGTTTTATGAAGCCAGGTGAGGAGTCGGAGCTGGGTCAGCTTTGAGTTTGTTGTGTAATGTTTGTAGAGAGCAATGCCGGATGTTATCCGTCATTGTGGTCTGTTTTTTGCTCCTTAAATGAAACCGTGTGCGGCTGGCGGCTCGTTAAGAGAAGGTGGGGTGGAGGAACCGGTGTTGCGGCGTGGGAGCAATACTGTACTGTACAGGATAACCGGGTTTATATATTTGCCTTAAATAATAAACTTTATAAATTGATAGAACGTCTGCAACCTCACGGTATTTACTTATACAGGCTTTAGTGTATAATGTAATACTTTGTTTTTTACTCGAATATTCCTGTCACGACTAACCAGTTTGCTAATCACAAATCAGTCGTAAATGTAAATTAAATAAAAAGAGTCCATTTTTGGTTTTAATTTATTATGCGGGAGCTCGGGAAGGACCCCCTCACATGGGTAATGCAAACCGTCTAAAAAACGCGAGAAGTACAAGTAATACACAAACTCACGATTTTCTTTGTCTCCAGAGCTTTGTAAAGCTCTTCGGTGTCCATGTGTGTCGCGAACTGCTCGGGTTTGAAGGTCTTCCAGGAAGTCACGCGTGGCGATGGAAATCAGCTGGATTGTGGAAAGCGCGTCTCATGACTAAAGCTCAGTGCATTGGAGTGGTCGTGTCTATTGTGGTTCGAACTGACCGGGGTGAGATGCCAGTCTTGAAAAAGTCGATAAATTGCCTTATTTTTTTACTGATTGACGGAGTGAGACAGTGGAATTTCTGGTAGACGACGGCACTGCACTTATTAAGACGGTGTTGTGGGGTAAGGGCGTCCAAGTTTCAGTAGTGCTGGGAGATCTTGTGCATGTTGAGGGAAAACTCAATATTGACAAGAACTGGGACGCTGTTGAACTGTTAGTTGCCAGATGGACACTGGCTGTTCTAGGGTTTGCCTCTTGTAGAACTCATAACATTATCTCCTTGTTCCTCTTGTCTGTGAAAGGTCTCGCGAACTTCGAATCCTTCGAATCACTGTAGTGGAAGATTCAAATAACGAGTTGCTGCATTGGATCCAAGTGATGGAACTGGCTCAGACGTATTATTCTGCTGCTAGTGGATCTTGTGGCTCACAGGATAAATATAGTAATGGTGCAAAGAGCGAGACGCTTTGGGAGGATATTGCTACTGAGGCTTTTTTCAGTCTGTGCATAAGTGTCAGCATGAAACAGAAATTTATAAGTCAAAGCGATCGTAGTTGTCATGATAAGACGTTATTGGAGACGCTTGAGTCGCTTCTTTTCCTGCAAAACGCAAGCGATACCAAGGAAACCGTTAGTATCACTTTCAGTGATTATATCAGCTCGACTGGACTTGTCACAATGGTCTGTGTAAACCCCTCGTGTATTGTGTTGCTGCGGTAAGTCGATTATCTACTAGCATATCATTGATTCATTATAAGCTGCTGAACAGGAAAAAGCAACTGACAAGAACCAGAGAATTCGTGCGCTGCAATATACCTTTCGTAAGTTGCGTCGCGCGGGACTTTTGTTCTTGGAAGATGATGCGGCAGATCGGCACATTCTGTTAAGTTTTGAGGCGGCGTTAAAGCCAGCGCTTCTGCAGTTTCTCCGAGGTGCGTTTAAGAATCATATATGCATGCACACTTGATTATGGATCATAGTCTGATCACCAGTTCCTTGGCTTAGAACACTCGCACGGTTGCTCTATTGCGAGAATTGCAGACGCGATACTGACCCGGGAGCGATTCAAGTGCATTCCGCTGCAATGGATTGAGCGAAGTCTCGAGCATCTACTTGCAAGTCAACTTGTCGTGCAAAAAGAGACTTCTCAACTATTTTTTATTCATTGAGTGAAGGATGTAGCAGACCGGTACAATTCGAGGTTGATTTTTTTGCTTGTTCTCAGAACGCCCAAAAGTCCGAAAGATTACCGACGAAGGTCAGGCTAAGGTCAAGCTTTCATGTGAATTGTTGGCTGCTGCATCGTGAATCCTGTAGCCCTCTTCTTTACATTCAGTTGGTTTTCCGCTTAGTATGCAAAAGTTTTCTTCTGCGGAAACGAATGCACTCGATCATTCTTCTTCTGTGAGTCCAGTCGTCGAGAAAAGTCCCATAAAATATGACATGCATGCCCATTTGCATTTTTTACTAGCCATCTGATGACTAGAATCGATCACTCGAAGCTTGCTTGGCGACCACGGTGTTGTTTCTGTTCCTCTACGCCTTAAGATTGTCTCGTTCCGTCAGTAATTGTGCTGCTACACCAGTGTAAACTTATACCAGCCATCAGTACACCCATCAGTACACCCTCTTCCCCGATCATTCTGCAGCGTAGAATGAGCGAATAAACATTCCACGCAGTAGAAATTATGCACGCATTGGTCATGTGCAGAATTATGTACGATCTCTAAGGCACGAGCAATTTCCCAGACTGATTACGATCAAACATTTGAATCGGAGCCAGTAGTGCTTACTGATAGCGGTAGATCTGTAGTCAAATGGTCAAAATCGTCGAAATGGGGATACTGCAATGCTTTTTGCAGGACAATAGCATTCTAACAGACATCCACATTCCGAGACAACTCGTTTGCATGGTATGTGGCGATGGAACTTGAGCATAGTGTTTAGTGCCACAATTCCCGCAGCTCTGGTGCACGGTTCATGAATACCCAAATGCATCGTCAACTGGATAGGCTCATAAAACTAGCCGTGATCTCGTTTTTGTTTTGAGTTGAAAGTCACGGATGTACTCGTCGTTGATAAAGACATCAGCTCGTTGTACATCACTTTCGCATATAATACCACAAAGATGCTATGACAGGCAAGCTGTCTATCGTGCAGTTTTCAAACTCACAGCACTTTCGGTGTAAGTACATCTTAGAATACCGCCACACTTCGACAACTCAGCGGTGTTATGAAGAGGCATAAATCCAGCATATAATCTGCATCTGCTCTCGACCAGCTATGAGATGTGTTTAACCTTCTCTTTAGCAGTGTCTGCGAAGGATTTTCAAGAAATTTAAGGATGGACTCGTACTTGTTGCAGAGTTGACCGTTGCAAGACGACAGCGACAATCAATTCCACCCAGAAGCAAGCTTAGCGAGACATTTCGACGCCGACAACGCGATCTACTAACTATATGACTGACATTTTGGCCGCAATCGCCTTCCCTCAAGTTTTCATTCACGCGATACTGGATGGATGGAATCAGCGGAGATCAATCAGCACAGCGACTTTTCTGCGCCAGTCTCTTTTAACAATGAGGTTAATGCGAGACTTTTTGCTTGTCGAAGAGCCCGCGTAGTACACAGTGATGACGCGACATCTTGATGAGACAGACGTTAAATTTGAACTTGTCCTAGGCTCAGTGCTGCATAGCGTCCATGTACAGTAGAAAGCGGTCAGCCTGTGCACGACACTAGTCCAAGTGAGTCGTCGATCACTTCCTGTCGGAAAATTCGGTGAAATCGATCTGCATACGTCCGGATCGAAGACTAAAACCGCTCATGGGATCCACCACTGCGACACGTAGTGTATCGCATCCACATGTAGCCCCCACAATCGCCCGTCTTCTGGTTACGCCATAGGGTTCTGGATGGTCGGCAACGGGCAGTACTTCAGCTGCGGTGGAGGCTGCTGCAGCGGTACGGAGCTCGCTCGATACGCACGTGGTGTGGTCCTCTACATTCACGAGCTCCAAGATTCACTTCATTGCGTGTTTGACGGCATCAGCCTTGGATCGCAAGAAGTCCGTAGGACTTCGCTTCAAACGTCAACAATGACAAAGAAGAAGAATTGACGCCCATCACGAAGTAAAGCAGCTATATGATACCATCGCAGACTCGAACCAAGCGCTGCGCTTTGTTAGACATGGGCAAACAGCCCTTTGTGACGAGTATCGCTTTTAACGAATTTGGAGCGGACAGGCGACGACTTCATCTATATATGACGGTGTTGTATCCTAGCGCCTTGCTCAGCGGCGTTTCTCATGCCGTTGTTACAATAATAACCCACCCACGATCCATCCAGGAGCTGCGTGCGACACAATCGACTTTCACTCCAAATCACGACAACCAATCCAAAATTTGCTTTGTAACATCGCGAGCCTCATCAAGCCGAGATCAAAGTCAAAACCTCACCATGGCTGCTAGCGTTAAACAAGTTCTCAAGCGCTACGGGCGCACTGCGTTCCTCTTCCACTCGACCGTCTTCGTCTCGACACTCGCTGGCACGTATGCGGCCATAAACCAGGGCGTCGACCTGCAGTCGTTGGCTAAGCGCGTGCCTTTTGTGGATCTTTCCAAGTTGGACCCAAACGCCAGCACACTGGCCCTTGCTTATGTGTCCACCGTGGCTACAGGACCAGCCAGAGGTGCGCTCACCATTGCTGTGTCTCCCATTCTCGCTCGTTTACTTGCCCGGGGCGGCCGTTATCTCACTAAAATGTAGTCAGCCAGTAGAGCCACCATGGGTTTAAGTAGACAATCAATTTTAATGCTTCCCTCTTCATATTCAACACATCGCTTCCTCCTTCTTTGCTGCAAGTGTTCGGCCTCTCCTCGTCCCCACATTGCCATTATCCACTGACCTCCTCCTTGTCATGCGCCGCTACTTCGGACGCTTCGCTAGTCGCCCACGCGTTACCGCATACCCTCAAACACCGGCCCGCTCCGTCCCCAAGAGCATCATCCACCCTCCGTACGCTGCAAGCGGCGACATGTCGGACCTCAAGCCCTTTATCCCTATTCTGGACGCTGAACAGCAGCAACGGCTGCGTGCCGCCTGCGCTTTGGCCGGGGATATCCGCGAGTTTGCCAAGGCTCTATGCCAGCCAGGAGCCACGACAGAAGACATTGACTGTCTCGTACACGAGGAGATCGTACGACGTGGTGCCTACCCGTCTCCTCTCAACTACGGTGGCTTTCCCAAGGCGTTGTGCTCCTCTGTAAACGAGATCGTGGTCCACGGCATTCCGGACAGCAGGCCGCTAATAGACGGAGACATCGTCAATATCGACATCTCCGTCTTCCTGGACGGATTCCATGGAGACACCTCGCAGACTTATCTTGTGGGAACCGTAGACGATGTCGGGAAGCACCTGGTGGATGTCACCAACGCAGCACTTCTAGGCTCCATTGAGCATTGCTGCAAGCCACTCAACCGCTTCGCTACCATCGGAGACTTTGTGGAGACACTGGCAACCAAGGAGGGGCTGGGTGTCGTGCGTGAATACACTGGACATGGCATCGGCAAGGAGTTCCACTGCCTGCCTTTCATTCTACATCACCGCAACAACGAGCCGGGCAAGATGCTGCCGGGCATGGCATTCACAGTGGAGCCGGCACTGACGGAGGGCAGCCCAAAGGTGAGACGCAACTGTTAATGGACATGACGAAGATTCCTTACTTATGATGGTATCCTAAATGTTTGATGCTAGATTGTTCACTGGGATGATGGCTGGACAGTAGCTACGGCAGATGGTGGACGATCAGCGCAGGCGGAGCACACGGTGTTGATCACCGAAGAAGGCGTTGATATCCTGACGTAGGAACGCAACATGTCGTCCAACTCTTCGATAGCTACCGAGTCTAAATGAAGCAGATAAACTCTTCGTTGCTGACACGTGCTCAGGACAATTTCAACTTTTGGCTTCTACGATTTCGTGTACTCCTGCTCTTTGCTCATTTACTGCCTCGCTTCATCGGCAAGCTCGGCAACTTCGGAAACATTGGCACTTGAAGCTTCGTGTTTAACGCTACGAGCTTGGGAAGTTCACAATTTGCCTCGTCCTCGTTCATATTGGGGCTTGAGTGTGCCGCGATGCTTAGCCACGCTAGGCTGAGGTAGGAATGCATCACGTCCGGCACTGTGTCAGGGTACTTGCACAGTCCGCCAAAAGGAAATTGACATGAGTAGATAAATTGCTTGCAGCTTGGAATGTTCACTAAATGGTGTTTGCCTAGCAGAGCGAGAGTCGCGCCGTTCCAGAAAGCGTAGCACGAGTCTGGGCTCTTGTTGCATCGTCCCTGGAAACCGCCTTGTTGTCGGAACACCAACCAGCGCACGAGCTCCGATTGCTCGCAGTTGAGCTGTGCCATTTGTCCTGACAGAGAAAGCGACGCGATGGCAGTAAATACAGCTCCGCCATGCGATTCGGCGCCATCATTAAGGCCGATCCCTCCGTCATAATTCTGCAGACAGCATCAATCAGCACTGTACATCTGACAATTTTTAGGTCAAACGTACCAGACATGAGTTGATGAAGCGCACCATTGCCATCAAGTCGATGCCAGACCAGTCGTCCAGAATGTAGGAAATGGCACAGGCGCAGTAGACAAACCGCATGTCTTCCTCGGATCCCGATTTCACGGACGAAAAGCTGCAGAAGATGGACGACAGAGACTGTAAGTGCAGCTATAACAGTGCGTCGTAGTATTGTTCGTTCCTTACCATCCCGTCTTCTTGTTCTGTAGGTGTGTAAGCGAGTTGATAATGGCTGCTTTGTGCACGTGACTGAGATCGTCCCCAAGTGTGCGGAGGATGCAGAGTGCAGCGAACGTCGACGCGATGTTGCCCGAATCGTACACTTCGCTCTCGTACTGGGATGATGGACAACCAAAGACGTTCCCCATAAAGGTGCCACCTTGAAAGCCGCAGTTACCGGCATTGAGGCTGGCGTCGTGGCAGTCCGGAGGCACTTGGAGGCTATACACCCACTCGATGACTTGGTGCCGATCCACACGCTCCAATTCCCCCAGCAATGCCAGTCCGTGTATGCAGAAGAAGGCCAAGACCACACGCTGTGAGTCCTGAGATGCGTATGGGGCCGGGAGCGACCGTAAATTCGTAAGGAAGTAGCGAACGTGCAGCTCGCGGTCGAACGTTGTCGACGCCATCTTCCTAGAGAGTAAAAAATGATCTTTGGTGCTGTTATCTGTAGCGTCAGAGAAAGAATCATTACATCCTATTGTGATGCTCAGACACGGCAGTGCAATACAGAGAATGAAGTTTATTAGTTGAGAGTTTATTCAATCTGGAAGACAGCCGAGTTGGGTGGACCCAACATGCTCTCGTCCGTGTCCTCGGGGCGGCGAATTCGAAAGTCAAACTTAACGTTCATGAGGCGCTGGTTATCCGTGCGACGCATGACGGTGATGTCACCCACCACCACGTCGCCTTCGCACACCTGAACGGGTGGATAGAGCGGGAAGACCTGCTGGCCCCAGTGCGTGGGCTGCACAAAGGGTGACGTGGTTAGCGTCACTTCCTTTTCCGCCGGGTTCTCCACGCATCCTTTAAAGTCAACGTCGAACCACCCAGCAATGCCACCAAATCGAGACATGATGGAGATTGGCATGGCAAAGGACGCCTTGACCTCCTTAATGTCGTCGAGCGTGCAGGTCTTAAGGTCCCACTTGGCAAACTCAACCTCGTCTCCAATGAGGCTTTCAGCGTTAAGTTCCTCCCACGACGATGTGTGCAACGAGTATTGCTCCTGTTCCTTGCGGAACGAGTTACCCAGTACGCCCATGTCGACACCCCAGGCCGTCTTGGTGTTGTCCACAAAGCTGCGCCATCTGTCCATGGCCGACGAGAACTCAGCAAAGCGTTTGTTACTATTGTCCTCATTACACATGGGGGCAATAGACATGCTGGCATGGGATGGAAACATGGCGCCGTCCGATTTGAGCCACCGATCACGTGCCACGATGACCGAATCAAACATGGATTCACGCAACAGAAAATAGCCCATCCACTCCGAGATGATTACGTCCACCTTCTCCGGTAGCTCTACATCTTCCATCTTTGACTGAATGACTGTCACAATATGGTCCTGGCCATTTGCTTTAATCACTTTACGAGCCTGTACTGCAATGTCCGTAGCTTCTACGGCGAAAACCTTGCGAGCACCGGCCTGAGCCGCCCATATGGCTAAAATACCACTTCCAGTTCCCACATCGAGCACGACTTTGTCTTTAAAGTGATTGGGGTTTTCAAAGATGGCGTCACGGTAGCTCTGCATACGTAAATCATCCGACAGCATCTGCTTTTGGTGATAAATGTACGCATACGTGCAAAAGTAATTGGCAAAATCTGACGACGATTCCCACGCCTTCTTTTGATCCGGTGTAATATCTCGTGGGTCTCGACTTGTCATTGTCATTACCCTTTTGTCGGATAGAGGGGGGGTGATAGAAAGAAGCAGCAGCAGAAGACGTACTACAGGAGACGTCGCAATTATTCGTCGTGAACCAACCAAAAAGATTCGATACCAAGATAGTAGTGACAGGTCATTCAAGCAAGGGAATACAATGGGTTCATTACTAATTTCGCTATTATTATCTATGGAAGATGACGACGTAAAGCACGCGTTTCAGACCTTATGTGGCGACTATGAAGAGCTATTGGATGAAGTTACACAGACTACACAATCTGAAGACGAGCGTATTGGTCTGGCGTTGTTTAAGATTGACGAAGCATGCGCAGCTACCAATGTGTTGCGGCAAGACGCCCATCAGATCCAAGAGCAGCTGCTGAGTGAACTGCTTAGCAACTGTCATGAGCTTGAGGATATTTTCTTGCGCGTGAATCTTATTGAGGTAAAGATCCTGTCGTGACGCTGTTTCGATATGTGGAGATTTACTTGTTTGTGTGTGCTATTGGGATCAAACGATGCTAAGCGCTTTGTAGGACGAATGCTACAAACGACACGGGAGCTTGAAAAACGCACCGAGAGCGTCAGTCGAGCCACTGGTCCAGTTTTTAATCCAAACACGAGTGTCAACCGATTATTGCGGTCTTTTTCTATCAAGGTACCGTCTGGTACTAGGAGTTTGTTTGTTCAAGAAAGGAGACTGATGTACTGACTCTATTGATTGTAAAATGTTTGTACTAATGTGGTTCTTGTAGCGTGGAGCACAAGATGAATCATTGTCCGATGGTAAATGGAGTCCCGTAGTCGTCGACTTTAATACAAAAGAACTCATAGAAAGGCTGGAGAAGAGTGATGCACAAGAACTTGGGATTTCTATTTCATCGTCTCTTTCTCCTCCAGAAGAAACAAGAGTACAAGTGTCTTCTATAGAAGAGACAAATGAGAACTCACTGACTCAGATTTAAATGGGATAATAGTATGCTACTTGATGGCAGAATGAAGTTGAAGTGGTTAGCAATCGTACTTAATGCAGTATATTTTTGCAATTTCCAGAGATGGCTACTACCACATGGCATGGGGTGGAGCTGATGGATGCATTTGGCTCACTGACATCTGATGGTGCACGTCTTCTAGAGAAGGAACGACATGATGAACATCTAGCTGTGGTCTTGTTCGTAGGCTCACTATCAACACGCGCAACGAGGGTCCAATTGGTGGCGAAATTGCTTGGAAAAAAGAGACGAACGAGGACGTTGTAGCCTTATGTGGTGAAGGTCTTGTACTACTAGCGAGTATCGCATCCATTGAGGAAGATGTTCACGTACTGATACTCGATGTTAATACATCTGAGACTGGAGAATCTCTTGAGCAGTTCATTGGTGCATTCTGCGTGCTCTCGTCGCTGGTTGTTTCGTGTTACGATGACATTGGGTCGACGCAATGCATTGTTCCCTTTTTACCTCCATTTCAGTCATTGTATCAGACTTTAATGAGAGAATTTGACATTATAGAAGTATTTGAGATGCTTCCTAAGATGATGAACATTGATTTGTCACCAAGTCACTCGCTTAAAGACAAGTTGGCGGATACTGAGAAGGACGAGAGACCGTCTAGTGTCGAAGCACTTGAAAGTCTCATCAGGTTCAAGAGAGTGGGGCTATTTTACCCTTTAGACATAGCGCAGATGAACTATGATGAGTTTTGTGGGTCGCATGCAACTGTCAAGAGGTTGTTCGGGCTAGAGATGACTGGAGAAATGCTGGCCGCTCTCCTGCGCAAGTTGTCAATTCAGGTGTTTCAACATGAACCGCTAGATCTTGGAACTGCGTGGGACGACTTTGTGGAATACAAGTGTCGTCTGCTAGCCGAGGATGCATTGTCCACTTATGTGGACTGTGTGCATCCGTCTGTGCTAGAGCATCCGCCCATGGAACTAAAAGCATTTACGCAACTTCATGAAGAGATTTGGCGTCTAAGTATGGACGTCTACCATTCTGCGAGCAAGTATAGATCCACTAGGTACCGAACTGTGCGCAACAAGCTAAAAGCTGACATTCGTGCGCACTACGATACTGAGTTAGGCATTCTCACGCAGACGTCGCGTAAGTTCTGCGCAGAGTTGCGACAGACTTTGTGGGCAGATCTCTATACGCGTGCCATAAACTCGCGAGATGGCGACACATTCACTGCAATGTTAGCTGCGATCCAAGATTTTGACAAACTTTTTAACGAGAAGGCACGAGGTCCAGAGAAAGCTTCTGTGCTTCGCGACTTTTACCAGCATGAGGTGATTGGCGCCTTTAAAAAGCTTGAAAATGTCGTGACGCAGCAGCTTAGCGAGTCTCGACTGGAAGAGTTGCGACTTCAGCTTGAAACAGACTTCGAAAACAAGAAGATGGCTCTTGTGAAGCATTTCAAGCAAGAGGAAGCCCAACTGCGTGCTGGAATGGTGCGAGACATGGAGACAATGCAAAAGATGCACGAAGCTAAGGCCGCCCGTGTAAAAATTGATGGGAGCGAGGCCAAACGGCTTCGGGATGAGATAAACGAGATGAAACGTCAGAATAGTGAGCTACAAGAAAAAACAATTGTAGTCGAGCACACCCAGCAGGATATAGCAAACCAAAAGGCTGTTCTTGCAATGAAGGTGGATGAATTGGAAACTGCAGTGCACCGCGAGATTGCGAATCGCACAGAGATCGTGGATACACTGGCGTTGACAATCAAAAATGCCGAGGAAAAAGAGAAAGAGCTTCACGAAAAAATTGCGGAGTTGCAGCTTGAGCTGGAAGAGAAGACAATCCGCATTAAGGGTGAGCTGCAAGATCTTACTCAGCAGCTGCGAAAGACTACCGAGGTAAGGTACCATTGGGGCGGAGAAAGTAATTTCGAGTTGCTGACGCAATGTTCATTGCGCCATTTTTTCCGCTGCTTCTGTAGGAGAAGGGGGAGCTTCAAAAGAAGCTCAACGAGTTTTTCCTGAAGGTGACAGCGCTACCAGAGGGTCTGCAGCAGCACCTCTTCTGCATGGAAAATGGTCAAGTCGATTTTGCAGAAGCTCTTACAAGCTTCATGAGCGAATAGAGAATCAAGCACATTAAATTTTGTAAGGCAACCTGGATTTTGTGAAGGCGCGAGTTCAAACCTAGAATGATAGGAAAGGATCAGCCGATGTGATGGTTGTTTATGTAGAGTTTATATAATCAAGATTCCATGAACCGATTCTAATGCTGCTACTTACTTGACATACTTTTGGGTGCATCGTTTCATAATCGCTTCAAACGTGTCAACTGGATGCTGCTCTTGCATTTTGTAGTAGATCTGAACCAGCACGTGCGCATCCAGAGCAGCGTAGTAAAGCTGAGTTTGTGTGAGTGGGCGACGTTCCCAGTCCGACATGCGTACGCGTTTATCAAGTGGCAAACCCAAATAAGTTTCTGCGACTGCTGTCAGACTTAACGAAGGCTTGACGCTAGTACCATTTTTACTGGTCTTGCTGCGCTTATTCGTCCACTTTCTTATTTTCGTCTTGGATCCAGTCACCTTGTTATGTGATGCCGAGATGTTGACACTTTTTTCAGCTGTTGACACTTTGCCTTTGCTGTCCTCATCTTTCTCATCATCACCTATCAACCTCGAATTTGAATCAGTCGTACCTTCAATTGTCAAAAGCTTTCGCGTGACAACTTGTAGGTCCACCAGCATCGACATGACGTTGTCAGTGGCATACCCTCCCGTCAAAAAGGGACGAAGTGCCTTCACATCACCTCTTGTATCAAACCCTAGCTTTATCACTGATTTCGACTGAAAGAGCGGAGCTAAGATGTTCCCATGCTCGTACAGCGCCACCACATCCACAACAAACACCTTTTTACGGGAGGCTAGCTGCAAGAGTGCACACTTGGCGGGCCCTCCATCTGGACCAGTTGAAATGTGGACTGCTTTCCACTCCGAGTCAAATCCGATAGCTGGTTGATTCATAAGATGATCAGCACATGTCTGCAGCGCCGTCGGGGTGTCCACAAATAATATATTGGCTTCACCGATGGCATCAACCAACGACAGGCACGAGTCAAGCGGAGTCAACTCGTCCTGCTTCATTAAAGGCTTGTACTCCTCCGCACTTGTGTTAACCTCGGGAAATTGTTCAGCCAACTCTGCTCGAAAGATAAAGTTTTTTGTCGCAGGGTCTTCCGGTCCGGCGTGGCGGACGATCATGTTGCATGCGTACAACTTTAGAGATTCCGAGTTCTCAACAAACTGCAGCGCTTGCTCGTACTCTTTCGAGTGCATGAGGAACCGCAGTGTCGCCTTCTGCCGCCTGTCAGAAAATAAAGACAGCACATTGTTAGCTGAAGATCGGATCCTCCTTTCAAATGCGAATGTCTTACCGTTCGAAGTAGACTGGGAAGGCACTGGCCTTCAGCTTGAATTGCGAAAGGCGTTTCTTGATTACTTTGTCCTGTACATCGTAGTCGATCAGCATTTGTACAAACTTCTGCTGGTTTTCTTTGTGGCCCTTGACAAACCTGTCACCTGTGTAGAAGTCCTTCTGCTTGATGACGTGGTCCAGAACCACGTCCGTCGGTAGCAGATGTTTCATCTTGAGGCATTCCATGAAGCAAACCGCTGTTCCCACACGTTTGTTAATCAGTAGGGAGCAGAAGGAAGCGAGAGAGTTCTCGTCTATTTGGTAGGCAAGAGCAAAATCGGCTACAAATGGCATTCGCGAGCTCTTGAGAGCTGGTAACATGGAAGCAGCTAATTGACTGTCGCTGGAAGAGATTTGCGGGTCACGACACATTCGAATACAATCAACAGCAGCTTCGATCCATTGAGAGACGAATGCCACTTGTTTGTCGGGAAATTGGCTGTAGATATCCACGCATTGCAAAAAGGATGACGGTGCGTGGGCTACAGAGGCAAAAGCGAGCGAGATCTCGGTCTGTAATTTACCTGAATCCCATCGACGCATCGCTTCCATTGCTTCCTGCAGTCGCATCTGCTCAAACAATTGCGTGAGTGTCTCCTCTTGCTCCACTGAAGCCTCAGGCTCAATAGCTACATTGACGTTGGTTTGGTCAGCCATTTTGATACTTGTGGTTTTTATGGTTTTAGATGAACGTTACATACAAATATCAAGTGAATTTGGTTTGGAGAGGGTCGCTTTTACTTGGAAAATGGAATGTCGCTCTCGATCGCGGTCTCCACCACGTCGGTCGTCTGGCAGTCGCTGGCAGAAGAAATCACGATCACGATCGAATTCGTTACAAGGAACTACAAGACGAAAGAAGCAATTTAAACACACTCGTTCGTCGCCTCGTCGTCAGCGCAATGAAGACAAGAAGACGCATGGGTGTGACTGTATTAGTAGTGCACCTGTGGATCACTACTGATGCTAAGATTTTCTCTATGTGCTGTATGATTACATGTAGGTGGGGAAAGCAAGAAGATGAGGAAAAGGAGGAGTCCATTGAGATGGAGAAGCCTAATTTTGGACTCACAGGCGCGTTGGCGAAAGACCAGACAACGGGCAACATGCAGAATGGAGTAGTCATCAAGTTTTCTGAACCTCCTGAAGCTCGACAGCCGACGAAACGTTATCGGTTATATGTGTTCAAGGACGACAAGAACATTGGTGGGACACAAGGAATTTACTTTGGCCTGGAGGCGTTTATTTGGCTAGCGATATTGGCCTTACTGATGTTTGTGTGGTTAATGCAGCTACGCTTCACGTGCACCGCAAGAGCGCGTTCCTTGTCGGACGTGACAAGGCTGTGGCTGATATCCTGACGGAGCATCCATCGTGCTCGAAGCAACACGCTGTGCTACAGTACCGGATGTACCAGAGAGAGACTGAGGATGGTTTCGGGTTTGAGCAGGAAGTGCGGCCGTACATCATGGACCTCAATAGCACCAACTCGACGTTCCTCAACGGCCGTAAAGTCGAAAGCTCGCGCTATATTGAGCTCAAGGAAAAGGACGTGCTTACATTTGGCGAGAGTACGCGGGAGTACGTGCTGATGTGTGCAACCTAGAGTGTTTACAACAATACAAGACGATAATGACAAACGATCGAGATAGTGGAAATCAACGCCAATGCGTGGAATTGAGCTGACATTTGAGCCGTTATCTATGCACTAGAATAGCACACCGATACGTCTGTTGGACATGTGACGTCAAGGGTTGACAAAAGCTGCTGGTATTCAGTCGAGGTGCTTAAATTAGGAGTTGCTCGATCTGCTCGCGCATGCTCTGGATCTGCGGGCCAAGCTGCGAAGCCTCGTTGGACGTAATCGAAGCCGCGATCACGGGGCGCGACACGCCGCAAGCACGACCCAGGGCGACCTTGGACGGTACGAACACATATGGTACATTCTTGTCTTCACACAGCAGTGGAAGATGCAGCAGAATCTCAAGGGGCTCCGTATCGGCAGCCATGACGATAAACTCGGAGATGCCACGGTTCAGCGTCTTGGTGGCTTCATTGGCACCCTTTTTGATCTGCTTGTAATTGGTGGCCTGTTGCACCAAGTCCAGAATGGACACGGTCAGCTTAGCGTCCGCAAGCGGGTAGGCCTTGGGGTTTACGGCTGTGTCAGACATTTATGTTATTAAAGAAGAAGAGATGGGAACTTGCTCACGACCGATGGATCACTGCACTGTTTCAAAACTGAGCTTCATGGTTGATCGTTGGTCCATCATGACCAGCCAAGTGATTCTGGCCAACCATTGGCCAAATGACTATTTTCATTCCCTTTTACCCATTTTCAGAGACCAATTGGGTCGATGACATTGCTCACAAGGATGCGGTGTTTACTCATAAAAGTGCTCGTAATTACGTCTTTTTTTTACGGGGTTGCGTGTGACACGTTGACAGCTCGCTCTTATACGAGGATCAAGTCATTTGAAATTTGAGGCCGAGATATGGAACAGCGAGCTCTCGTCCAGCTGGCAGTACTGGCATCACTTGCCACCATCAGCGCCTTTGTGGTCATTGGACTGTACCACAAGCGTCAAAAGTACCAGAAGATTGAGGATGTAAAGCAGCCTGTAGCGTCGTCTGTTTCGAAGGCGCAGCCTGTCACGTCGAAGGAGAAGGAACCGGAGGCGACGGTCCCTCAAGACGTTCCCAAGCCGCCACTCCCTGTAGAGAACGTTGGAGAGCAGGAAGCCACACTAGCCACTAAGCAATACAAAGCTGGAGAATATGAAGGAGCTATCGATCTCTATTCCGTCGCCATCTCCAAGTGCGAGCAGCAGCATCCGCTGGACGCCCGCAACCTTAAAGTCATGTACTCGAACCGCGCGGCAGCCTATGAGAAGCTCCAGGACTATGATAATGTTGTCGCTGACTGTACTATGGCTCTGAGTTTGGATAATAGACACCCCAAGTCATATTTACGTCGGGCCAAGGCTAGAGCTAACATGGGGGACCTGCGTGGGTCACTAGTGGACTACGTATGTTTGCTGGTGATTTCCGAGGAGAAGCAGGAGCAAGTGGATGAGAATTTGGCTCAAGAGATCAGTCGTATTCATAGTGAAATCACTGCAAAGGAGATTGAGGATGCCCAGCAGAACAAGCAGGACCCCATACGGTACCTACCCGACCAGTTTTTTGTCACGTCGTACTACTCGTCATTCCATCCTAGCGACGATGAAAATGACATTGTTGCTGATAAATCTTCAGAGGAATATACGATAGAGTTAGAGGCTCTGGAGACCGGAGATGACCTTCGGGCGCAGCGTAGCTTGCTGCTAACGAAACGTGGACTTGCGTTGAAGAAGGAAAAAGACTATGACATGGCTGCCAAGGACCTGGACGCTGCCTGCAGGATCGGTCAGCCTGAAGACGAGGCGTACTACACAGCCCAGATTGAGAACGGAACGTATCACCACCTGCGTGGCGAGTTCGAGCTCGCTCGTAAGTCGTTCGAGAAAGCCCTAGCTGCTAAACCCCACTCCATTTTCGCCAAAATCCGCATGGGTGGTCTCTGTTTTGATCAGAAAGATCTGAAGATGGCGCTTGAATGGTTTGACAAGGCTCTGGCTGAGAAGTCCGAGTGCTCTACGGCCTACTTTCACCGGGGGCAGCTTCACTCTATCGACGTGTCGCCGGATGGTACCAGCAATGAATCGTCGATGGCGGCAGCTCGGAGTGACCTGGAAAAGTGTATTAGCATTGCACCTGATTTTGCAATGGCCTACATTCAATTGGGTGTCACCCATGCTCGTAACGGCAACTTCCAGGGCGCCATAGAATACCTTACAACGGCGGCTCGCATCACACCAGATGTGCCGGAGATTTACAACTACTTGGGAGAGACATACATGCAGATGCTGCAGGTTCCGGGTAGTGCCGTTGATCTGAAGACTGTGGAGGAAATGTTTGAGAAGGCGATCGAGCTGGACCCGTCGTACCCGATGGCATACATTAATCAGGGCAATTTGTTGGTGCAAAAGGGCACGGAGTACGGTCACCAGGCGCTTGGTTTGTTTGAAAAGGCTGTGGAAATGTGCCCTCGCTCCAAGTTTGCATACTGCCATCTCGCCCAGGTCTACATGGCAATGCAGGAGTATTCACGCGCCATCGAACAGATTGACAAGGCGGTGGCTTTTGCCTTCAGCAAGGACGAATTCAACGAGCTATTTGCTATCCGTGTGACAGCCGAGACACACCAACAAGCCTCATTGTTGCTCCACTAATGCAGTAGACAAGACAATAATAGCTCTGTAGACCAAGCAGCCAGAGTTCTGCCTCTTTCGCGTGACGACGTCCTACACCCATCGCAATAGCTGATTTTTGCTACTATTTGATGAGATAAAACCAAATACTATGTGAACAAATAATAGTATAGTATAGTATCCGGATACATGTACTATTTAGAGTGATATATTGTGGCCATAGTAATATTCCGGTGCAAAACGCCACCTTCCATTGCTATGACTCTCTCTGTGGCTACCGCCCGTACTGAGCTCTCGCAGCGCATTCCTTCCACTTCCGTAGGTGTCGTTACTATTTGTGGTGGAGGAAATGGTGCACACGTAGCAGCTGCCTACTTGGCGTCCAAGGGCGTATGTGTACAGATATTGACGCGCCAGCCGGAACGTTGGGCTCAGACGCTCGAACTGAGTACAGTCAATAGTAGTTGGGAATTCAAAGGCGTCTTGACGGGTCAATTGAATCTCGTGTCTAAACACGCCAAGCACGTCATTCCACAATCCGATGTGGTGATTGTAGCAGCACCTGCTAATGCTCATCCGAATATCCTCAAACATGTGGCTCCATATCTGAAAAAGGGAGTCAAATTAGGCGCATTATTTGCTCAGGGAGGCTTCGATTGGGCTGTGAAAAAAGCACTTGGAGAAGAAATACTTGCAACTGTAGACTTGGTACGTTTTGACAAGATAAAGACCGAGATAAGTAGTAGTAGCAAAGCTGATTGATATGTTGTTGTTTTTTGTGGTTATTGCTGCTATTATTGTGCAGCTCTTTGGTCTGCAAAACATTCCATGGATCTGTAAATTAACAGAATATGGGTAAGCTATTGCAATTGTTTAGTATGTGGTTATAACTGTGTTTGTTGTGGTGACTAAAGAGAGACTCTTGGGTGTTTTGTTGTATTTGTAGCCACAAGTGTCGTATCATTGGCCCTAAGCAGTGTCTGTATGTGGCCTGTTATCCCGTTGAACGGAAGGATGAGGCAGCAATGCTAATGCAGACGCTATTTGACATTCCTTGCAAGACAGTTGCCAATTTTCTAAATTTGACGCTCACGCCGTCCAACCAGATCATTCACCCGGCGCGATATTACGCGATCTTCCGTGATTGGGACGGCAAGAAGACGTACACGCTCGAGGAGCTAAAAAAGCGCGACGGTCTCACACTGTGTAAGTACTCTTAGCTTATGTGTTGTTTGTTTCTCGGTTGCAATTGACGGCTGCTCAATACAGACGCGGACTTCGATGAGTTCTCTGCGGAGCAGCTGACGATGCTGGACAACGAGCTGCAGCAAGTCAAGTACGCTCTGCTACAGCGTTTCCCGGCGCTTGACCTTTCAGATGTGCTGCCCATGGGAGACCGTGTGGTTAAGCACTACGGCAAGGATGTGTCCGATCGGTCTTCACTGCTGCAGATCTTTCGCACAAACATGGGCTACGCTGGCTGTGCGACGCCGTTGACGGAGGTATCGAAGGGTCAGTACCATCCTGCTGTTAACTCGCGTCTGTTTTGGGAGGATATTCCGTACGGTCTGTGCATTCTGAAGAACATGGCGGAAATGCTTGGCAACTTCCCCACACCTCGTATCGACTTTATGATCCGCTGGCACCAACAGCACATGGGTGTAAAATTTTTGAACCCTGATGGTCAACTGAACGCTCGCGAGCTGTGGCGTACTGGAGCGCCTAACAAGTACGGTATTCATAGCCTCGAAGATCTGGTCGCGACATCGTTGCCCAAGGAAATGCGCAATTACCGTTCCCCGCAATCGCGCATATAGAAAGTGAAGAGGTGGAAGCCGGGGGTTGGTTCGACTGTTTGGTATTGAACGGATCTGCCTGAAAGTCCAGAGAATTTGACAAATCCTCATGAATAGAGCTCGTCTCTCGATGAGGTTTGCAAGCGATGTTTTGGCAGTTTGTCTCCTGCGCGTGGCCTGCAATAGACCAACTACAACGATAGCTGCTGCAGGCTTTCCAATTGTTCTCATGCTGCTTGTGATCATTTTGTAAGCAAAATAGACAAGATGCTGTACCGGTACAAACTCAAGGATCTATTATCGTAATCAATCTGATGATTACATGCTTCGAGCGCTTATCGAAGCAATGAAGGAATGAAGCGTCTGTATGGATCGGGTATCCTCGCTAGCAAAAACTTACTTTGCTTACTCACAATTGATCAAAAAAAAGATCGACGATCCCTGGCTCCAGTAGCTGAGGCGTGGTCAGATTTGGCTGAGGTGTGGTCAGATTTGGCTGATTGCACTGATCTCATCTGCTAACTCAGCGGAACGATTTTATCTCTATCTGCAAATGATCGAGACTGATGTAGCTTTTGCTGCTAGCACTTTTCGGTGTTGGCAACTACATATACGCGTACACATTATGTACGTGGACCGAAGCAGCACTAAAAGAGACGAGTATACGTAGCTTCTAGTTGACATTCCTTGTATGCTGATCAGAAAGATTGCTGTTGCTGTCAGTGCTCGCGAAATCGAACTGCTTTTGCTCTTGCTTTAAATCCTTTAGCTGTTGCTTTATCTGTTGTTGCTGTTGCTTGAAAAGCACCGAAATGTTGTAAAACGCAACCTGGCGCAACGCATTGACCTGCTTTGTCGCACTTCTCTTGTTGCTGCAGTTTACCTGGTAGCAAAACCATGAGCTCAAGTAAGCTCAAATGACAGTTACTTGAAAGAGCAAAGAGTTACCACACCGTTGGAATGATTGCGTGAGGATTCACGACTTTGACGAAATCGCAGAGCTCAGCAAAACTCGAGTGCTCGCTGTACGGAATGCCGTAGACGTGGATCTTGCCCGAAGGATCAGTGCAGCAAGTAGAAATTTTTCGCGGATTCTTGCTACTGAAAGTCCATCCTGTGGGACGAAATGCAACGATCTGGCGAAAACGTAGACGATACTTCGCCAGCAGCACTATGAGGTTGTCCATTTGGAGATCCTGCATGCGTACGACGTGCACACTGTCACAAAATACGGCATGTTAAGTGTCAGTAGTCACTTGAGACGGGTTCTACAGAATAACTTTGTCGTACTCGGTTGCTGACGATTCTGTTGTCAAAAGCTGCATCTCCTTGGTAGGCCAACCAAAGGTCTCAATAATTCTTAACTTCGCTTTTGAGACACAAACTTTCTTTTGAAACTTGCGTGCGATCTCCATGTACAAGCGCTCTTTGCCAATTGTGTACGATCCAAAAAGAAACAACACTTTCTCTTGCGTCAAGTGCTTGTTCATAAGTTCGAGCGCGTGATCGACGGCAACTTGCTGGGTCGGAAATGTGTACTTGGGATTGCAGTAGGTCGTGTCCAGATACACTCCGTCCAAACGGTTGATGCCAACAATTTTACCATTATGATCAATTGTTTCATTTCCGGTCGGAATATGTGGTTGTAGCGCGGGGTAGCCCAGCATTTTCCTATGAAACCGAAAATCTCCAGTGTGTAGATACGTTTTCCCATCTTTTAAGCGGAATAGAATGATGGCTGAACCAGGGCAATGGTTTGCGTCCATAAAAGTAACTTGCACGTCACCGACAAACACAGGTATGTTCATCCCCACCGGGTGGACGTATTTGCTGTGGACACCTAGCTCTTGGACGACAAGCTTGGCTGTAATTTCATTACAGTAGATGATGCCGCAGTCAAAGTCCTGCCAAAAATACCATGTATAAATTAGAAGCACATAAACATACTTTTACTGGACTTGCTCACCTTGGTGATCCCACCATAGTGATCAGAATGGAAGTGCGTGAGGAAGTAAATGCTTGAATTCTCTTTGCAGGCGTACTGAAACCCATCCACTATGAACGGTGGATCCGTTCCACGGATACACTTATAGTCGGGATACAAAAGGCGTCGTCGTTTGATTGCTCTGCGTGTGAACTTGAAAGGAACGGGATGTTTCCTAGCATTAAGAACAGCTGCTGTTTTCGAGCCTCGCATCAAAACATTGAAAACGTTCGACCTCTCTGCGTCACCCAGCACAACAACAACATTCGAATCAGTTCTGTGTACATTGCAAAAACCTTAGACTTTCGATACGTACCAAGCCCAGCAATTTGAGTCTTCATTTCTCCTGTCAACGAAGAATTCATCATAATGGCAAACGCGTCCGGTGCTCTCTTCTCTTCCAGCCTCAACGCAATCGTCTCGGCTTTCTCCACTTCACCCATATCAGCAGCTCTCACACCAAACTTTTGACCGCACAATTTCACATGGCCAATGCGTCTTATTAGATCAATTTCTGACAGATCGACGCCACAAATCTTGCACACGTAGCTGCAGTCGTCCACGCAGTCTTCAACCTCCTCTTCCTCCTCCTGCACTTGCGTCTGTTGTACAACCTGCGTCTGTAGTAGTTCCATCTCTTCCTCTTCTTCATAAACTTGAGTAATATCGCTCTGGACCGCCTCTTCTCTGTCAAGACAGAGATTCACATGCTCCAAACGTCGACGTTCGTCAAAGTGTGTGAGCTCTTGGCTGCACGTGGGACAGTTATAACGCTTCTCCTCCGTCGTCGTATTATCAAGACACACATTCAGATGCTTTTCACGATCTGTCACACACCACAACGTCATGTCCATCGAGCACACAACACACAACCTCAGCTCCATTTCCACCATGACCATCTAATGCTTTTGTGTCTATTAATGATTAAATCATAAGAAATACGGCCATATGATTGGGTGAAAATATCAATTTAGCTTCAATTTTTAAGAATTTAACGAATTTTCAATTATGATCCAGCATCTCCTTGTCTTGTCAACTGGTCAACATGTGGGCAAAACGACGGTCAGTCTTGGACTTGTCAAGAGTCTTCAGACGAAATTTCAAGATTCGAAGAAACAAGTCGCTTATTGTAAACCTGTGGGACAGCAACATGTGGCTGTAGGTGGTGGACTTCGAGTTGATAAGGTCATTGAGAATTATTAACTTTTTTGGAAAGAAAAAAGATGAAATTTGACTTTTTTATTGATATATTTCTTATGAGAAAATTTAGGATGCTTTTTTATTCAAAGAACATTTTGAACTTATTCAAGATTATAAGGACATGTCTCCTGTTATTTTCCCGAATGGCTTTACACGGGATTTTATTGATGGCAAAGTGACATCACAGCAGCTCATGGATTCCATTAAAATGGCACATTATAATTTGTATGAGCAGAGTGATTTTCTTATTTGTGAAGGAACGGGACACACGGGAGTTGGTTCTATTTGTGAACTTAATAATGCACAAGTTGCAGGTACTGAAATGGGATTGTGGATAACGAGGGATCTTCCTTGAACTAATGTATCTAATGTTGTTGCTACAGCGGAGCTTGGAATCGATACAGTTTGTGTAGCACTAGGTGGACTGGGCTCATCTTTTGACCAATTGGCAATGAACCGGGAGATGCTAAAACAGAACAACGTTCGGCTACGAGGCGTGATCCTAAACAAGGTTAACCCGAAAAAGATGGACATGATCAAGGTGGCGGGCATACTGTCTCTAAGAGAATGCTGAAAGAGCTACATTTCATGAAAATATCTTGACATGTGCTTATTGCTGCAGGATTATTACTCGCGAGCACTGAAACGCTGGGATGTGCCGCTTATTGGTTGCATTCCCGACCTCAAGGACCTGTCGAGCCCGACTATGGCAGACTACTCCAAATTGCTCAAGTCTGAAATCATTTCCGGAAAGTGTGCTCGATCCTCCCGTGAGTTTTGTGTAAGAGCTGACAGTGTATCTTTGCTGTTTGCTTTGCTGACAGGCAGAGACGCTAGTCTGCGCTATTTTAGCAGCACACGACTGGCACTGGCCCCTGTGGATGGTGCGAACCTCTTCAAGGCCATCCCAAACCAACTCGTAATCACGGTGAGGTACATTTGTCATCATCGTTGTGCTGTTCAGCTTTTCTTAATCTAGTCGATTGGTATGTACAGCATAGTGGCCGACAGGATGTAATCGATGCGATCATTGGTAACCAAGAAGTATCTTCTTACCACGGCGAAAACCTCAAGTCAGGCCTCATTCTTACCGGTTGGAACCCGCCAAGTGCTGAACTCGCACAACGTCTTGATGCGGACAACATCCCGTGCATCTATGTTTCACCGGAAAAGGCAGACAGCTACACGATCACGGCGCAAATCTCACAGTTTACGGCTAAGATTCGACGTGACGATGTTGAACGGATAGATTTGGCGGCAAACCATGTCTCCAAACACTGCGATTTCAGTTTTCTAGATGAATAAGGCGTCGAGCAAAGTATGCCGCGACTTGTACAGTTTGAGCAATGGATACACCAGTTGGTAGGTGAAGATAAAGGGGCGCACAAAAGCAATACTCTCTTCTCTCTCTATTGCCTTGATATTCTTTTTACTGGTCTCTCATAAAACGTTCCACGGGAATGGATAGCAAATCCGATCTGATCTGATTCTACTTGGGAGCGCATTATTCGTTTCATCGCAAGTCATCTGCTTCTCCTTCTCACACGGTAGCTCAATTAGCAATTTTAAGAGGGCAATGTCATCTTCTTGCCGTGGTATTTGCTGCATATAAATGAAATAAAAGTCCCATTAGAAACCAAGTCGCCTTCCCTGAAAGCCTACAAGAACACGCACCTGACAGCATAGTAGTAGAAAAAGTCGACGTAGAGCGCCGTCTGCACCATACCAGCAATGAACATGAGCCAAATAAAGTGGTAGGACAACTCGGTTGCAGCACGGTAGATCCAGTTCAGCACATAGCATCCTCGGTAGATTCCCAGCAAAACAACATAATTGCTCGTGAGATTCTCCACTTCTCCATGACGCTGCAGCAAAATGAGCTGCGGAATGATGGCCACGGCCTCGAGGTAGATAGAAAAGGTCCATAGAATCTCCATGACCTCAAACTGCTCATTAAAAACAAGTGCCAGTAGTGCACAGGGCAAGACAGCAAACTTGAAATGCAGGAAGGCATCGTGTGACTTGTCGTACGTGCTACGAAAGGGTTCCTTGAAGCGGATGACGTAGACAATAGCGCCCGAAAAGAGCAAGAAAAGTAGCTTCATGATCGTGTTGTAAACACTAACAAAGTGAAGGAAAAGATCCACATAACGTGTGATAAACACGAGGAAAAAAAGCTCTTGCGTCTTGAGAGAAATACCTAAAGACACAGAGAGAGAGTTGGAAAGAATTGGCAAAAGGACGGAGAGAGACAATGAGATCGAAGAAGAAAACGATACAAACCATTAGCGGAACGAGAAGCCAGTAACTTTAATAGCAGTACGAGGAAGCTCGCTAAGTGCGCCATGTCACCCACCAGGCGAAATGCGTTCATTGTAGACAGACAAGAGCTAAAGGTATCGTCGAGCTTATGGGGTATTGATTGAATCTGTCTGTATATGAACGCCCTCCTCATGACAGTGACATGATAGTGACACATGACGTGGAAGGGTTCAATATGGCTACATACTTTGACAACTACGTGATCAGGCAATAAAAAGATAATGAGCGACTATGAAGTTGTCTTTTTATCGAAAAAATGGTGTGTAAAACGCATTTGAATGAAGCTTCCAGTTGACTGTTTGGATCAATTGATTGCTGCAATACAGTAGGTGTAGATCAGATTTATAGTGACGGTAGATCAACCTTACTGATGATTGTACACGTACTTGTATGGATTGATAAACGATAATGAGTATTTTATACGGTTCTATTCTACGACAGACTCCTTGATGCGACCTCAGCACTCAGTCAAGACCATTTTCGATGACCTCCATGGTGTCCAGGTAAAACCCATCGAGCTCATGATCGATGTCCGTAATATTATATTCACCCATCAAGGTTTCAAACTCAGGTGGGTACTTTTGGTCACAAAGAGTCAAACGACATTGCGTCGTAGACGCATCGGGCCGAGATGAAGTACTGATCGGAGACGGCGACGACATCTGCCATGACGAAGACAACGTCGCTGGTTTGTCTCCACAGCACTCAGTAGCGGCCGTGGTGGCTGGGGTGAAGCAAGAACTTTCAGACAACGGAGACTTGCGGACACAAACAAGAGGTGTTGTTGCAAGCTGGTGCAGTTCGTCGTCGTGGCCGTCGTCCGTACCATCCAAGTTGTTCTGCTCAAAAAACTGGTTGAATCCTTTTTGCTCAATACTGCTGGTGTGAAATGATTGCAGATGGTCAAACCTCGACGCCGCATCTGCTTCGTCATTTGATTGCTTGCTGCTGGTACTAGTGGTGCTGCTGACATTCGACCACTGTGATGTCGGAACAAGCGGCGTCTCAGCAAGCTCGGGTGTAGGTGAGTCGAGGAATGTGTCAGCGTATCCTCCTGCACCGCTGAAGTCAAGATCCTGGTCCCAAAGATACCGAGTATTCGCGCAAGAAGCGTCCACGCTAATATTGGCTGGTGTTTCAACATTGGAAGCGTTCGAGACCATGCTGTAGTAGTCAAAATCGAAGATGTCGGACTTGACAGACCCGCAGTTCCGTTTACGGCAGGGTGTGTGACTGTTTGACTGGTCGGAATGAAGCGCCAGGTAGTGTGTCGTTCGCTTATTCGATCCGACTTTTTTGGTCCCTCTTTTCATCCAGCCCTTCGATGTCTTCGTGATCGTAGTCGGCGATGAAATGAGCCGCGAAAGCGTAGGTGAATCGAGTTCAAAACCGCCCATTTCATTAAACAGCATGGTCGATTGTTCAAGTGTTATGGCATCGGCATCGCTCATTGCAATCTGACTGTCTACATTCAGGCTTGAAGGGTACGCAGTAATTTGGCGAGTATTCAGACTCTGTTCATGGGCGATTGCGCTGGACTGTGCAGCATTCCTGCTCGTTGCAGCTACTCGTGATACTGCACTGCGACTACAACTACTCTTTGTTGCAAAACCGCTTCTGCTGTTGCTGTCACCTGTATTGCTCGTGGTTGTTCCTGATAATCGATTTCTGCTGCCTACCGGATCACCAGTTTTTGCAGCAGCGGCCATCCGCTTGTTTTGTAAGTTGGCCACCCATTGGTCTCGAATCGTATTTCCTGGTGCATGTCTTCCCGTTTTACGGTCCAGCATCTGAATCTGCAATATGTCGCGAATCATGTAAGCAATTGGGTATCCACCAAGAATAAAAGAAGAGTAATCTGTAGACTTACCCGGTGCGCAACGGAAGTGGGAGATAGTAGAAACGACGTGGGGACCGTTGTATCACATGGATTGAAAATGTTGCTCTTGATGCAGGGTGAAGTGGTGGTCATCGTTATAACGCTTTCGACTCGTGCTTTGCCTGTATGCGGTGCGGATTCGTATTCAAAAGCAGCTTGTCACGGCAGACAGTTGAAGAGTTTGAATGTGAGGTATTGTTGCACCCGGCTTGAGATTCCGATAAGGAAGTTTCGTCTGTACCGTTCAACGTCTGGTGTCGACCATGCGCGCAGGTCTCAAGTGACGAAAATTGAAACGACTCAATGGAAGACTGACTGATCTCACACGCAACTCTACATCCAATCGGACAAACGACTGCTAGTTTACGGTAAGGTACAATTGGCGATCCGTTTCGCTGCTTCAGTTTATGGGATTTGTCCACTGCAGCCGTTGAGGTATATGCGTTCATCCGGTGCTATTTGTAGGGCAACATTTAACAAGGTAAACCAAGTTTTCTGTCACTTTCTTGTGGCTTCTCCTCTAGCTGACAAAGTTGGCATTCTCTAGCAGGTCTTTTTTATATTGCTGCTGCTGCTGCAAACGGCACTATTCTAGCGGTCATCACGTGCCGTGACAAGACCGTTACGTGCGCAGGATCTTTGTCCAAGAGCTGCGGTCCACCCTTTAGTTGCCGTTTTCTCTGTGTGCCCCAAGCCGTTGATGTGACCGTTGTGTCTACTACGACTGGAAAGGAAACGCTAACATGACGCATACGAAACAAGGTCTGAACAAAAAGGAAGGCAGATGAATGCAAATGGTGCTTCAAGGTGATCTATAAACCGTTACGCTGGTTACAAAGAGATGGCTTCATTTTACTGGACTTTCAATGGCTAGTAAAAGGTCTGAAGAATTTCGGTAGTCGATTCCTAACATAGCAAGGTCTTCTCTTTGTATCCTTCATGCCAGGGCTTACTCCCACGCAACTTGCAGCATTCAACCGTGACGGCTTCCTCGTGATCCCTGGAGCTCTTTCTGCCTCGACCTGTGACGATTTACGAGCTAAAGCTAACGAATATGTCGCACAATGTGATCTGAACAAACATCGCTCCATCTTTACTACGAATAACCAGACGCGTCGTATGAATGACAAGTATTTTCTCGAGTCAGGTGACAAGATTCGCTACTTTTTTGAGGAAAAGGCGTTTAAAGAGGATCAGAAGACGTTAGCGGTGCCTCTGAATGTTGCAATCAACAAGATCGGCCACAATCTGCACAACCTCGAGCCAGTGTTTCAGCAAGTGAGCTACGCTTCTGAGGTCAAGGACATTCTCAAGTCACTCAACTATGTACGTCCTTTGGTAGTGCAGTCCATGTATCTCTTCAAACAGCCGAGTATAGGAGGAGAGGTGAAGCCTCATCAGGATGGAAGCTACCTCTACACAGAGCCACAGTCAGTGGTAGGGTTCTGGTGGGCTCTGGAAGATTGCATGCTTGAGAATGGGTGTCTGCATGGCGTACCAGGCTCTCATTTGACTGTGACTGTGCGGCAAAGACTACGACGCACTACAAAAGAGCAACAACAGACAAACGGAGGTTTACTGCTGGAAAATGTACCTGAGACGATAGAGCCGTTCGATGTGAGCAAAAGCCAGCCACTGATCACGAAAAAAGGAGACCTGGTGCTGCTGCACAGCTCATTTGTGCACTACAGCGAAGCCAACCGATCGTCCAAGTCACGCCACGCGTACTCGATCCACGTAGTGGAGAGTCACGAGGTGGAGTACCCAAAGGATAATTGGCTGCAAATGACCGACAACGTGCCTTTGAAGCCGATGTACGAGAGCTGATTTCAGCTGTTGACGGTGGAACCTGAAGCTAAAGTGAACGTGTGTGTTACAAGTCAGATGTTCCACAGAGATAAGTCGGCGTCAATGCAGCATCTCGCATTTTCATAGTCACTAGCCTCGCTCTCCAGTATTTTTAGTCGCGAAACGTCTAAGCTCCAACGGATTTCTTTTACTTCTGGGTGTCCTTCAGCCACTACATGTGTCTCTTTTACTGTACACCCCATGACACCCACCACCAACGTCACGACATCCGTAGCACCACCCGTGACAATCGTAGCGTAGCAATTCCTGTAGTAAGAATTTCTTCTCATGGCCAATGTGGTGCACCCAAAAGACTGAAACCGTCCTTTATTAAGGTGTCTGCACTGAGCGATGATGATCCATACGTTTCGGACAAGAGGTGGAAACCGTGCGCGTTTCGTGGAAGCGGCAATTCTTCATCGCTGGAAGAGTGAACAGATCGTTCCGCCGGTACAGAAGCTTAGCGACGACATTCGACGCTCACAGGAAGAAACGCGCCATGTGTTACTCCTGATCCGTACCTTTAAGCAGGTACAACAGTCTCTCTCTCTCTCTCTTTTATATAGACTCTTACCTTTACAGCTCTAAACTCTCTCTATTTCTTTTACTGTTTATTAGTATGGACACTACGTTGCTCAGATTGATCCTCTTCAGAAACGTAGGGCTTTTTGGTAGCTAAGCAAAGGGCACAAAGACGCTTACACATGTTTATTGCAGGGGAGAAATTGCCAGAATTAGAGCGATGGATCAATGGAGATCGGTGGGTTGAGACGCCCTTTTTTGATGAGTTTAATCTACGCAGTCTTGCGTCCAAGAACCTCTTGGAGCTCACGAGTCATGGTAATGTCTTTAGGGAGGATCATTTCCAGGCTTTTTATCTCATTTGGTTCTCTTTGTATACAGGTTTTACAATCAGTGACTTGGATCGTGAGTTTTTTATCGGCCAAGATCTTTCTATTGGCCCAGTTGCAACACTCCGAGAGGTCGGACTCGAGTTTTAAGCTTTAGATAACAATGACTTGTTATCTGATGGCTGCTGTATTGTGGCTGTTTGGTTTTTAAGATTGTGACGGAGCTAAGAGGGCTCTTCTGTGGCCACATTGGAATAGAATATCAGCATTTGCGTAATCGAGATGCTGCACTTTGGATCCGCGAGCGTCTTGAAAAGTACAAGGTAGGAACAATAACACGAAGTTACTCAAAAAGGAACTTGTAGAAACTCAGTGGGTTTATTTTTCTTTTTATGCAGGAACACCAATTCAGCAATGAAGAAAAGGTGGATATGCTGCGTCAAATGGTGCAGGCAGAACTCTTTGAGCGCTTTCTTGGGCGGCGTTTCTCCGGAGCAAAGCGATTTTCGATTGAAGGTGGTGAGAGCTTGATTCCTGGCCTTTGTGAGCTGCTTGAGAATGCTAGTAACCTCGGGGTCGAGGTCGTCCAGATGGGAATGGCTCATCGAGGCCGTTTGAATGTTCTGGCAAATGTGTTGCAGCGACCCCTCCGTTCCATTCTTTCCCAGTTTCAGCCGTATCTGCCAGATGAGCCGGACTACCCGAACAATTCTGATGATGTGCGGTACCATCTTGGAACATCGTCAGTTATTGAAATGCGCAACGGCAAGCATCTGGAAATTAACTTGGCAGCAAATCCGTCGCACTTAGAAGCGGTGAATCCGGTTGTACTCGGCCAAGCTCGAGCCTGCCAAATGCAACTGGGGGATAACGGAAGTCGAGTAATGCCAATTTTAATTCACGGAGACGCTTCAATGTTCCAGGGATCAGTGCGAGAAGCGTTGGGTTTCAGCTCACTGGAAGACTTTCGAACGGGAGGAACGATTCATGTCGTCATCAACAATCAAATCGGCTTCACGACACTACCTAAGAATGCAGATTCAGCCGTGTATTGCACGTAGGAGTGACACTTTTGAAAACGAGCATTGCACTGCTTGTGGCCACTGCTGACTATGCATCGTTCTGTGTTTTGTTTTTGGACCAGCGATGTTGCTAAGGTTTCTAGAAGTCCGATCTTTCACGTAAATGCTGATGACCCGGAGGCGGTGGCTAAAGTGATGAGAATGGCAGTTGAATTCCGTCAGACATTTCACTGCGATGTGGCTATTGATTTGGTGTGCTACCGTCGTCACGGACACAACGAACAAGATTCACCAGAGATTACAGCTCCCGTCATGTATCACTTCATTAAAAAACACCCCACAGTCATCAAGCTATACTCTCAAAAGCTTGCGAGCGAGGGCATTTTGCCATCAGACGACTATGCAAAAATGTGTTCCACGTTCGAGAATCACCTTGTCTCCGAATATGACCACTCACGTGAAAATTATTCCGGATGGGACAATTCCGGCGATACGTCGTGGAAAACCGAGTGGTATAGTGACAGGAAGGATTTTCGCGCTGAGATTTTGAGCAGTATTGCTGGTACCTCTAGCACTAGTGGAAGTCAAATGTACGATAGATCGACGGGCGTCGACAAGAAGTTCTTAGAAAGGGTAGGCAGCCAGCTGTTTCGGATTCCGCAGGGATTTTCGGCGCATGAGAAGGTCGAAGCCATCATGAATAATCGACTGCGCGCAATTGAGACTGGGGCTCGCGTGGATTGGGCAACGGCAGAAATGCTGGCGTTTGGTTGCTTAGTCGTGGAAGGGGTTGATGTACGACTTAGCGGGCAAGACTGTGAACGTGGTACCTTCAACCAACGCCACGCCGTCCTGTACGACCAAGTTGAGGCTCTGTCTGGGCGCAACTTGTCCTACACGCCTCTGAACGACCTTGACGTAGAGGGAATAAGATCCACACTTCAAATGACCGGATTAGAAAATGCACTGCGAGGACGCTTCGACGTAGTCAACAGCCCGCTTAGCGAAGAGGGAGTGCTTGGCTTTGAATACGGGTACTCCTTGCAAACTCCGATGGGTTTGACCATTTGGGAAGCTCAATTTGGTGACTTTGCAAATGGTGCCCAAACAGTGATTGATACCTTCATCACGACGGGTGAACAGAAGTGGCAACGGCAGTCAGGAATCGTGCTCAATTTACCGCATGGCTTTGAGGGCCAAGGACCAGAGCACAGCAGTGCACGGATCGAGCGTTTCCTCCATCTGGTTAACGAGGACAGCGACGACTTTACACCTGAGCAGGATGTCGATGCTGCAATAACGCGGACGAACATTCAGGTGGTTATTCCATCCACCCCTGCCCAGTATTTCCACGCTCTTCGTCGCCAAGTATCTTCCAGCTATCGGAAGCCGCTGATTATGTTCACCCCAAAGTCGCTGCTTCACCACCGCCCATGCAATTCAGACTTGGCGGACTTGGCTCTGGGCACGTCATTCCAGCGTGTGCTCCTACCACACCCGGATGATCAAGTTACAATGGTGAATGATGATGAGGTACGCATAATCTTTTTAGTGTTTTACTTGGCGTGCATACTGACGCTTGCAAACCCCTCTCTTTGCTCGTTAGATCCGCAAGCTGGTGCTCTGCTGCGGAAAGATTTACTTTCCTGTGCGCCATTGCATGCGGAGCCGTGGGATTTGTGACATCTCTACGACTCGGCTTGAGCAACTAGCTCCGTTCCCGTTTCATGAAGTGGCAGACTGCATCGCACGTTACCCCAATGCGGAAATTGTATGGGTCCAGGAAGAGCCGAAAAATATGGGCGCGTACAGCCATGTACTTCCGCGCTTACGGACCGTGCTCAAACAGTTAGGTGATTCCCGCGAAATTTCTTACATTGGACGTCCTCCGTCTGCCTCACCTGCAACAGGCCAGTACGAAGTCCACGTTCATGAGATGAAAGCAATCGTCGATGAGGCGCTGCGTGAAAATGATTAGGTTCGTCCACTTACGGATGCAATGCAACTTTGTAACTTTGCCGATGTCTCACTCACTACACACCTCCTGCAAGCAATAACTGCTAGATGATATATAGTCAAAGACGGTGTAGCCATTCAGCACAACACCTATGCTCAGATTATTCAAATCCCGCCCGCTTGGAATCGCTCCTGCTTCGCTTTGTTTCGTCTTCACGATCTAGCTCAGCCACAATGATCAACGGTTGGTGCGTCGGTGCTTTGCTTATGACATTTGCAGCTTCGAAGACGGAGATCAGAGCGTGCTCTAAATCCCCTATAATTGACGCCGCTGTTCACACATGCTCGTCCATTGAAGCAGCCACCCCAGCGTCCAGGATACACGAGAATATGAGGCAGCCCACCTCTGCTGACATCGAGGTTGGTAGTTTGCTTCAACTAGCAAAGGCAGCACCATTTGTCGCCTACCCGGCGCCTTTGATCAAGCAGCAGCACCTTATTGCAGATTTTATCAAACGCTCCCGTACAGATGAGGTTTTCATGCCCTCAAGGACCGATTCGCGCTGGAATGCTCCAATGCAAATTGGTATGACGGGGACGGAGTTTCTTGCGCAGTATGGACTTCAGGTCAAACCTACACCAGGCACTGGGAATTGTCAATACTATGCAATAGCGATGTCTCTGCTTAATTTGGAATTCGACACATCGACGCATATTAAGATGTTGGAACAAATGACTCAATACTTGAAAGAAGGGATTGCGCAAGCGAGCCGTCATGCTTACGATGTAGAATTTCCGCATGATATCCGACAAGCCATACTGGTGAGCGTTCAATTGGACATTGGCGATCAAGAGCTGATGGTGCCCGAGACAGCGGAGGAATCGGATCTGTACTTCCAGCAATACATATACGACATCGCGCAGTCACCGTCCTCAATCTCGTCGTATTTGTTGGCGGGACAATGGGGCACAGAAGTTACGCTTCGTATGATGGCAAAGCTTCTGCAGCAACCGATATTTCTGATCATTGCACCTCGAGGTCTACAAGCAGCTCCCGAGTTTCAAGTCTACCAACCCGAACGTGTGACTAAAACTGGGCTTCAATTTGACACGGTGGAAGAATATTATATCGCTGGATCTGAATCGGAGCAGTGGGTTTCTCGGCTTCAGCGAGTTTGTCGGGATCCCAAATCCATGGCCAACCCGCCTATAGTGCTTCTGTATAACAATTTTCACTACAGTCGCGTGCAATTTGTCCCGCTGAGCTATCGTCAAGTGCAAAGTAAATGACAGAGACTTCACCACGACGTCGCTCAACGTCACCAAACGAACAACGTTTGCTTGTAGTGGCATGTATTTGACAATTGACCTTAATTGTAAGTACCGATGTCATGAGAATACCAACTGCAAGAGACACGTAGCCCAGTAGCAGCATGTAGTTCTGTCGGCTCAAGTACTTCTTCATATGGCCGTCAGAAGTTTTCCTGGAATTGCACGTCTGCTTTGACAGCACATTAATCTTACTACTTTAGCAAAGACACAGAGTGGAAAGACTCTTGAAATCTAAAGACTTGATTCTACTCAGGATTAGCTCTACCTTTTCTCAACACTCACGGTCCAAGCCCGCTCCCATGAATAACCAGGTCCCGGATAGACATTTCAACAGCAGTAAAATTCATGGCGGATGAAATGATGGGCAGACCGTGCTTGAACTTCTAACGCTTCCTCTTTTCGGATCAGGTTCCATCACCGTTTGAATGTTCTGCGTCATTTTTGTCATCCTCACTTGCTGGACATTTTCCAAGGATACAACTCCACTTTGAGTCGGTGACTATCTTGCATCTGAACTCGCAGCTGCGCTGGCAGTGACTTGAAAAGATTCGAGTCACTTCTCTTCATTATGCCTTCGAACCACACACGAGACAAGGTCTCTTTGCAAAATGTAGGATCAGGTTGTGTCCTTACTTGCACACTTGCCATGACTACGTACGTAATGCCCTCGGATCGATTGACTTCTGATCCATTTTACTTGATTGCCATTCATCTCACTTCCGATTCATCACGGCATTCTCATCCGATTCAGCTTCGCTTCGTCTCCGAAACCTCCTCCCACAATCGCCATGGTTAAAGTTTGGCACGTTACTGCATTTGTAGCTCTGGCTGCTTTCAATGCAAACATGGACGCCTCCATGATCTCTACCGACAGCGCTACTATCACGCAGTCGGCACCTACAATGACTGCAATCGACTCAAAGATCAGTTCACTTCAGCACCCGATCATCATCGGCCATCGTGGCGCACCGGGGTATCTGCCCGACCACACTATCGAGGGTTACATGCTTGCAATCGAAGTCGGCGTCGACGTTATCGAGCCCGACCTCGTCAGTACAAAGGATGGCGTGCTCGTCCTGCGACACGAACCTTACATTGACGGCACCACCAACATCGCCGACCACCCGGAGTTCGCCGACCGTCTCACCACCAAGATGCTGGACGGAATCGCTGTGCGCGGCTACTTTGTCAGTGACTTTACGCTCGAAGAGATCAAGACGCTGCGTGCAGTGCAACCACTGCCCGAACGCAACCAGAGCTACAATGGTCTTTTCAAGATCCCGACGTTCGAGGAAGTTATCCGGCTGGTGCAGAAGAAGTCTGCCGAGTACAAGCGCACCATCGCCATTTACCCAGAAGTGAAGCACTCGAGCTTCCACAAGGCGCTTGGAGTGCCCATCGAGAACACCATGCTCGAGCTGCTGACAAAGTATGGATGGAACCACGCTGACGCTCCTGTGTTCATTCAGTCGTTCGAGACCGAGAACTTGCGGGAGCTTAACGCAGTCACCAACGTCACGCTGGTGCAGCTTATTGACGGCTTCGGCAGCGACCCGATCACTGGAGATGTCATCTTCGATGTGCCATCCGTCCGACCGTACGACTGGGTGCTGGCCAACCGCAAAGACAACTACGGCTACCTCACTACGCCGGCCGGTCTTGCTGAGGTGGCCACGTACGCCGACATCGTATCTCCCTGGAAACGATACCTGCTCAAGGCCGCTGCCATCAAAGTGGACAAAAGTGGTAAGACTATGGACTCGAACGGCGATGGTCGAATCACAGATGCCGATTATAACATCATCGAGTATTCGAACGTTATTGAGGACGCGCACGCCGCTGGACTAAATGTGCACACCTGGACGATGCGTGACGAGAAGTACCGTTTAGCTGCGAACTATTCTGGCAATGCGATGCTCGAATACTTGCAGCTTTTTGACATGGGAATTGACGGTGTGTTCAGCGACAACTGCAAGACGGCAGTACACGCCCGAGATGCATGGCTAGTCCAGCAGTAGAATGATCTTGCACGAATCCTTCTTGTCTAGATCAAAGCTTTTATATATAGTGGTGTCAATGGTTTCGGAATTGCGTATTCAATTAGGGTGCTTACTTCCGTGTCGCTGGAAGATCAACCAACACGCTGTTGTCTTTACTGTGGTTGTAGCCATTACGTTCAAATCTCGGAATATAGCTTCCGGTAGAGAGATTCCTGTTCGTGACGTGCTTCGAGGTACATCGCATGTGCTGCTGCATCAGGGTGCGAGTACTCGAGATGCGTGGTCCCTTCTGAAAACGATGCAGACTCTTCGAGCGAATGAAGGCCCAAGTAAGTCCCAATAAGCACCGCAAGGCCACGCGAAGTGGTTTCTATGGCGCTTGCTTCGAGGATCAGCTTCTTTCCCAAGGAATCAGCTATCATCTGACGCCAGATTTGGGACGACGTGAGCGCAGTCCCGCTCGCGACAACTGTTGCATTGCGATCAGCAGAAAACGCTGGCATATAGAAGTTCACAAAACACAAAACAGGTAAACCAGTCAAAAAAGGTTGTAGCGATTACAGAATCGAAAGATACAGTGGCGTACCGAGAAGAGAATATAGCACGCCGATACGAATGGCAACTGACTCCATGCCAGCACGCAACACCTCAATTGGTGTTGTCCACCTGTTAATGCCGCTGATAGTACAGGTCGCATTTTCCAGCCAGCCTGGTGACCGTTCGCCACTCAAAAATGGCAAGATGGTGAGACCGTGCTTTGTCGGAGCAACTCTTTCGAGCTGGGACGTTAAATCTGTACAAGAGCATAGGCATATTGGCCAAGTCAGACATAAACCGTGAGGGATTCAGTTATTGAGGTGCAAGTTGGACGTACCCTCGTCATTGAGACGAAGTGACTCGCGGAAGAACTTGTACACTGATCCACCATCACTGAGCGCTCCACCAAGAAGAACGTGATATCTACCAATACGATAGCACCACAAACCCTTTGGCACCTTGGCTGTCTTCATTGCTTCCGCATGCAGTACGACACGAAGCGCGGCGCTGGTACCTAAGGTCACCGCAATCCTCCTTCTCTGACGCCAAAAGAAATCAGTTCGATGTGAGTACATGAAACGATGCTTCTTTTTCAGTTTTGTGACCACGTACGATCCATTGATGCACTTGGACCCGATGTTAGCTGCAGCACCATCAGATACACCTAAGAAGAACGGCACATTTTTCAGCTCGGGCCATCGTCTCGAGAACGTCCCGTTTAGACCAACAAAAGGCACAGAAGAATCTGCAAGTGGCGGCATCTTGCTGCTGTCCATTCCAACAAGTTCAAGTAATCGTGAGTCCCATTGACTGCGTCTAAAGTCAAGCAATCCCATCCATGAGGCTTCCGAGAAGCTGATAGGAAGGCATCCATTCTGTGCCACAGTCGTCCACTTGCCAATCAGATATCCTGAAATACTCTGCCACTTGACAACCTGTTGTACAACACTTGGTTCTTCCTCATGAAGACGTAAGAATGTAGCAGGTGCATAGGCCGGATGCACGACCGTTCCTTGCAGCATAAAACTTCAGTTTCATTTGTCCGTGTAGCAGTAGTTATCATAGCATTTTACCAGTGCGATTATGAGCTTGATCGAGTTCTCCACGAGTTATCAGTCTCTGCTGTAACTCCTTTGCCCACTTGGCCGTCGTCAGTCTCCTTTCAGCATACTACAATCAAGTAAATAAGGTCAGTAACAGTGTAAATGTAAACTCACAGCTGCAGGTCCCACCGTATACACGGGCGTCACTACTTTTCCTTCCAAGTTCATGCCTAGTACATTCATACCAAATGTACTAAAGCCAACACCAACGAGCTCCTTCATAAGGTCCGTGATCCTTAGAAACTCCATTGTACGATCCAAAAGTTGCTCTACAATGGACGAAATTGTAGCACAATTGGCCTCTCCATATATATTAATCGAGTTCTCATGTTGTTGCTGTAGAGACCCGTTAATAAGGACCCAATGAGCCTCAGACACGAGTGCGAAGCAGCTCGTACGGATTGAAGAGCTTCCGATGTCTATTGCGATAACTATAGGACGACCAAGGTACTGTTGTGGTTGAGCATAACCATGTAGATACTTTTGATACTGTAGACGCTGCTTACGAGAGCGATAGAGCCACGCACAGACCAGAGAAGACGCAGTCAATAGCGACAGGAAGACCTTCATTCTGACATAAGTCATGATATTTTGTACCCAATTGAAGAACCCTTTTTTTCGAGAAAAAGGGTCTTTATTCGATTCAGTAGGTGGTGGGCGCTCAAAAGTGACCGACCATTTTACATTGTAACAACACGCACACACACACACACAACACAATGCTGAGCTCTCGATATCTGCCAATGCATCGAGCCTTCCACGCGTCTGCCCGTCGCTTGGCCATTCGAACCGTTAATGTTCCGTCCATGGGTGATTCAATTAGTGAAGGAACTCTTGTGGAGATTGTCAAGAAGGCGGGAGATGTCGTACATGCTGACGAGGTGGTACTTGTGATTGAGACTGATAAGGTACCAATCCAAAAGACACTATAGAGATTTGTGACAGATGAACTAACTACTTTATACTGCTGCTGCTTTGCTAGGTGAGTGTGGATGTGACAAGTCCTGTGGCTGGAACTGTCGTGGAAGTACTGGCTCAATTGGAGGAAAACGTAGAAGTGGGCAAACCGCTCTTTACGCTGGACGACGCGCTGTTTGACAGCGGCTCTAGCAAATCTGCACAAACCGCGACCACGGTGTCATCAGAACCAGCACCTGCAGCAGCTTCTTCTGCAGTTGCTTCTGCCGCTTCTGTATCATCTGGACGCCGCGTGCCCCTTATCGAGTTTTTGGGCAAGCGCTCGCTGCTGCCTACCAAGCCATTACCGTCGTCCAAACCTATGGATCTTGATCTACCGCCGTCGCCTATACATGCAGTACCTGTTGAGCCGTCCAGTGCCAATGTCCTTCCATTTACCAGTGCAAAGCGCTTGACGCTGTCGCCTGAAGAAGTCGAATCGATCAACTCGGGTCTTGCCTTCTTGTGAGCTTGGAATCATGCGGCGAAGACCATTCACAGCGCTCGATGTTGACGATAGAAAGTGGACGAGAGCTAAGGGATACGCTGGAGGAGCGCTTATAAAGAGTTCAGTCTCTGGTGAAAGACCAAGTACAAATATACAGCAGCGATTGCATGCATGGTTTAGATATAATAAGGCGTGCCTGTTCTTCTACGCAACACATCACACAGAGACGACCGCAGCTGGGCCGAACATTTCGTGCTGTGGGCACAGACCGCCACCAATGGCCCAGTCGTTGCAGCCTGGTACAGTGCATTTTTTGCCCCCGCCGTGAGCCTTGCAGTAGCCTCCACCGCGGTTCGTCTTGACACAGCCCTCCGTTTTGCAGCGCCCTCCGCCGCCATGCCGAATGCAATGACCACCGCTATTTGCCTTGCGCGTGCATTCCGGAAAGCTGCAAGGTTTTGTACCACCGTGAGCCTTGCAAAGTCCACGTGCCTGCCCCAGACGCTCGCACCCGGCAACTGTACATCGTGGTTTCCCACCATGCGCACAACAACGTCCGAACCGGATCTAAAGGCAGCAAAACAAGCAAGTACCGTCAGCAAGAGTCACACACGAATCTATCTACCTTGCTCCACCTTGTCTCGTACCTGCTTCTTCGTGCAGTCCGGGATCGTGCAGGTGAAGCCACCACCATGTGCAAGGCAGAAGCCACCGCCTTGGTCATGCTTGTCGCACCCACGACGTGAGCAGCGCTTGCCCGTTCCGCCGTGCTCCTTACATCGTCCGCCATTGAGAGCCCAATTGCGGCAATTATCAGCTTGACATCGTCTACCTCCCCCATGTGCCTTGCAGCGACCTCCACCAACACATGGCGTCGTGCATCCTTCCACATAGCACTTCTTGCCGCCGCCATGGGCAACACACAGTCCGCCTCCTTTGTCCTTCTTGCCACATCCCTGTACTTTGCAAAAATAGCCACCCCCATGAGCCTTGCACTTGCCCTGTCCCCGGTCGTATTTCTCGCAACCTTCCACCTTGCAACGTGCACGACCTCCATGGCCACTACAGACTCCGTAGCGAATGGCCTTCTTGGTACAGCCACTTGTCCTGCAGTCTCGTCCTCCTCCATGGGCCAGACACAGTCCTTGTCCAGCATCGTACTTGTTACATTTCTTAATCGAACATTTTCGTCCTCCTCCATGTGCACAACAAAGTGCTGAAGTGCCCAGTGCCACTCGTGTACATCCTGTCACGCCACAGCGTTTCGAGCCTCCATGGTCCGGACACGTGCGTAAATTAAAAAAAGCACAAAATGGGGTCTGACAACGGTATCCACCACCATGAGCAATGCAAAAACCTCCTGCCTGAGCAAATTTAAGGCAATTTTCAAAGCGACATTGATAACCTCGTCGATCTCCAGTCTCTATCATTGAAGTAGCATCTCGTTCTTGTTCTTTTCCAGCCTCTATTGGCTGAATATCCATCTGTATTCTTCTAATGTTGATCCTATCGATCATTTCGTCCTCAGCTTCCACTTGAATGTCTTCTTCTGGCTCTTTTTCCGTCTCAAGCACTTGCATTCGATCTGAAATCTCCTGTGTCTCTTCCTCGTCGTCTCGAGTTAGTAACGGCATGACAAATGATGGTGGTAAATCAGAACCATCCATTCCCTCATCATTAAACACTGATTCTCGATGCGTATCTCCAAATAAAGCAGCCGATGCTGTCGCTACTTCCCGCTCTTCTTCGTCGGCCTCCATGACAAAATTTAATTGCAATATTTCGAATACACGTGATCAAAAATCATCTTGGGATACACAAATTTGTTGGTTGATACAATATTGCAACGATATTGTAGCACCAGCTAATGTATACTTGTAAGATTAGCCAAGTATACACTATTTTCATTAACCGGTCCCAAATCGGAAATTTAGCCTATAAATTTGTCTATAAGGCGTACAATACTACATTACGAATCAACAGTATTGCAATACTGCTCCAGTGACCATGTCAGGCATGACGAGGTAAGTGCTAATTGCTATGCTTGCTATCTTCTACCTATCCCATCATTGTAATCATGTCTGTATCTCTCTCTCATAGAGTTGTAATCATTCAAGATGTTAACATTACGCAAAAATACCAGGAATTATTACGTAAACTCGAGACAATGGGCGGTGAAAAAGTCGGACGACATGTAGTTCATTGTCGTCTCTTTCATCGGAAGATGCTCACAGGTAAAGCAAGTATACAGTATACTATACATACTATACAAAAAACAAGATGCTAAAGGATGAGGAGGTTCTTGCTATTACAGATGGCTACATGAATCAACGGATGTTCATGCTTCGAATGTCACAGAATGATGACCTCGTGTACGCTGTACTGGCTAATGAAAAAGCTCATGGCTTGGCACCCAATGATAATGGACTGGAGGGACTTATGGCAGACTGTTCACTGCTAGAATGTGGACTAGATGGAGCCAATATTTTACAGCAGGTGGAGATTTATGCCTTTAAATCGGACGGACAATTTGAAGTGAGCTAAGAGTCTCGTTTTAGTCTCGTGAGCTAAGAGAAGAAGAGAGACTGACGTCGCTGTCCCTCTTGATCTTGTGCAGGGTACACAGTATATTGTCGGGGATTTTGTGGTAAGCGTCTGTACGTTCATGTCCCGCAATAATCAGCCTCGAGGTCTCATCATTGAGGTGCAGTACTCACCGTGCTACACCGTGTCGCATGTGGATACGCTGATTGACGAGTTCTTGAGCAACTGCACCTCGCACGACCATCTGCGCAAACCCGTGGAAAATATGACTGCACTGTTTGAAAAAGCAGGGCTGCCAAACAGTGAGTACAGTCTCAAACACACGGCATTGCAGTACGTTGCAGCGTTCAATATCCTGCGCAAATTCGAAAAGTAGAACTCGGTTTTTGTAGAAGTCCTCATCTTCGCAGGTATGAATTAATAAGCCAAGACATCGTAAGAATACATGCATTATGAGCTGCCAGCGCTTCATAACAAGAATTTTGCTGGCTTGAAATTTTCTCCGCGATCCTGTTACCTGGCTGATCTACGAGGAGGCCCCAGGAGAGGCAGCTGTGATAGTATTGCCACCAAGCGAGGCTAACGGACTGGCACTTGATGTGCCGGGGGCCGAGCCGAGACACGTGCGAGCCACGTCGTCAAACACCTCCTTGATCTCGCTTGAGCACTCGAGGTAGTCCTGCTCCCAGAATTTGTAGCTCTTGTTTCGAATCAGCTCAATGAACGTCACCAGCAGACCCCACGGGTGTGGACGGTTTGCAATGAGACGCTCAATGAGGACGCGCGTAATTTGCTCCTTCACCATCTTATTGTTTGAGTACGAGAACAGGTACAGAATTACGCAGCTGAAGTAGTGCGTATGGCTGTTCGGGTAGCGCAGGTGGTTCGCCAGAGAACTAAAGTACCAGTAGCGGCCCTCCGTGTCCAACTCGTCCGCAAGATAGCGGAATACATCCATAGCTGCGCTTTTTTCAAACTTGGTATTCGAAGCCCCGTCGCCATCAGCTCCAGAAGACGTCGGTGGCGGACTCACAGGAGTAGAATCACCGTTTGCCATTTCCGCAATGCCCTCTTTGCCCAGATATAGCACAACTGCATTGAGAGCGGGTAGCGCATACATACAAGACGTCGGGTCACGCTCTAGCTGGGCAGCAGGGCGCATCAGCTTGGAAATGAGGTCCGTAGGGAATACAGATGCCCGGTTTGTTGTCGCATGCAGGAACTCATCAACATACTCCTTAATGCCATTGTGGGTGAGCGCAGCGCCCCATGCAGGCATCAGCCGCGGAGCCACGCTTACTTCCGGAAGTTGAGAGACCTGCAGACCCAAAGTGAGCGGGTCGGGCAGCCGCATCGAGCGAGAAAACGCCGAGAGGATCACGTTACGCAGTTGAACACAAGCTGCCGGCAGCACGTCACAAAAGCTCGTGTAGAAGTCGCTCAGGAAGTCCGGGTAGTCATGAAGGAGTACCAAAATGATACGAACAACGCCTTTGTAAAGCGCCGAAATAGAATCCGGAAGTGGCACGGCCGAGTTTGCGTGGCGCAAGAACGGCTCCATGAACACCAGCAGATTCATAAGAAGGCGGTGCAAAATCTGCCAACCACGCTGCTGTTTCGCACGCAGCAGCAATGGCATGAAACAACGATGCGAGATGAGCTCCGTCCAAGCAAACACGAAGCCAGGCAATCCCAGAGGCTGTAGCGTGTTGTACGCACTAGCAAATGTGTTGAGAACTTGCAGGTGGATGGCATCCAAAGCCGGCTCTTGCGCCGTTAACTCTTTCATGAGGTTCACAAACATGCGGAAGAAGACGCGCTGATCGAATCGCGCCTTCTTCTTGCGCGAGAGGTCGTGTGCCGCAACTAGCACATTCGCAATGGCACCAACAGCGTGGTTGAGCACCTGGAGCTTTGCAGCGGGCGAGGGATCAAGATATTTAACGAGTAGAGCCATTAAATGCGTAAGTGCGTCCAATACCGCGTAGTTGAGCGGAACTTTTGTACCAGCCTTGAGCGTAGCAGCGTCGTTCGCAGCGAATGAGCTCTTCAGACACGCATCCACACATAGTTCCGTGCCAAACTTAAAAAAGAGGGATATGCTTTCGTCATCAGCAAGCAATCCATACTGCTTCAGCATCTGGAGATACTGAGCATGTATCTTGGAGTTTCCAGTTGGCTCTTTGTAAATGGCGATCCAGTGCTCCAAAGCGTTGCTCACAGTGTGCCGAAAAGCAGCGTGCTCCTGCACCAGAGGTCGGTCCCCAGAGGCCTTCGCACTGCCACTACTGATTGAACCCATTCTCTTTTGCGGCGCTGGTGGTGCCGGACGATTTTGCATCTTTTGTGCACGCGCTTGCTCCAGCAGTGCAGCAAGGATCTGCACATTCTTATTCGCTGTAGCACCTCCATGGCGCTCCACAATGCGCGCAAGTGCTTCCAGAGTGTTTGACAGGTGAGTAGCGACACTAACGTGGTCAATCATCAAACATTGGCGGACAACGTGAACAGCAAACTCGATGGCTACACTGTTGCGCTCCATGTTGCGTGCCATGTAAACGTCAAAATCACTTGCATCCGCCACCTTGAAGCGGATTAGCGCCACAATTATTTCACAGTGCAGCTTTAATTTGTCGTCAACTGGCGCGCGCAGTACCCATCCCACAATTTCCTTGCAAAGTGTCTCGCAGCTAGCAGTCAGCGCCTCCAATGAGCTCACAAGAATTTCCAAGAACAACTCATTGCCTCGACCACCATTACCCAACTCGTACATGAACTTCACAATACGGTTCGCAATCTTGAGACAAGCTTCATCGCGCAGCGCTGGCCGCACACTTCCCCCAAGTGCACGTACCTCACGAAGAATGGCAAACACCTCGCTTTCCGTAGGAATAGCTAGCAGCGACGGAAGCTCGCGCTGGGTAGCCGCAGCCTGGCGAACCACTTTCTGCACGAATAGTTCAAAACGTTCCAACAATCCAGCAAAGCGGTCCAAGGCTGCCGACACGCTCACACCAGCGGTGTCGCCCTCCTTCTCGACCGCACCACCTGGGTATACACCGACACCGGCACGAGACGAAAGAGGCATGGAAGTGGGTCGTGGGATACGCTGGAACGCCTCGTAAACCACAAGTTGCATGGCAAGAACTCCGCCTGGCTTAGGCTTAAAGACTTCGGGCAAAGCTGCCGGCCATTGGCCACTAGGAGCGCCGGGCGAGCCGACTGAGGCCGCTACTGCCGTGCTGCTTGCGCTGCCTTCGAAAAAGTGCACTCCATCAGCCTCTGGTGTCGTACCAGCATGCGCTTGCTGCTGCTGATACCGCCGGCGTGATGCATATGCGCCTGCAAGGGCTTCATCGATATCGCGCATGGCTTTCTCAGATGAAGCTTTCTCAATAAGCATGCAACCCAAGTCTGTATTCTCGTTCGAGCAGACTTGGATCACATGTTCAAGCTGTTGCGGGTCCCCTGCATTGGTGGGAAGCAGCGCACGGAGATGTGTACCGATGGCATTTCGAAGCGGCTCCTTCGCTGTAATAAGTGCCAACGATCCTGACATTGACGCTACCATCAGATGCGCCGCCTTCCGCATTTTCGTATCATCAGATTCGGTGGCAAAGTCCTTCAAAATGACCTCGCGAGTTGTAATGCATGCGATGGTTACACTGCGTTCCACCACAGGGGAGATTACCTCGCGAATTGCACGATCCACGGCGAGGGGTACAAGGCGACGCAAGTTAACGTTGCGCAGCGGTAGCTCAGGATTCACAGCGACATACGAGGCTAGGTTCGGAATCACGGTCGACTCCGCAGCCGCCGAGCCAGCATTAGCTGCGCCAAGCGAGCCATACGACACTGCCTCTCTCCCAGCCGGACTTCCCGCAGGTGCAAACCCATCGCCCGGCTTTTTCGTTTGTTTTCCTGGTGTCAATGGTCGACCCAGCTTAGCTCCCGAGCCAGGCGGTGGCGTGGCAGACCGCTGCCCCATCGCTGGATTCTTTAGAACCTTGACATTGAAGTCAGGGTTTGCCGTGCGCGGTGGTGCACGACGCGTATGCAAAAGCTGCGCCTTGCGCTGATCTTCCACGTTAAGCTTAAACGACTTGAAAAGAACTTCAATTTCAAACTTGAGGTTAAGCTTGAGGTCCGGCACATCGTAGATCTCACTCATGGCATGGATGAGACCCATAACCCACGGATTTGGCGGCTTGAAGATCTTCGATTTTTTGCAACCTTCTAGAATTTTAGCAACAAAGGGTGTCACAGCGATGAGATGGCCAGTCTCGTAGCCCACGTATAGTAACTCTTTCAAGTCCAAATCACGTTGCAGCAAGGGTTTGTTGCGTGCGAGAGTGAAGACGCCGAGCCACGAGCCTAGGTTTTTCAGCAACGAGCGTTGCTGCGAGTTGGTAGTGATCGTTCCCGAGGTTAGTAGTTTGCGCGTATTCTGAAGAGTGCGCTTGAGAATCTCACGCTCAAGCTCTGGTCGCACAAGTTTCTCGATTAAAATCAGGTACACCGTGTGGTAATTGGGCTGGGTTGAAATGCGCTTCACTACCAGGTAGTTCGCGAGCCAAGCGTGATACGTAGGCAGTAGCATCTTACGCATCTCTGGGATCTTCGCCTCCAAATTGGATATGGACATGTTGTTCACAATAAAGTGTATACGATCCTTCACATTTTCATCAGGCTGCTCGACAACCTCTTCCTCATCCACCTTAATCGACTCGTGGAAAATATGATCCACAATTAACTCTGGTGCAGGGGCGACAGGGGGTGGTGGCGAGGCAGCTGGTACTTTAAGTAGCGGGGATGCCAATGACGGGCCTGCTGACCGACTTAGGATCGACGCTGGGATTTTGATAATCTCGTCTTGACCCTTTGCACCAGATCCTTCAGGAGGCGGTGACCCAGGTCCAAATGACGCGGCAGTACTACTTAATCTCGTCGCTCCGTCTCCTTCACTAGTACCACTCAACGAAGGCAGTGCACCACTCAACGGCGGCAGTGCACCACTCAACGGCGGCAGTGCACCACCCAACGAAGACAATGCACTGCTACTATCAGCACTCGCATCTTGCGAAGCCCCTGACAACGCTGTTGAGCGAGTGACTTGGTTCACTTGACGCATGATTTCCGGCAATGCGTGCTGGAGATGAGGGATCTGCGACAGGTTCGTACAATACGCTGGCAACTCCCGCAACCGTGGAACGAATTGCTGAAGCGCACATGCGCCAAAGAAGAAGAACTTGGAGTTCACAGGCTCACGAAGACTTTCGAGCACGGAACGCAACGCAGTCTGAAGGAAATTCGATGGAAGCACTTGGTGCTCAATGAGCTTGCCAAAAAGAACGCCAGTAATGCGTAGCTCCATCTCCGGGTACCGCGGGAAGAACCGGTACTCATCGAACAAGTTATGGATCATGCAATAGAAGATCTGCCGCTCACGCTCGTCACGAGAACCTTGGAAGCGTTTCAGCATTGCTACAACATCGTTGATATTCTGCTCCGACGTATAAATTTGTTGGAAATAAGCGTTCGCCTGTTCCTCAATCATTTCTGCCGTATAGGACGGAGCCTCTCCATTCGTCGATGCTAGCTCACTTCTAGCTCCGACACCCGCAGCTGCTGCAGCCCCGGCAGCAATGCCAGCGACTGCCCCCACGGCTCCTGGTGCGTGAGACATACCTGCCTCTCCAGGCGGATGCGTGGACGCTGAAATTACAGGGTGGGCCTCCATACAGAGAGTAATAATCCGCTTGAGTTCTTGTGCGATAGTAACGGGTAGCGCCCCTTGAACCGCCATGATGCACTTGAGAATAGTCGCTAACGACTCAATAGATAGTACATGACTCGACTGCAGGGTAATGTTGCTCTTCGGAACGGCGCGAGCGTAATTGCGGTGCACGAAGGCGAGGCACGATGTCGCAAAAGCCGTCCGTTGTGAAGCGAGGCGCTCCACCAGCCAAGTCTCCAAGTTCAGCACATCATGGTTGGCTCCCATTGTAGCAAGCGCCAAAGCAAACGAAAAATAGTTCGAGTGGATGGCTGATGCAAAGGCATCGCCCGTGTTCCGGAAGAGCGCGAATAGTCGCGAGACAATATGCGGGGCCGTTGCGGCGTAGAAGCACTTTACGCTCGCGTATAATACCAACTTTGGCGCCACCGACCACAAATGACGCATGATAAGTGGCGCGTTAGGGCGACCCATAATGTAAGTACTAAAGAGCTCCGAGAACATGTCGTCACGCAGCGCATTCCAACGCGGTGAGGCTTGAGCCAAGTTAGCGATCAAAACATCAGGACATGTCTTCATGGCTCCATCCAGGAGCTTGCGCACGTCACCGTAACAATCTTGCTCCGACGCCTGCAGCAGTGTGTCCACTATGTCCACTGAAAACCACACACCATTCTTGGGAACAGCTGATGCATCGGCACCTTCAAACGGTGCGAGCTTGTGCGGCGATTCAGAGAACGAGAGTACTTCCGGGGGCGCATCTACAGCTGCTTTCAGAATACTGATATGCGCACGGCAGTTCTTCCATGGTCGCAACAGTACCGTCACGCGGAACTTAGTTTGCGAAAATCGCTGAAATGCCGTAATAAGTACACGCAGCTGAGACACGTTTTGGATGTTGAGGTCCGGACGATCCAGCTGCTCCGCCACCTTGGACCACTTGATAGAGCCATAATCTTTTTGCAGCACTTCTGCGATAACCTCAAGGTCCCAATTTTCCCGCACAGGCATCGCAGCTGCCTCGTGCAATGGGGTTGCCTCAAAGTCAATCGTAAGGTTCGCCATCAGCGTCGCGCTGTTCCCCGCATCCAATCCGGTGTAGGTTCGCGAGAGCATCGCCAGCATTCCTGCGACTTGCGCCGCCGGGATCGTGGGGGCTTTGGCAAGCCCAGCCTCGGCCAGGAGGGTGCGTAACGCTTGCGGGGACGACGTGCATGAGTAGCCAACATCTTCCATCAGTTCGTAAAACAGGCAACTCGAAGACACATCCGAAATGAGTTTGCTGAGCGAATTTGAGCTGGTCATAGACTCGGAGTCGACGTAGTCGGGGTCACCCATGGTAAGTGGGGCCATCTCCAGCAATCCCATGTCGTTCGGGTGAGCTGAGGAAATGCTGGCAAGCAAGGAGTCCGTCTCGGCGATATCGACGTGGAATTGCTTCTTCATGCGTAGCACAAAGACGAGCGAGTGAAGCACGTCCGAGGGTAAATTGGCCCCACAGGACGAGATTTCGGGAATTTTCGACCGCAGGAACTGAATGGCTTCACCAGAGCTGTTGGCGTTCACGCCCTGAGCAAAAGCCAGACCAACGGTCACTTGCTGTGGAAGACTGAGCTTCAGCATCTTGCAGAAAAGATGCAAAAACTCTTCCGTCACCTGACGTCCATTGACAGCTGCAGAATCCGACGAATTTCCTTCAATTGCCTGTATGCACAATAAAAAACAAGTCAATGAGCAGGAAAAAAGGGTCAGGAGACTAACGAAGTTAAGAAACAACAAAAAGATGACTCACCTCGCAGATAAAAGTGGTAAAATTAGGACGGGAGGACGCTTGAGCGACTTCGTGCGTAAGTACTTGGACCTTTAGTCCGTCCTTTTGACTACGAAAGTCAATATCCTTGACAAGACAATTAAGCAGAAAAATACGAGCATCTTCCCCATAAAGTTCCACGAGCTACAGATAGATAGTCGTCCATTAGTAAGAAAAATGAAGATATCACTATAAAGAGGGATTTCAGCCCCAAAAAGATTGTTACCTGATTCAATTCGGCGACGTTTGACTTGAAGTTTTTCTTATTAAGATTCGTAACCAAGTAGTTAATTTGCCAAAATAATGGCGAAGCAAACGAGACCATTCTCGTACGTTAAAAACGGGGGTCGAAAGAGAGAGGGGAGAGAAGACCTTTTTCCTTGCGGTTTTCTGCTTGGTGGGACGTTCGTTTGGCTTTTTTGGTATTGAGGAGCTACGAAAAGGGGTGCGGATGTGGATTTGCTAAAATTCAATGCTATTACAATACATGATTGGTTGAAAAAGAAGGTTTTATAGGATTGGTGGAAAATATGTCATAGTAACTTTCTATAGCGACGTGACGATCAATTTAAGAGGTGACGGTGTAGCCATGACACCTGCCCATGCGCTTCAACTCGATACAGCACCGGAAGCGAGTGATTTTTTCTTTGGTAATGTATTGGGTCAGGGCTCTTATGCCAAGGTGAATACGTGATGATGATACATTTGGTGGAGTTTGTAGGTAGAAACCAAGAAATACTGATTGGATACTGCTGATGGTAAAATGCTTAGGTATTTCATGCCCAATTAAAGAAGAGCCGGTTAAATTTTGCTGTAAAAGTGATGGACCAGAAGTTTATCCGGAAAGAAAACAAGACGGCATTTGTGCTTACGGAACGTAAGGTCATGTCACGTCTCGTGCACCCACATATTGCTAAGTTTTACTGCAGTTTTCGTGTACGATAATGATCTGGAGCAATAGTTTGCATGATTAGTTGATGGTTATTGGGTGTGTGTGTTATAGGAATGATGTCTGATTTGGTGTTGCTGGCTCATTTTTTGTGTATGATAATGGTGGACACAGGACCATCATAGTTTGTACTTGGTCATTGAGCTGTGTCGAGGTGGTGACCTCTTTGGCCTCATTAGGTATGTATCGCAGATTGTTGAATGTTTGACAAGTGGTGTTTCATTTCATGCTGACCGAGTTACTTTCTATAGCAAGGAGTATCAAAAGAACCAGGAGGAAGGCATTACTGAAGCTGCATGCTCTTTTACGTTGACGCAATTCTATATGGCCGAGTTGGCCAAAGCCTTGGAATTTATGCACTCCCAGGTAACTACTTTTGGTGCAAGATATAAAGTGTTGGTCAGCAATTTTGGTCCGGATCATGACTTCTCGAATTACAATGTAGCATGTGATCCATCGAGACATCAAACCTGACAATCTACTACTCAGGTAAGCTGCGGTGCCAGCTTGTGTGTGCTTTGACATAGTAATGCACACTGCTGACAGCTCTATCGTTTTGCTGGTTGGATGTTGTTCAGTCAGGAAGGTCATTTAAAGGTGATAGATTTCGGCACTGCAAAGGTGATAACAACGAGAATTGCTATCTGAACTGGTAGTACCGGTGCTGATCATCGGGGTCTACATGCAGGACCAAGATGGAGAAAGTAGCGATGTATGCCAATTTTGTGGCACTGCTTTCTATGTGTCCCCGGAAGTTTTGCACGACAAACCAGCTTCAAGAGCTGCCGACCTATGGGCATTGGGCTGTTTGATCTTTCAGGAACAGCTGAACTTCTGTCTGTTTCAATGCTTTCTAGTGGAGGTAGAATTAACGATATCTTGCTGCATTTACTGTAGATGTTTACTGGGCGAGCTCCTTTTGTGGCAGAAAATGATTATTTGACTTTCCAAATGGTGAGATTGACAGTCAAAATAGTATTTTGCTGCTCAAACTAATTTGGTGGGCTTGCAGATTATAAATCACTCAAGCGATGAATTTGATATCCCAAGTAGTGTCCCCGACACTGCACAGGATCTGATCAGAAAGCTTCTCGTTCAGGTACCTCGTGTAGAAACAGTTTGATGGTCCTACATTGAGTCACTTCGATAATAGCTGTGAGCTGTGACGAAGGCTTACTGATCTTATCATTGCCGTAGGACCCTGACGAACGCATTGGCGCTCAGCAGAATGAAGAGGGTTACGCCGCGTTGAAGGTAGAATGGCTGTCACGGTGTTTGATTGCGATATCTTTAACAGTGTAGTGTGCTTTGTGCAGAATCATCCATTCTTTGAAGGCATCGAATGGGATGACATTAGCGATCAAACTCCGCCTTATCACCCTCCCGAGCTAGTTCTTTCCGAAGCAAAACTGGTAAGCTTGGATAGTGTACGCGTTTACGAGTGAGCGTGCCTCATGTGCAAAAAATGTGTGTAACCAGGATGGCGCTTCGGAAAACTGGACCGTTGCCGAATATTTTTCGGGCGATTTTTCAGAAAGCACGTCTGATGAATTCAGGTATTGTCACTATCTCGTGTGAAAAGGTCGAAGGCCTTGGTTTTACCATGTCTGAATGCTGCAGTAGCCGATGTTCGCGAAGTAGTAGCTCGCATCAGAAACAACGACCAACGTGCATTGGGTACGATGAGCAGATCCGTTTTGAAGCCAAAGTGAAGGTCCGAAGCAGGAGGTTCAATCGCTCTCGAGACGTAAGTGCTTATGGGTTTGATAATGTGTTGACTCTTGTAGTGCTAACGTCCTATTGTTTGTTCATATTTTCATAGCTGTTTCTTACAGATGCACCACGCTTAATTGTGATCAGTTCATGGTCTGGCAGCCTCAAGCGTGAGATTTTCTTGACGCCCGACACGACTGTGAATGAGATTGATCCGCATACATTTGACGTTGTATCGGTGCGTTCGATAGTCACTATTTTGTCCATGACTTGAGAGCTGATACCACTTTGTTACACCTTTTACAGGCATCAAATACAATTCGAATCACAGATTCCAGTAATCTCGCTCAGAAATGGGCACGGGCAATATCGGAAGTCATTTCTGAGTAGGTTTTGTGACTTGATACCCTTTTTAAAATACATACCAGTGTAGCCATTTATGTATCTTTTACGTGGTACGTGCTGGTATACCGAAGTATACACTTGTCTTCAAATTGTATACATTAAACACGAACTACCACGCCTGATGCCGTCGGTGCCGACTTTGGAGACGAGTGTCTTGGATTTACTGAAGCATTTACGCTCTACCATCTGCTGTGACTCTCGTTGCAACTTGCGATGTGTATTGCCAATTTACCAGCGTCTTTTGAGTCCCGTACGTCTTGAATTTACTCACTTTAAAAGACTGATAATGGAGATATTGACTCATTCTATTAGCATAAAGACCCTATGGACAATTCAGTTGAGTATAATCTACTGAATATACGTGAAAAGCTATTGACTTGCAGTGAGTATACAGACATGTACGTGATTGGAGCGCTGGTAATACATTGCACCTTGTATCTCATCTCTCTCTCTCTCTCTCTCTCTCTCTCTCTCTCTCTCTCTCTCTCTCTCTCTCTCTTTCTGTTTCTTACTAGAATTGACATTGTGGATCGCATGGATTACGTGATTGAGCGCTGTTTGCGTCTCGAATACAATGTACAAGTAACAGGTCTGAGTGAGGTTCATTTGGAAAAAAAAGAGGTCAAGAAATGGCTAACTTTGATAGGTTTGTATTGTAGTTCCTATGAAGGAAGTGATGCGACTGCTGGTGGCTTTAGCAGGTGGAGAAGATGGAGAGACTTTTGTACTTGTGGACACGGTGGAGGTGGTGATTTTTAATAAACTGACAATGTTGGAAGTAGCTGATTGTATGGATGATTGTTTTTTTTTGCCTCATTGATAGCTATATGACGCTAGAAAGAAGTGCATGGGCGAACGTATTGGAATGACTGACGTTGAGATGGTGCGACGCTCAAAATCGCTTTTTTGTAAGGCGCCAGTTCCGTTGGAAGCGAAAGCGTAAGTTGTGGTGTAAGTTTTACCTTTTCAGACTACTTTTCTAATCGGTGATCCAATGACTGTGTGCAGATTCTTTTCGCAAAACTTGTTCAATGGTTTTGGTAATGGCATATCAAGCCAACATGTCAGCCTGTGGTGCCCTGACGCAAGCATTTCTGACGACAAAGAACTCCTCAATATAATGTCAAATAAGCGGGTAAGTGATCGGGTCTCTGCATATTTTTAGGCAAAAGGATGATCAAATGGGCTAATTGTTGTACAATTACATATACGCATGTAGTGCAATCAGTTCTTCAGCCTTTCTGGTACTCCACCAGCCCATATGGATACCGGACACGGTTTGATGCCATCGTACGTTAAAATTCGAAGCAATTCTTACAGAGGGATGTGTGCTCCAGTTATAGACAATGCACCGTTCTTGCAATGCAACTTTTAACCGGGAGTGTTGTAGACATGCTACGCCATGTATGAAGTCAACAAGACACGTGAAACGTTTGCCGCCTTGGAAGGAGGTGTGTTCGGATGACAGCACTCAAGAAGTGCACTGTGGAGTAATGGAACAGCCAGACTGGAGAGAGGCAAGCAGCATGACAGAAAATTCATCGTGGTATTCGGATAGCTCAGGTGATACTACTAAGCCCTGGGTAGCGCGGATATACGCATGGGAGGACCTTGGAGATCGAATGGGATTGCCGGAGGACTACTGTAGGCCACCGATTGGTGAAGTAAAACAGTCACTTCACGACCTGGTGATTCCCAATGAATTTGCTGGCAAGAGTCATACCAAGGAAATACTACTGGAAATCCATGAAGTAGATCTAATTGAGGTGAGTCAAGAAAGATGAGCTGAGGTCTTAAAAGGATGTTGCTTACATCAGCTGTCGTTACAAAGGATGCGCTGCGAGCATTGAGTGGAATCGACTCGACAATTTTCCGAAGACTCTTTCAGTCGGCAACATTCCAGCTGCCGGGAAAGCACAAGCTGAAACTCCGTAACACAACTGTATCGGCCACATTGTCGGTTTTGAAGGTATGCTTTGTTGCTTTGCATTGATAATGGATGTGGAACAATTGGATTGTAACATTATCTGCTAGATTTTTTGTAAAGCGGGCACTACGCTTATGCGACTAGAGTTGTTAGCTATTTATTATTCTCAAGATTCTTCAAGAGGTGGGAAAACCCTTCAGGCAATGGGAGACGCACTCCAGTTGTATCTGTCAACACATCGAGTACGTTAGGAGACTTGTTGTAAGGCTGTCGGGGGCGCGTCTTCATCGTTCTAATACTATTGCTTGTATTAGGCCTTTGTAGAAAAAATCACACAGGAATGTCTGCCGTCGTTGGTAATGGACCAAGAGAATGAAGTTGTATCTGTCACGAAGCTTGTGTGCAAGACTCGCAAACTGTGTAGCGTCCTGGAATTTGTCGGGCATGTATTTGGTTGCGACGAGGTCGTATTCTGGCCGTTACTGCAACAAGGTTTGTGGTCGAGTTTTTGGTACCAAACACATGTAGGTCTAAGCCTCATGTTGTCGATCTAATATCTAGGCAAATTTCCTCATGGCGTTGCGCTACTCAATCGTTTGCACCACCACATATCGTCTCTACGCGTGGAAGATGCCGCAGGACACATGCACGAGTTGACGATATGGTTTCTCGTTAAAGCGTGTTCACCGTTGCTGGCTGCAGTTTCCGACCTTGTGTCGTCAGGGAGGGTTGATCAGGCGACGGATCCATTCGTACGTCCTGAATTACAATTGATATATGTAGGTGAAGGTTGCGTTTGACGTGGGTTTGTTTGTGGATTCCTTAGGACGAGTTCAGAATCACGACGTGGAGTAGACACTTGTTAGAAAAAGCCGCTACAGAAGGAGGGGACGGACTTTTTAGTGATGATCTATCGGCCGACGCAATTCAGATGCTACCAGCGTTTCTGAAGAATGTTGCTCCCCTTGTCGCTCACCTCAGTCAGGTCCAAGCGCTTTTACGAAGCGTAAATGCTATCACTTCTACCCACTTGTTGGTAAGTTTTTCAGTACTTGTTTTTCCTGTCCGCTAACATATACCGTTGGTAACGTCAGGTAAATATGCAACCTTTGTCCATCTACACATGCAGCAAGAAAGCTACTGAGCATACAGAGGAGTGGCAATCGAGTTTTGCTGAAGCCATGGATATTCCACATACACGCCGCACAGAAACTTGTAAGAGCACGTCGCAAATGCCTTTTGAGACTAAGGAAGAACAAATGCAATGTTTTGTGCCCGAAGATGTAAGTGTGTCTGTTACGTGCGCTCTTATTTCCTGTGTGAATGTTAGTTACTTATGTTTGGTTTGTATGACGTAGGTCAACGCGAAACGAAGCTCTCAGTTGCAGCAGACGAACATGTTGGACCAGCAAATATTGGAAAAAAAGCAATACGATTTGCAATGGGTTCACGAGAAGAACGCCAATGGTGTGAGGCAAGGCGAGGAGGCAAAGGAAGCTGAGGCGGATAAGGAGGCTTGTGGCCGTGAGGGCTTTCTAAACGAGTAAGTAATGATTCGACGTTTTGGCAGGTATATGTGAAAAATTATATTTGGTGTGCTTGCTCGCAGATACTCAGCGCTGATGCACAGTGCAGAAGACAGGATAGATTTAGCGAGAGCAAATGAGGAGACAGGTGCATGGACATTAGCACTTAGAAGCGAAGGTGGCTCCTTCATGAAAATGGACAAGGAGGCAGAAAGCCACAGTGAGACGTTCACAGATAATTCTAGCACCCGGCGAGCTGTAGTGGAAGTGAACAATCTTTTGAAAAACTGCAGCTCGATATCAGCGAATAGTGATGCCTGGATAGCTTCTGGTAAAGTGATTACGCAGCTTGAACGCCATAGCTTCGGTATTTTCAAGAGCCCAGCATCAACTGTTATGGCTTCTCGCAAAGCTTGTGTCCGCATTTTAGACGAATCGAGAGGAATTGGGGCCTCTATGTACGACACTTTGTACGGTGGATCTGACGAAATACCTACACCCAAAGACAGATTTTGGCAGAGGGACGCCGATGATTGTGTACCAGCTAGCATGACAGATGATGCTGGAATGGAAGAAAGCAGCCAAGTTGTGGATATAACGACTGATACTATGCCACCCGCTGAGGTTACTGTGGATAAAGATGTCCAAATGCAGGACGTAGCTCACGATGAGGAACGATATGCAAGGTGGAGAAGCGATTGCGGCGAAAGGCTATCATCTAAAGCAAGCGGAGAAGTGCCTTTGGAGTCTACGCAAGTATCGCTTCCTCCGATCCACCCTTTCTTTTCGATGGCAATCTCTCAAGAAGACTCTGAAGTGCTGACGCGGGCGCTAACTGAGGTAATATTGTCAGCTACTGCCTTATGATACGCTCCATTGCACTTCTTGTAAACTGTCGCGTTCTGTCATGTGTCTACTTGCAGAATGCTTCTGAGGCCGATTTTACTTCGTTTTCGTCGATAGTAAACTCTTGCGTGGAAACACCCGTCCGTCTTGTTTCCCAAAAGCTAGAGCAAGTGGCGGTGGATTGGTTTCGTAACTCTTTACAGGTGCTCGAGCATCTGCGTTGGCTACGCAAATTGATGCTTATGTCAGAAGGCCATTGCATGGATATCTTCGCGCGCGACTTTCTTCGTGGTTTAAACTCAGCTACTCGCGTAAACTGGGGGGCCGATGACCGCCTTTCATCGGCTCTCACTCTTGCTATGATTGAAGGATCAGTGTCAATGAATGTCATTGCACAGAACTTTCATTATAAGACTACTGCAGCTTTGTCGCGAGGTAAGCACTCAAAAGGGTTGACTACCATTTTAGTATTATCTCACGCTGTCTTTGCTGTGCATCGATGTGTGGGTAGTATTATCTAGTCTAACGATGACTCCGGCAGTGCCAGCTTTGCTCAATGAACTGGAGTTAGTGTATGGTGTCAAATGGCCGCTGGGTTTGGTGATCACATCCCGCTCTCTGAATGACTACAAGCAAATGCACCAATTTCTTCTTCATGTACGGCTGACATCGTTGGAAACGCGAGAAATGTGGGGGATGTTGCGCACTATTCGCCAAAAGAGAAAGCTATCACCAGCACTGGAGCGATTGTGTCGAGGTGCTATCTACAAAATGCAGGCATTCCTCCGAGCATTTAACGAAACGTTTGCGGCAAAGGTTGGTGCATGGCTTAAGACGGCGGACGTACTGTCGGAGGTACTAACCCCGGGATATTTGTGTACAGGTGCTAATGTCGGCATGGTCGGAGCTCGAGTATGCATTAGAGAAGGCGACAACATTAACAGAACTACGTCGCTGCCACGAAGAATACGTATCCGTTGCACTTTGCTGCTGTTTCCTCGATACGCCTGTATTGGCAGTAAGTTATGTTCCATTGTAATGCATGTACTCTGCTAACATTGTGTGGAACGTGCCCTACAGATCCGCTCTGCAATATCCGCCACGCTCGCCGCAGCCTGGAAATTGACGGGATTCATACGTGGTTTGGAGCGACAAGTAGCCGAACGAGCTTCAGACGATAGTTGCATGCGCGCATTGTGCGGTCAATTAGACGTCACTCTCGGAGTACTGGTTGGCCGCCTTCACAACGTTACTCGCGATGCAGAACAAAACACACGAAAGTTTTCCGAGGTACGCAAACTGTTTAGCCCTTGTATATTTAGCGCTTCGTTATGTAGATAGAAAAAAAGATAGCGGAAGTCCCAGCTATCGCTCTAATGTGCTGACACCTGCGCTCTGTCTGCATGCCACGCTCTGCGTAATAGTGTCTTCTCCTCCGGCTAAATTTCAACCAGTATTACTCCACAGAGGATATCCCGGTAGCCGTTTCAGCTTCAGTACAGCGAGAAAGTCCCCATAGTTGACAACGCTGTCGTCGCAAATGTTTAGGCATCATGCACGCCATAATAATAAAAAAGCTGGTCTGGTTGTCGTTTCTCCACATAGCTCACAGTTAAAAAAAGAGAGGATGTATGTCCTTGAGATGCAGACGACGCTGACACAAGGGGCATTTTCCATTAGCACGGATCGCTAGGCGAATACATTCAGCACAAAAAATGTGACCACATATCGTGGAAGTAATGCCTTCTAGTACATCCAAACAGATGGTGCACTTGAGTTCACTCTTGAATTTCTGCAACATCTCGTTGTTTCGCATTCCAACGTTAGTCGACTCGATACTTCTCACCATGTCCATGGAGCGCTGACGTTTCAGTCCCAACACGTCGTTTTCACTTGCTACAACTCGTGGTCGACGTCGTTTCCGATGGAAAAGCGTTGACTCGATAGTGTCGGATGTCTGCAAGGGTTCAATAATTTCAATAACATCGTCACTGTCTCCTACTGCATTTGTGTCACCTCCTTCATCTTCAGACGATGAGACAGTGAGATCAATTTCTTCCTGTTGATGAGTCGACTCGCTAGTGTCGTCTACGACGGCATTGTGATAGACAAGACGAGGCAAAACAAAGTGATCCGATGCGTCCCATTCGTCGTCGTCTTCGTCGTCATGGAGTAAATTATCAAGTGTAGAGCCATTGATTGGTAGATTTGTATCACGATTCCGATTGGCTGAAATAATACGCTCGTTGTTATTGCGGATAGGGTAAATCGTGTCCATAGAAGTACCAAAATGTGAAGCCAAGAAACTACTGGGAAGTGTCATCAATTGGTTCAAAGGTGGAAGTGTCCAGCCACTTGAGCTTGTAGAAGGCGAAACAAGAGATCCAGTAGAAGAACGTACACGTCCACGAGTACTACTTGGAGCTGCAGATGACACTTGAACGACCGAAGACGAATGAGACAGCGGAGCCATGACAACGTCTGGGCGTCGCATCTGATACTGCCTTCTTATTGAAAAACGAGACTGAGTCTTTTCTTGGGAGATAGGTATTGGTTAAAAATGAACAAATATCAAATATCTCGTTGTTGATTGGATAAAACACAAATGATTAGTTTTGTTTTCGTCTTTTTTTGTTGGATTGTTTTTTTTCTAGACATATACGATGAATGTAGCCACACATGAGGTCATACTACAGGGTTATTTACACAAACAGGTACGTGTATCGAATGTCTATGAAGCAGTAGTATCGATCATTTCATTGCTAGTGTGGTCTGAGCAGAGCAAACATCTCAAGATTTGGCGTATTCGTTATTTTTTACTTACAAAGGCAAAACAATTGGACTATTTTTTATACTTGTTTTTACTATGGTATACGTACTGACACATTAATTATTGGGTCTATTTTTTGGTCTTTATGTTAGAATGAGATCACCTATTCGACCAAATCTGGTCGTAAACCACGATTATTGTTGTCATTGGGAGACGTTCAAGTGGTGCGTCTTCTTTTGTTTGTAATAATATGAAACGGTAACGCTTTTACTAAGCGCTTCCTGATTAAAACTTGAAAGGCTGGAGAATGATTCCGATGATTTGATATTGTGGCTTTTATATGACAGATTGATGATCAGAATCAAGTGAACCATGTTGGCAATTTTGTTTTTGTGCTGCAAACGTCGACGAGGAGACTCTTTTTAAGTGCAACGACGGAGCAGGAACGGCGACGATGGGTGACGGAGCTGCATAAATTGTTGTCTATAGTTGGCGACGAAGCACATCGATCAGCTCTTGAATTTGCTGTCATTCGACGGAACCCATCTTCTCATGCAACGACCACACTGCAGAATCAGTGGAAAAAGTCGCACAAGCGCGCATCGAAAGAGCGGCGTCTGGAGCGACGGCGACAACAACTTCCCAAGCTAAAACGGACGTACACCGAAACGTGGTTGGACGAAGTGTTTACGTTGCCGAGTGGTAGTACGCGCGACGACGTGCCTTTGCTGGACGCTTTATGCTTTGCGGGTATTCCCAAGGAATTACGTGGTCGCGCGTGGGCCTGGATACTCGGAAACATGCTGCAAGTCAACAAAGACCTGTTTAAGATCTGCAAGGCTCGTGCCCAGGCTGTGTTGATGGAAATGTCTTTGAAGCGGGATGTGGAGTATTCAGTGATTGAGACTTTGACGGCTAGCTCCGTATCGGAAAGTGCTATTCTGGAGTCACCGGCAAGAAGTGTTTCTAGTGTAAGCAGTGTTTCATCCACCTCCGAGAGTACCGTGGAAGATACTGAAATATCACTAACCACGGAAAACTGGAAAACGTGTCAGGTCACTGACAGCACGCCATTGGCTGGTGAAGCTCCACGAACAGTTGAAACCCACATTAGCGACCAGAGAAGAGCAAGACAATCATCTGTCGTACTTCCTGTGCAGAATATGTTACAAGACGCTGTGGGGATTGCAGAGATGCTTGTGGCACATGGCGAACGTAGCATTAAGCTTGTTAATGTTGACATGCCACGCACATTCGGTCACCATCCGCTGTTTCAGCCTGGTGCCGAGGGTACAGCGCACACGACGGAGGTACTGGAGGCATACATCTGCTATCGACCTGACTTGGGATACGTACAAGGTATGAGCTACTTGGCGGCCACATTGTGCTTCCACATGGACAGCTTCACTGCTTTTAAAGCTTTGGTAGCCCTGATGAGCTCAAGTTTGCTTTTTGACATGTTCCGTCTGGAGGCAACGCGAGTACGTGACGTGAAGTGAATTGATCCGTGTATTGTTAGTTCGTGCTGACGAAGTGGTTTTGGATACTGTTATCAATGTGAAGACATTCCACTACATTAATATCTACAACCAGATCTTCGAATACGAATTACCGGCTTTGGCGGCGTATTTTCAAGAGATCGGTATCGACGCGCAAATGTACGCGGTAGACTGGTAAGGTATTGTTTGTCATATTTGCATGTCGCATACGCTATCAGCTCACGGTGACATGGTGGTGCTGTTCGAGCAGGGCACTCACACTATTTACCCGATGCTTATCACTGGACCTTGCATTGCGCATTTGGGATGTCTACGTCCTGCTGGGGTCACCATTCTTTTTCCAGGCTAGCATGGGTAAGACTTTTTTGTCAGTGTGGTCTCGACATTTAAACAAGTGGTTGACGTTCTGCTGTTGGTTTCTACAGGTCTGCTGTCACTTTTCCAGGATTCACTGTTAACGATGGAACCAGAAGACATTATGCGACTACTACACACTTTTCCCAAGAATATATCGTCGCAACAACTTTTCGAAGCCATTTCATCCGTTCATCTCTCATGTCAGGAAATCACTGAATTGCTGGCCGGTGGAAAAATTTGGTCCCCTGATGAAACTCGACAAGTTCCTGTCAAATATCCCGACACATACGAGTAAATGAAGAGCTCATATGAACTTACTAGGTCATGAAGTACTGAAAAGAGACCGATTTTGTTATTTCAATTACAATGCCATAATGTTTGAGTGATAGTAGACACTTACGTATTGATATAGATTATATTCATGTCTGTTCTACTGATACAAGTTATTTTAGATCTACCATTCAACAGCTAAAACTAAATACTACCAGTAATCTAACCACTCTACAATACCCCATGGCTACCCGTAGTAAACCAAGCGTGTTTACGGCTTTAAACCAGCTGCGTGTGACTGATGCCTCTGACTCGGACAATGGAAGTGCTGAAGAGCGACAACAGGAGCGTAAAGAGAAGCAAAAACTAAAGAAAAAGTCACGCTCGAAGAAGAAAAACAGGCAAGTCTTTTGTGGCGAAATGCTGCTGTCAAAAGGTAACAAAATACTGACGTTTGTATGGATGACAGTGACTCGGCACAGCTCAAGAACTTGGCATTTGTATCGGTTTCCAAGCCGAAGAAGAACAAGAACAAGAAAAACAAAACGCAGTCTTCATTACCAATTGACGAGACCTTGACCACCAATGGAGAGAACAAGAAGGACATCCTAGAGTCTACATGCTCACTGGAAAAGAAAATGACAATGTCGCAAGTGCAAAAGGTTTGATAAACTAGGGTTGAAAGGGTGTGGAATCATGACATTAACTTGTATCACAATTTTTGTTTAACTTTTTGGTGCACAGCATCCTGTTAGTGGTGACAAGAAATCCACTCTGTCTCCGTCGCAGCAGCAGACAATGAACCAAATATCCAAGAAACAGCAGAAGAAAAAGGCGAGTAGTTTGTCATGTGGAAGATTCTAGAGGTGTGCAGGATCTCACAACCTGTTTGGACCGCTGATTATTATACACATTCAGGCTGTGTCTTTACCAAAACAAGAAACTCAACCTCCACAGCAGCCAACGGTAGCGCCATCTCCAATTGGTGCCGCTCCACCAGCTAGTACTCCTCAGTCTCCATCGGAGACAGGGCTTGGTGCCGTATACACGCCGACGCACATCACCATTACACGCGTGGATGGCCAAATGAAGCGCACTGTGGCAGTGACGGAGGTGATGGACCAGCTTCTTCACTACACGCAACAGAACTCACAGCTTTTGATGGTGCAAGAGCAACTGGGCGTACGTAGCTGGATGTGACTCGGAAGAGTAGATTGTAACGGTTTGCTGACATATGCGGCCGATATCTTAATGCTTTTGTACGATATTCAGCACGCGAACCGCAGTTTGCAGGACCAATTGCAGCGCAGTGCTGGTACGTGTTCGTGTCTTGGCGCTTCTTTTTTTGCTGTGTCGATGAGCGCACGCCATTGAATACCATCGCGTAACTAACGAGGGATTTGACTGCCCAACGTCTTTTGTGGGATCAACAGAAATTATCAACGGTTTGCAGAATGAGGTGACGCTTTTCCGGCAGATGTGTCTGAATATGCAGGCCGAGGTGAGTCATGTCGATGGATGTTACGCAGCCAATGCTAGCACCAAGACTGCAGTTCTAGTGTAGCAGTTGAAGGGAAAACTGTGACGGGCAACCCTGTGGCTCACTTTCTGTGTGTGTATGTATCTGTCTAGTTGTCGCTGCTTCGCTCCAACGCCGCTCCAGATGCTGGAAACAATCTGCAAACACACCATCGTCCACCACCTGGCATGTCCTGACCTTGTTGATGACTATAGCAAAAATGAAGCAACGAGACGGATGCAATACCATTTTCATGACGCTCATACTTTTACAATAACTAGTCGGTCAATTCATGGGGTCGTTTTCATCCTTTGAAACAATTGGAATATCGTCTCCTTTCTTCCTGGGGTCAAAGCTCTTTGATTTGAGCATGAACCACTTTATCCAGAACAATACACTCATCCGGCCTCAAAACTACCAGCCGCTAGAAAAAAGTAAAGTTGTTTTGGATTGAAACTCGTATGGGCACGTACGTACGTACGTACGCCACAAATTCAAATAGTTTACCAAGCATATGCATCTGTACATGTTACAAATTAGTCTTACGTCAGGTGTTGACAGATGCATCACCTCCACCTTTAGCATAGGGTTCAACCGTCTGGTAGTTAGTGCTTCACCCTTTTCACAGTGATCACCTCAACGTCATTTACACTTCGACTATCATCTCGTCAAACCCAAGTGGGTTAGCGTAGCTCTTCTCTCCTCTCTTCTTCTCCTTCTTCTTCTTCTTCTTCTTCTTCTTCTTCTTCTTCTTCTTCTTCTTCTTCTTCTTCTTCTTCTTCTTCTTCTTCTTCTTCTTTACCTTACGTGCATTAGTATCAACTGTCATGGTCGGTACAATGAATAGACTGAAGAACAAGCTACGGCTACACAAGAAAGAGGGGACAGGGTGGGCACTGGATGAGGACTCGCTTCATCTGAAACAGAACCAGGAAACTGCTGCACGGTTTGACCGCAGTATGACGCTGTCCAGTGTCACGGACGACGTTGAAGAAATGTTTTACGGTCAGAACCGCACCACTGCCTCGAACCAGCCACCAGTGTACCGCACCACGGAGAACCTTCGTAGCAATTATACGACGCTTTCAGCGTTGCAGGAAGATGCCGAAATGGCCAGCAACGCTAGCAGTAGCTTCTCACAGTTCTCGACCACGACACCCACCAACCATGCGGTCTCGATCAACTCTTACCATGGTTTCTCCCGTGCCAACAGCAGTCGTGGAGTTAACAAAGACGTTGAGCTGGAACGGCTTTTGGCTGATGTGCTTGAGATCAAAGAGGAGGTCAAGACAATCCGACGAGAAGTCATGGATGAGCTGCATGTGACTCGTTACGACGTGCTCAAAGAGTTGGTGCTGCTTAAAGGTGCCATTGCAAAACTCGTCGCACCGCAGTCAAGTGCGTCGAGGTTGTCCATGAAGAGATCGACGTCGGAACCGCTATCGACTGCTGACCGTGTGGCGCTGACCCGCAAGACTTCTACTAAGACGTCGTCGGCCACGCTTGATCGACTCGCCGCATCCCGCACCAACATCCATAAAATGCCTCCTCTCGCAGCGCGCGCCAGTGTGCGGCTTACGCAATTGGCTCCCGTTGCAGACAATGCACTGTCGACACCATTGACAGCCGAACAGATCAACGACATGTTTCCGCTCATCGACTCTACGTCTGAGCTGGCGTCACATGCTCGTGGTCTGACCCCCGGGTCGCGCACATGGGCGTTGGCTCGTGTGGAAGAGTGGCTGGACGTAGGTCTTAACGTGGACAACGACACACTGCTGGCTGTGGTTGGTGATGGAGGAACCGGGAAGAGTGCCTTTTGTGGCACAGTGGCTCATCAGTTCCGCGAAAACCTGCTAGCTGCGCACTGCTGCCAGTTTGATCGCAAGAGCAAGAGCACTCCGCGCAACATGCTGCTGTCAGTTGTGCACCAGCTCGTGGATAATCTGCCATCATTTAAGAACCAACTGGCAAGACTCAACCTCCGGTACGTACTGGAGGAAGCAGACCCGGTCCTCCTTGCTACAAAGGTGCTCGTGGATCCGTTGAATGCTGTGGAGAAGCCCATGAACGCGTCGTTTATTCTTGTGGACGGAATTGATCAGTGCGCTATAGGACGCCGCGGTCGCAACGAGCTGCTAGAGTTTCTTGCACAGATCATTCCTCTTCTTCCATCATGGGTTCGTATCATGGTGTCATCAAAGCCTTCGTCAAAGCTGGCAAAACGTTTTCCTGTGTCGTCGGTGCTGGATTTCAGCTCGCAAAATGATGCTTTCGTGGCCGATGTGTCCTCGCTTGTTGATGACATTGCTCACAACTTTAGTGACGACAATGTCGTGGAAGCGAACAAGGTGCTTGTGCAGAAGAGTGGTGGCAACTTTGCATACCTCAATTTCACAAAGCAGGCCTTGACACACCCGGGAATGGTGGCTGCGAGCAACGAAGGCGCAATACCGCTTGATGTGCTCTATGAACTGCCGGAGACACTGTACGACATTTATGCAGAGATTTTTGAGGACAAGTTTGGCCAAGGTCGAGATCGTGTGTGGGACAAGGCAAAACCACTTCTGCAGCTTGTGATCGGAGCAACTGCAGGACCGTACTCACCTGTCACGGAGGACCAAGCCAAGGAACATTTCAAACTTACAGCGGAAGACCAGCGAATGTTGCGTCGCTCGTTTGTTGATCTTGTGGCCGTAAGACAAGGCGCGTATCGTATCGAGAGCTCTGCTCTATGCGCATGGCTAAGTGACCCTGCTCGATCAGAAGAGCACTTTTACTTCAACATTGACGATGCGCTTCAGGCGCTGCGCAAAATGCGTCGTGCTGGTTCCATCCTTAGCCGTTCCAAATCAGACGGCTCATGGGATGACAGCATGCGACCTACCCGTGTCACAACACTAAGGACGTCTCAGAAGCTATCACGCAACCATCCCGAGCCTGTCATCCCCGAATTCAAACCCATGGGTATTCTCAAGCGTAGCAAGGCATAGAAGTTGTATTTTTTTGACCAAATAGAAGTATCGATGTTTTGTCGTCTTGACCCCTCGTTGAACACTCCCCAGTCCCTTGCACTGCTAGTACCATATCTGCTGCAGAATTTCGTTAATCGATAGTTATATGCATGCCATCCACCCAGTATCAAGCCGACTGCACCCAATACACTTCGTGTACAAACTGATGCGTCATGCCGTCGATCAGGTCGGTCCGGTGTCAGCATTTCCTTATCTTCGCAGCCCGCTATGACGCCTCAGAAGCAAATGTCAACATTGGTGAAGACCAAGAACAAACTGCTTTGTGTGCACCCCATGACAACAAAGCCACAAAACTGGTTCTCAAAAGACTTGCACCGAGACGCTGTGTACTGGTCCACTTCTCTCATAAGATCTACACGCAGCAAAAGACAACCAACCGTGTACTTCTGCATCATCAGGTTATCATTTTGTTCCTTTTCCTTCTTCTTTTTTCTAGAAAATGGAGCGTGGGGGACCACTCTTTCGGTCCATAAAGTGCTGACGTCTCAGTAGCTGATGGTGACGTCTCAGTCCTCCTTCAATATCCTGCGTCTTGTAACGTGCATTTTCTTCCCCTTTTTTCTCGAATTCAGCGGCATTAACACGTTGGCCATTGCGATAGATAAAACGTTGGACTCCCGAGTCTAAAGTGGCGACAGAAAAGACATTAGACAATGAAACAAAGAGAGAAAAAATACAGTGACATTCTACCAGATTCAGTACGAGGCGTCACAATTTTTAAAAAATCCACAGACGATTGAGCACGTTGGATTAAAGCTGATATTCTGATAATAGTAACCCATACAATTAGTAACTAAAATAGTACAATATATAAATGGATTTTATCGTAACCACGCACTCGTTCGAATCCGTTAAATCTCCGTGGTTACGGAATTCACGACGAACTTGATCAAGTGACGTCTGACGTTTGGATTCCGGTAGACCTTTTGCGAGACGCAGCAGTTTCTTGTACAATGGACGCAACTCACGCGCTGCCATTGAATGAATTAAAATTGTGATAAATTGATGCCTATGTAACCCCTGAATTAATTAATTGTAACCTTTTGCAAACTATTTTAGGTATTATAAATACTAAGGTAAGTACTACTTCTCTATGTAACGTAGGTAATTCGGTAAGTAATTTATATTTTCAAAACAAGTGCTTGAGTAGTATATTATTATAAAAAAAATAGTAGTACTACACTTTTATGTAGTAACGTGATCTCATACAGTAGCAAGCGGACAGAAAGACGAACATTGTACCGAGCTAGGACACATCCTATCCTGTCAAGTATCAGATAAAAGACTAGTGGCACAATCTGAAAAGTCATGCTGCATGTCTTGACAGTCGAAAGAATTTGGCAATAGCGAAGCTGATCCCGTGCGTGAGATAGTTCATGCAGATCTTCAAACTGTGGATCTTGTCACCGTACATCCTTTGCAAACCCATTTCGTAATTGTCTCGCTCACTGGTCGGGATAGCATCATTTTCAAGTGATTAACTCAATGAACCTTCGACTCCTCCTTCTCGTCGTCGCTGCTTCACTTGGTAAGACCGAGGCTCAGTTGGTTCTTGACCACAAACATATTCGACCATTCCCACAGCCCAAGCCCATTACCGCTTTCCAAAAAACAGCCGTCAAATTTAAGCCGCAACTCAAGATCACCGACAGCTGCCACCCGTATCCGGCTGTCCAGAAAGATGGCACTGTTAGTGGTGGTCTCAAGTGGAGTGGCGCGCGAGATGGTGACTGTAAGGGCTCAAAGTTGGGCTCGCAGATCTATGCTCGATCCGCCATGTACAAGAACACGTGGGGCCTCGTATACGCATTGTACTTCCCAAAAGGAAGGGCTCCAAGGACCACTATCTCCTTTGGGTTCTCAGGACACCGCCATAATTGGGAGTACATTGTTCTATGGCTTGGCAACGTCGATGTCGAGAGTCCCGATATCGACAACACCTCCATTATCGCCGTAGCGATGTCTGCAAGCTGGGGACATGATAAGGCCTTCCCCGAAGAGAGGTATATGAATGGCACAAGCCTGAAGGTTGAATACTACTTTGAAGACATCCTTGGAACCACAGCTTTAAAGCTCACTGAAGACAGTGGCGAATTCCAGGACCTCATTACATGGGATCAACTCTCAGAATTGGCACGATACTCTCTAAGCAACATGCAATGGGATTCAAGTTTACTTCATTTTGCAGGCATTGATATGCCTCTCAAGGATGGCGTGATCAATGACATTCTCGCTGCGACTTGGCCGTTTTGACCGTCTTAATCTACGATCAGGACTAATATTCGAAAAATTGACAGCATCGTACGTCCTAGGACCGTCTTTTTTATCCTAATAGGACTCCTAAGTCTTTATCTGAACCAATCAAAACGCTGCAGCGGGTGGCGTGGAAGGGAAGATGGCGTCAGGTGTCAAGTGCGTTCTTTTCTGCCTTCTTTTAATGCTCTCAAACCAATTAATCTCCTGTTCTTCCTATCTTTATCTATCGATAGCCTGACAGATTCATTAATGATAACGTCGCACTCGAATAACGTGTCCACGTTCCACATTGCAGGCTGGAAAACATGTACGGAAGCGTGTCCTAAATAACTATATTGAAAACGAGATGGTATTTAAATATTATATACAATGATATCTCAATAGGTCCGTCCTATGTAAAAGCTGGAGAAGTAGCTTTGGCCATGCAGATGCTGTATCCGGACCGTGTAGCCGTCGAAATGCATCCATTTGAGGACCGAGATGCCTTTAAGCAGTGGCTCAATACGTCGCAAGACGACTTTCTCACACATTTTGGGACCAACTTTGCAGCTATGAAACACGTGACATCGCCTTTTGTGTGGAGCAGTAATCCTATGACTTTCTTGGGTGGCAGCGACGACCTGCTGGCTTTCTTCCGGTCTGGTATTGCTGCTGGGAACCCCCAAGGCGTGCCATCTTCGACTGATAAGACAGGGAAGAAACGAGGTATTTCTACTGCTAGTGGTAGAGCCACGATTCCTTTTGCCAATGCCACTACATTGGTAGAGTCGGAGATGTCTCTTGACGTGGAGGAGGACATGAGCTACGACTATGATCTGGTGGTGATTGGAGGCGGATCAGGAGGTTTGGCTTGCTCTAAAGAGGCAGCATCATTCGGACAGAAGGTCTGTGTGCTAGACTACGTGAAGCCATCACCACAGGGCACTTCCTGGGGTCTCGGTGGCACTTGTGTCAATGTTGGCTGTATCCCAAAGAAGCTGATGCACCAGAGCTCTTTGATCGGTGAGATTTTGCACCATGACTGTGCAAAATTCGGTTGGAATGTTGGATGTGCGGATGGGAGTCCACCGACCTTCAGTTGGACACAACTTGTATCGAGTGTTGGCTCATACATTAAGAGCATCAATTTTAAGTACAAAGTGGAGCTCCGGAGCAAGTATGTCAAGTACGAAAACTTCCTCGGCTCGTTCGTGGATCCACACACACTGGAGCTGTGGCACCCAAAGAAGGGCACGAAGAAGATTACCACTCGTCATGTAGTTATTGCTGTCGGTGGACGACCCAGGAAGCTGACGTGCCCAGGAGGGGAGCACGCGATTTCGAGTGACGACATCTTCTGGATGAAGAAGAAGGAACCAGGTAAGACGTTAGTTGTGGGTGCTTCGTACGTAGCACTTGAGTGCGCGGGCTTCCTGAAGGGTATGGGCTACGATGTGAAGGTGATGGTGCGCTCTGTCTTGCTTCGTGGCTTCGATCAGGATATTGCAAACAAAATTGGCGAGTACATGGAGGTGCAGTCGGGTATAGAGTTCATTCGCAAGACTGTTCCACAGTTTATCACGAAGCTCGAAAATGGCCAGCTACTAGTAAAGTGGTTAACGGAAGACGGCAAGAGCTTCGAGGAAGCATTTGACACAGTGTTAAATGCGACGGGTCGTGTCCCGGACGTTGCCAAGCTCGGCTTGGACAAAGCTAAGGTAAAGCTGAACGAGAAGTCTGGTCGTATCTGGGTGCAGAACGAGCAGACCTCGACACCGAACATTTATGCAATTGGTGATGTCATTGACGCGCCTGAGCTCACGCCAGTGGCGATTCGGGCGGGACGTCTGCTCTCCCGTCGTCTATACAATGAATCTACTGTGCAGATGGACTACGACAAAGTTTGCACGGCGGTGTTTACGCCCATCGAATATGGGTGCTGCGGCTTATCCGAAGAGGATAGTAAGGAAATGTACGGTGATGACAAGGTGGAGGTATACCATAAGAACTTCATTCCGTTGGAATGGTCGCTCGCTGAAGAGACTCGCACGTCAGCTGAGTCCTGCTATGTCAAGGTGGTGTGCGATAAGACTCGCGACAACTTTGTGCTGGGTTTCCATTACCTGGGACCGAATGCGGGCGAGGTGACGCAGGCCATGGGCTTGGCGATGAAGCTTGGTTTCACGTACGACCAATTGGTGGATACGGTGGGCATTCATCCGACGACCGCGGAGGCATTTACAACACTGGAAATAACGAAGAGCAGTGGCGATACGACCACAGGCGGGGGTTGCTGAGGTTAAGCTCCCCCTTCTTTCCTCCATATCTGTTAGTAGCGAGACCAGTTTTTCATGCAAACGGTGCAAGCGACTGGAAAGACACTAGGAGATGGAAAGGAGAGGGAGAGGACGCAATTGACGGAAGCCAAGTTGCTAAGCTCTCTTTGGAGAAGCTTGGCCAGCTTGACGGATGCCAGCACTGAGTAATGACGCTCTTTCCAGAAATCCCTAGCTGGAGGGGAAATCGAGCTGAGAATCGGTGCAAAGAGGTCTTCCACGCCATGAGTCAATGTTTCCTTATTTCTGCTCGCTGGTGATTAGGATGAGGATATTATCACCACGTGAAGGAGAAGCTGCATATACAGACCTGCATATACACGACAACAGCGTAAAAATGAATGAGATTGAGATACTTTTGCGTGTCCTGACAATTCCCATTTGATTAGCTTCTCGATCGGTAGCAGTAGCTCTTTGCTCATCAACATCTGGTCTCTTTTTGGACGCAATGACGACACGTCTACATTCGTTCAAGATGAGACCAAGTCTGATGCTTCTGCTTCTCGTCTTTGTTCTTCAGCTAGCAGTCTGTATCACAGGCAAGCGACGGATGGTCGATGTCGGTGGTGTAGGTGAGGGTCAAATTGTACTCTACCCGCCTCCCTTCTTCATGGTCGACGGCCTCGACTTTCAAGGCACGGCGCTTGCCTATTTACAAGAACAAGGTGTCAACACGAGCATCGAAGCCCAAACTTGGATGCAGCAGCATGGCTACAAGACACTTCGTGCCATGTTGGACGATGAATCATTGTATACTGTGATAAATGAGGCCATGTTTGAATGCGGCCTCACGGAACCTGAAACGGAGACGATGGCCATTCCGACGAATAATACGTTCGTGACGTCGGGTTATCCGCTGGACGGACCGTGCGAGATCTGGCTGAACGAAACCAGAATGGTCTCAGGCCGCAATTGTCATACAGAGTTCCCACGTGGTGAGCATCAGGTCGATTACAGCATATGTGGAGATTTGTGCACAATTTATTGGTACTGGCTCGGCATCAAGTACATTGAGGGCATTTACTCGTGGCAGGTCTACAAGAACTGCATCAGACTTGGCACGACACCGACGGCGTAAGCTTAATGTTGCTATTTTCTTTCTCTTTGGTGGCTCTTGTGCTTGCTCGCAGAGGATTATCACCAGGAGACATGTCCAGACAATAGTGTGTACATGAGACTGCTAGGGTCACTAGTGTCGAGAACAAGATACTTGCAATCATACAGCTTTTTTAAGGGAGTAAGCTGTCAATTGAGTTCTTTTCTACAATGAAAGTCATCTACACCTCTACTTAATCGAGCGTGGTGTATTGTCACGTGTTATTAAGCTACATCATGAGCTCATTGGGCTGATTTTCCAGCTTGTGCCGTGTGAACAATCATGTATCACATCACTTCTTCTTCTCATATAGTTAAAGTATTTCTACAAGTAAAAGGAGCTATTTCTTTCTCAATCTCTACTGTGTGTAGTTACTACGTAAGCATATCAAGTGGTAAGAACGTGGCTAAGTAACGTATAGATTTTTCCATAATGAGGAGTACAAGTCGTTTGACTATCCGACATCAATCGTACTATCTCTCTAATTTACTACTATATACAGTATGATGTATACCACACACTCTGCTGTATTGTACATATAATAAAGGTGGTTCACATCAACTATGTATGTCCACATTCCTCCTCCTCGTCACAGAAGATTGGACGTAGTTATGGAAGAGATTGGTCTCCCCCCCGTCCTTATCGACGATGAGCCACTCGTGCCTGTATCTATCGAGACAAAGACCGATCTGTATGCAAAATATAAATCTCTTGAGCGACATTTAGAGTTTCTGAATATTCAAGAAGGTTATATTAAAGATGAGATGAAAAATCTCAAACGTGAGCTCATTCGTGCCAAGGAAGAGGTCAAACGGATTCAATCAGTACCGCTTGTGATTGGTCAGTTCTTGGAAATGGTGGATGCCAATTATGGTATTGTAGGTTCAACTGCTGGTTCTAATTATTACGTGCGGATCCTGAGCACGCTGGACCGTGAACGTCTCAAGCCAAACTCATCTGTAGCACTTCATCGTCATTCACACGCTGTTGTTGACGTGTTACCTCCTGAATCCGACTCAAGTATTCAAATGATGCAAATGTCTGAGCGTCCTGATGTCTCATATGCGGACATTGGTGGCATGGACATTCAAAAGCAGGAAGTGCGAGAAGCTGTGGAGTTACCACTTACTCATTTCGACCTGTACAAACAAATTGGTGTGGATCCACCACGTGGTGTCCTCATGTATGGACCACCAGGTACAGGAAAGACAATGCTGGCGAAGGCCGTGGCAAATGCCACGACAGCTGCCTTTATCAGTGTCGTGGGCTCAGAATTTGTGCAGAAATATCTTGGAGAAGGCCCACGCATGGTCCGTGACGTCTTCCGTCTTGCCAAGGAGAACTCACCTGCTATTGTCTTTATTGATGAAGTGGACGCCATTGCAACAAAACGCTTTGACGCTCAGACAGGAGCAGACCGAGAAGTGCAGCGAATTTTGCTGGAATTGTTGAATCAGATGGACGGATTCGATCAAGCTACAAATGTCAAGGTCATTATGGCAACCAATCGTGCCGACACATTGGATCCGGCATTGCTGCGTCCTGGTCGATTGGACCGCAAGATTGAATTCCCGCTGCCGGACCGACGACAGAAACGCCTGATCTACCAGGCCTGTACAGCAAAGATGAACCTTGGAGATGAAGTGGATCTCGAGGATTACGTGAATCGCCCAGAGAAGATCAGCTCGGCCGACATTGCGTCCATTTGCCAGGAGGCAGGGTTGCAGGCAGTGCGCAAGAACCGCTATGTTGTTCTACCCAAGGATTTTGACAAGGGCTACAAGAATGCCATCAAGCAGGCGGACACGACATTCGAGTTCTACCACTAAGCACCCATCTCCATGGAAATCACAAGCCATGCAGCGAAAATCGTGTACGAAAGGTCAATTGGCTGCCTTAAGCTTTAATACCATGGTCACTTGTTGCAAAGTGGCTGCATTTCTTCTTTCACAAAGATTGCTACATGCGTCGGTGTAGGTCATTTGCAATTATGGAGGCGAAGTTCTACTTTTGTTGGAGTGCAAGGTTGCTGCATTGCACAAAGGTTCTGTAGATGGGATCACTGCATCAAGAGCGACGTAGAAGAGGTGCCTCTTGAGAGCGATGGCTCTTGCTTATGTTGCTATATTTTGTAGGAAGAGAAACAACTGATGCGCCTGGGAGGATGTATATCAACTGGTTCACTATGCTATCTTCACCATTGTCAATAGGTTAGTAGCGATGTCGAGTCTACTGTCCTCGCACGTCTCATCCAAAATAATGATCGTATACAAACATGTAGATCTTTATCTTCTAGACGTGCACCACAAGCTTCATGGTGCAGACTATCAAGACAATGAACGCTACGAGTACGAGTGACACGATTTGCGTCTGCGAGAGATGGTATTTCATACCTGCGATATCCTTGAAAGAGAGAACGTTTCCACTCTTTTGCTGGTAGTCGTGGTCATTTTGAGAGACGTCATTGAAAACGTCTCCAGAGACTGGTGACTGTGGAGTACTCGACTACTGGCTGGACATACTGGAAGATTCTGCGGAGAGCGCCGGTCGTAGCTCTCAAAGCTGCGGGGCTCGACTTGAAGCGCAGGAATCTGGATGTTGATTGGTGTTGAGTAGTCTCCGACATGTTTTGCACATTGGTGTCCACACACTCATCGCACGTGCGGACACTCTTGCTCTGGAAGAGAATGCGTTTGGTAGAGCAAGCCCTGCATACAATTTCTCCGCATAGACGACAGTGGTGCTTACCGGCCCAAAGACGAAAACTCTGACGGCAATTGGAACAGGTTGAACGTGATGATCTGGGGACCCAATGCGAACGATGGCACAATGCGACAGTCATGACACGTCGTTCAACGATAACAAACGACGACGGTCAAGTGTCGCTCTATAGAAAATTATAGAGCTACAAACGAAAAAACGGCCTAGCAGACCAGCACGAATGGGTGCGATATCATGGCGAAATTCAACGATCAAGCTGCTGCCGGTTTATTCTCATTCACTGACTTATATTTGCCACTCCATCGCCGATGTACATGCAATTGGGAAGCGGCAGTTTGCGTCATTGAATTGACTGCTGCGGGATTCTTCTCCTTCTCTTCTTCACTGCACCTGGTACTTGCGTTTATACTTTCCATCACTTTCGTATCACTGTCTTCGTATCCACCAGACTTTTGCACTCCTGCTGCTTCGGCAGATTCAAACATTTCATCCAGTACATTCATCAGGGCCGAACGCACCACCTGCAGGGACTCAATGTATTGTCGCAATTGGTCAAAGATCGGCTGGATCTCGTCGTCGTGTACCTTCTGGTTCGAAATCCACACTAATCCAGTCTGCGTCATGCGAGCAAAACACGACAATGAACGGTGCACATATTGTCGATAGTACGAGATCATACGACGTGCGTGTGGAAGTCGAGGCTGCTGCGTCATGATCGCATACTCTGCGTAATGGTTCACATGTGCAAATGGGATCGGGTGCAACGCCTCGCAGCAAAAGTTAAAACGCTCAATGAGCGCTCTCTCTACCTCTCGTCGCTCAAATGGGTCATCAATCTTTAGAAAAATGGGACAATTCAGCGGGTGGAGGTCCAGGTTGCTTGAAATGCCGTTTTCAGTCACTCTCTGTAATTCCAGTCCGAGTTGCTTTGCACGGCGGCTCATGCCAGTAATTAGATCATCGACAAGGGAGCCACGACACACAAGCCATTGAATTTCCACGTGGTAACACTGCGTTGGAAGCACCTCCGTATCGACCTTTGCAATCACCCAGTTCTGGCTTGTTACCGCATCATTAGTTTGCAGCAGCATCTTGACACTCCTTTGCCCCACACGCTTGAAAGCTTCAGTACCGCTCGTTGTAATGTATTTGCTCCAATCGGTCGAGAGCTTCACGTTCGGGAACCCTGTGCTTGCATCTGCCTTGACCCGCAAAAACTCGAGAAACTTTCGGCAGCCTTCTGCGTAATCTCGCAAATTTTCTGCTAGCAAGATATAACACATCAGTCAGTCTCTCCGAAAAAAATGCCAACAACGTAGACACGTCATCCTATCTTACCTTGATCGTCGACATCGGAGCCTGTTAGTCGAGGTGGGAATAGGCAATAGAGGCTTCGCTTATAGCGAATTCCCTCACTCATATCGTCGATGTAACCGCAAATTAATTGGTCCAGATGGTTCCACTGGTACTCAATCTTCGGATACTTGCGAAATTCTTGTGCGACTGTAGCAAATCGATTCACAATTGGCGACCATAGCAAGTAGCGATACTCCATGATGTCCACGTCCGAGCGTGTTGTTACCTTCTGAAGGTAGCGCTTGACATCAATTGTCTGGGTCTCTTCGTTGTACACAATTTCATGAATTCGATGGCCCATGCTAAGTCGAAAGACAGTGCCAGCTTTTCCACCAACTTCACTCGACACTTCCACCGAGACCAGTTGAAAATCTTGGGAAAGTCGCTGTGCAACCATTTCCAGCACCAGCTCACGATAATCGCGGAACATGACACCGTTTTGCTCGTCACGTTCAGGAAGCATTACACTGTAGAAAGACTCCGTATAGTGCGCTTGCAATTCTTTCGGCGCCGGCATGAAGTCACTTGCTAGTGGCAAAAGTGCAGGAAAACACAGACTTCTCCACTTCAAAACATTCTGCGCAATTTTATACTGCTGATCTTCGTGTGGCCGAACTTGACTCCATCGACGCTGGTTGCTCGTGAGCTGCTTTAACATATATGCCTGAGAGTGAAAAATGTCTTCATTAACAGCACCTTCTGCAGGACGTAGGATGGGGCTTGAAGTAAAAGGATTGTGACTCGGGCCACTACCGTCGCCTAGCTGAAACGTGTTAGGAAAAGAACTCGAATTTATGCGAGGTTTGTCCTTATCGTCACCCAATGACCCGACCGTAGCCTCCAAACTCCCTCGATACTCAGCCATATCAACATTCAGTGGGGAAGACTCTCTTTGTTCATATTGGCGCCAGCGAGCTCCACAACTGTTGCTGCCTCCGTTTTCGTATCCATTGCCAGTTGATCCAAGGGTTCCTGCCCGTTTCTTGGTCACCGACGCAAAATGCGGCATACCTGGCCGAAGCGGAGGCGTTGTGGCAACCCGGACACTAATGTCGCTGTCGGATGACTTCTGCGCCAATTTAGGCGCCATTGCAAACGCAAAAGCTTCATCATCATATCTTTCGTATTCTTGCAGCAGCTTGTTTTGTTCCGACAAGGAATAGGCCTGGACTTTCGTAAGTACTTCGCCATCGTACGAGAGGGAGTCGTCAGAGCATGTCATAGAAGTCGCTCGAGCGCGAACGAGGTCACTATCGAGTTCAGCAAGAAGAACGTTGTCGTACGTCGACCCGATAGCGGACGGGACTATGCCAGAGGTAATATTGTTACAGTCGTCATCGCTCCGTTTCCGTGGTGACTCAGGTACTTGAAAAGCATTCAACAAGCACTCCAGTGGCTTCGGGAGCGACATGTAGCCGAAATGGGTGAAATCACTGTCTTTAAACATCCGACACATCGGAAGCGGCTCGAATGTTTTGTTCTTTGAGTTCTGCGGGGCGCACACATCGCAACACTGGGTAATGTCGTTGTCCAGTGGACAATCGTGCGGGATCAACATGTTTTCTTGCACGAACCAAAGCGGAATCCAAAGAGGGACTATATAGTTTTTGCGGTTTTCCATCCGTTGCAAACAATACTTGCACAACTGGCCTGTTCGTACCCCCGTGTCTGCCGCTGCTGACTGTGGCTCGGTCGTGGCTTCATTCAAACCTGTACGTGAGCACCGCTGATATCCATTCTTTGAGCCGTGTGGATTGTTGTTGCATACGCACACCTCAGTCGCAGGATTGCCTTCTTTCCGACCTGGAAGCTTCATTTCAGACAAATCGGACTGTTTGAAGAGGAATAACGGGCATTTGTGCAATGGACGAGACGCCAGCGAAATGAGATCAATGCCGATGCCATGATCCATCATGCGTTGTTCTGTAATCTCAGACAGACGCTTATTGACTGAAAAAATGCCGTTTCCTGGTGTGATAAGCACGACGCTTTGACCGCTGCGCGATAAGTCACGGTCAATATGGTGCTTCTCAAAAATATTAAGCACGAGATTTACAGCTTCAAGTAGATTTCCGTCACGTGCATTTGAGGGAACTCCTGCTCGTGGACTCGACTCATCCTGTATTGACTCCGTACGGGAGAATGACGAAACATAAAAGCCGGCTGGTGATCGCCATCCACATTCTCGCGGGAACGCGTTTATTGCTTCTTTGAGTTGCACAAGCAAGGGCTGGACATCTGTGACGATGTTATCAAACGCCACAAGTTTGTAAAAGTCCTGATAATGCCTTCCATTTCCATCCACACCAACCGAGAAGCAATCGCTTCTTTCGTACGGGAATGATGACTCTTTTTCATCGTCTGTTGGATGTGATCGTTTTCTCTTCGGCATAAACGTTTGGTACTGTCCGTCCGAAGGCGATGGGTTTTGGTCCTGGTCCATTTCTGGGTAAAAACAGCGAGAATAAAAGATAATCGTAAGGCTATGCGAGACTTTATGCCTCATCCACTTGCTCAGGACGTTTCGTACCACCGTCAAGAGAATTTCCAAGTACAACATGCCCGAATTTGCCATATCCCACATCTCAGGACTAACTTGCACCAGCCACATGATCCGTGACGTACGTGAACGGAATGTAAACTTGGTTTTTTCTGAAATCACGCCACTCCGGACCTTGTCACCACTTGCACGTACGTCCATCACCTGCCACCGCGTCCCTTGAGCTCGAATTGTTTTGCCCACGTACACTGCTGTGCCTACCATAGATTGTTGCAAGTACATGAGGTCTCGTCTTGACATGAATTGATCTTTCAGTGACACTTCCACGAAATCCACTTCGACTTGTGTCTTGGGCAAAAAACGCACCGTGACGTCCTTAAATGGTGCCAATTGAAAGAAAGCAGCTGTGTCTTTAAGGACACTCACTTGCATCTTTCCTTTCAGTGGTGCGGCACTGCTTTCTGGAATTTCCAGCAGCAAATGGTTCTGTGGTGATCCTTCGGCCATCGCAGCAGCTGCCCCGTCCGTTGCCATAAACTGTCGCATCTGCACGTCACTCACATGCTCTGGATGAAACACTTCAACAACATAATCTTTCCATATCAGCTCTTTCAGTTGCGGAAAACTCTCAGGATTCAATACAATTTCTTCACCACTTAGAAATTCGTGACCGTGGACGTGTAATTTAATCTGTGCAGCTGCGTGTACCGTCGTTTGACGTTTTTTCGTACTGGATGTGGCAGTAGAGACTATAGTGGCTTTTGTAAGATTTAAAGAGCTACTGGTTGCAGCAGATGAAGCATTCTCGAGAGCTTTTACCTTGGCCTTCGCAGCACGTCGATGATCATATCGACGTCGCATTTTTTTTAATTTACGGTAGTAAAATATTTCTAAGTTGTAATATATATGGGTTAAATAACACGCACTTACGTAATTTTGGGTTGAGCGTATATAAGGGAAGAGCTTGTTTTGGGTTGCAAAACTTTCTACGGGAAGACCTTGAAAATGGCTACATTGTTGCTACGATGCTACATTTGACAGGTTCTGGCTCGTCAATGATGCCTCATTGTGCACTTTGCATCTGGAAAGAAGCACGACAGGGTGCGAACGTGGAGGAACGGTCGAAGAAATCATAGAGTCTTTGTGGTCTTTTTTTGTTGCTAACAAGTGACGTGCCGCTACCGGTATATCTATGCACGCTTGCCACCCTTTCGGCTCTTGGCCGAGGACACAATAGCTGAGACCATCCTATTCCAGCAAACAACCAAAGCATTAGTGACAAGTCCACCTTCTGGTATGAAATCCTAGCATAATGTGCCAGAATCATGTACATGATACGTACCAAAACATGCCGTAGATAATCTGCAGTCCATAAAACACCGTCCTAGCAATCGACTCTAAGCGAGCCTGCTGTAGCTTTTTATACCGCAAGATCTCAGTTGGGTCCATCAGATGTTCATTGCGTACAACCCTGTCAATTCCATTGCAACAATTACAATACGACCATCAATAAAACATATCATCCTTTTTCTCTACTACAAACCAGCACTCTCACCGTCGAACGTGCCATACAGCAATGGGAAGATTCAGCAGAAAAATCCATGGCGCCCACGCTACTAAACACAAGAACATAAGGACACCATGCAAAACCATCTCTGGATCTACAGCAATCACGCACTCGTCAACACCTGGATATCTTTGCAGTCATTTGGATACAAAAACTACAGTAAAACACACGCACAGACAAGTGTGTTGAGACGTTTGGCCACGTCCGCTGGATTTAAATGGTCCAATTCCAACTCATCAAGAGTGATCAACTGCGTATTTCAATCACAAAAACACGGTAAGATACAGCGTAAAACACTAAGAGAAGAGACAAAGAGGACAAGGAAGACACACGTACCCAGTAGCCATTCAAGAATGTAAGTGCGACAATATCAATAAAGCTCAATACCGCAATAAAGACCTCCATGACTCGTTTTATTTACTGAGTGATGAGGAATGTTTGAAAAAACCCAAAAGACCCTATGGGTTCTTTACATCAATACAATTTCCAAGTACAACACGCAACACGTACATGCCACTTAGTCGCTCTTGTACGTATTGATGCCTTTCATGCAATTGAGTCGATATTACCTGATTATGGATTGAAATAGCGCATTTCTTAGCCCATTCTTGCAATGTCAATTGCTTACGCTTTGGTCGCAAGTCGGTACGTTGATTTTCCAGTGATTTCTTACCTAAATCACCCTCTTTTGACTCCCTCTTGTATCCTTTTCCATTAATGGTGATAATAGGATCAAAGGATTGCAACTGGTGGTGATGATAACGTGGTAAACATTTGGCAAATGTATGAAAAGAAGATGAAAAGGATTCAAGTGTGTGGTCGCCTCTTTTCAACTGCTTTTTCTAGTTCCAGTTACAAGATCTAACACGTTCATCGGTTTACTAGAGACTCTCGGGTCATCAAAGTGCTATTAAAAGCATCGTGTTTGATTCAATCGAGCACAAAATAGTGGCTGGTGCTCAATCAGGATCGATTAAAGTGTTTGATCTGGAAGCTGGTAAAGTAAACCAAACGCTGCAAGGACACATGGATGCAGTCTCTACTGTAGACTATCACCTTTATGGAGACTACGTGGCTTCTGGCTCGAGCGATACCATTGTCAAAGTGTGGGATCTGCGTACTAGGAGCTGCATGCAGACATTCAAGGGCCATTCATCGGAAGTTACAGCTGTGAAGTTCACGCCAGATGGACGATGGCTTACTTCGGGTGACCAGGACGGTGTTATCAGGATTTGGGACCTTACGGCCGGTCGACTTCTTTATGAATTTCCTCACCATGTTGGTGCTATTACCAGTCTCGAATTTAACCCGGAGGAGTTCATTCTCGTTTCTTCTGCTGCTGATCGCTCTATTCGATTCTGGGATGTTCAAGAATTTGCTTTGATAGGCGTCACGCCTGTGGACAAAGCCACGGTACGCTGCACTCGATGCCGTTTATCGCACTGCAAATGAAATTGCACGATATTCGCTCATACTTTGTTTGTATTTTGACAACGTTTGCCAGACTACGTCAATGTGCCACACAATTGCAGAGCCGTACAGTGGCAAGTATCTACTTTGCTGCTCGCAAGACGCGATACGGGTATGGTCGTACGAAACAGCGATCGAGGTAACTTGTTGTTTGCTCTTTGTTGATAGAAGAATCTTATCTTACGGTTGACGTGGACCAGTGTCACGACAGTATAGCGATTCCCCGCCCGAAAGAGCTAGGACGTGTGTCGATTCACGCCGACACAATGATGACGCAGGATATGAAGCTAATGAGCGGATGCATCGAACATGCTTATGCCTCGGTGTGGATGCTAGACGTGATGCAATTGCGTCCATTTGATCGTATAGTCAACAAAAATAGTGATCAAAGAGCTGGCAAGGTCGGAAGCAGCTCCAACAGACCACCATCGGCAAGAGTGGTCACTCTATCCGATTCAGCTCCTGCGAATCAATCTGTTATTCGGTCTGCCGCTGTAGCTACTTTTGCAAACGTGTTTGACGTGCCATTACCAGCTTCTCGTGGACCTGCTCATGAAGTGTCCGATGGTGTTACCCAAGCAACAGCTCTTGTAATTGGGGATCAAGTATCTTGCAATGTCAACCACCTCGATGATATCAGCCCAGCTACTCCTGGAGTCGTAGTCCCTCTGACTGGAGCGAATTCAATTCCATGTCCAGTACGCCGCACAGAAGACCCTCGTCAATCAGGTACTGATACCGCTGTTTTTATGGTAGTGCGTATAGTATCTGATTGAGCTTGTATGCAGTCGACGTACCTCGTCCAGCCAATGCACGGATAGGTGGTACTCCAAAGGACATAGCACCACAACAACCAGAAGGGCCTTCAGAGACGCATGAAATTGCCGCACGACAACAGCGTGATGAAGAAGTGGTGACGTCTGACTTTGTCATGGAGCTACGCTGTGGTATGGATACATGTGTGAAGGCATTCAAAGCTCGACAGAAGCACATTCAGCAGCTACTGGTTCACTGGGAAAAAGGTCGTCTGAACGATGGTCTCCGGTATATTGGTAACTTACCAAAAGGAAAACGTGAGGCTGTTGTCGTGGATGTGCTACGTATTACAAGTTTGGAATCTCTAGGCGTTGATTTGGAGGCCTGTGTGCTGCTTCTTCCTCTCATTATAGAGGTGTTGGAAAGCAAGTTTGAATTGTACGGACGCTAGCGTCGTCAGTTTTCTACTTGCTACTGACCATACTTTCTCAACTAAAGTGGTGCTTTGTGATTTTTTGTAGGTATTTGAGTGTTGGCGTCGAGGCCGGACACAAATTGTTTGATGCGTTTTCTCCCATTGTGAAAGACAGTCGAAATGCGCGGCAGTGTCGCTCACGGACAATCAATTTTGCTGGGGAAGAAAGGTGAGAAGCTCTAGTTCTTTGAAAAAGAATGGTATCGCTGCCTTACACTTCATGGAACCTCGCTTGAATATGTTGTGAATGTTGTAGAGTCCAATGGTGCAATACTTGCGATAGTTATTTCCAAGAAATGCAGCAGCGTGTTCAGTATCTAGTGGAGACTTGTAATTACTCTGCTATACGAAGCAAAGTCCATAATCTTATACGAGCACTCGACAATTTCTATAGGTGCTAAGGACAAGTGACGTATAAGTCTCCATGAATTGTGTGTTGTTGACGCTATTTATCGGAGAAGTTTATCGAAAAGTTAATCGATACACCTGATCGTCTCATAATCACGTGTATTACTGCTGCGTGGACGTCCAACTTGGATGCTGAGTACAAAAATTTTGCTACCAAATCTGCAGAGATTAAAAAAGTTGGAAACATTTGCCGGTCCATCCGATGTGGGTGTACCTATTCATGCGGTGCAGTTTTCGCTGTACAAAATGGATGAAGCGGTGCTGGAGAGATGCTTGTACGTGAAGGACATCCAGATATCGATGTCCAATATCCACAACAACCCCATTGACTTCTCTCACTTGCAAGAACATTTACCCGCATGGCGAGGTGTTTCTGCCAACGGATGATCCACACGGTATCATTTCATCCACAATCGTGCGCTCTACGTCCAAGTGGTAGGAGAATTGGCACGTCTTGTGTGCAGTATTTTTCCACGCTTGGTGTTACATCGAGTACAGCACGTCAAAGCACGAGCTGTTTGATAAAAAGAAGACTGAGTGCCAGCATTTAAATTATTTACGTACATATCACACCCCATCATCGACGTTTTGATAGTCCTGCACAATGCTTCCAAATCGCTGGATGCACTCGACATGGGGAAAGTAATGTACTTCAAAAATGGAGCGGTCGTAGGTCAAGATACTACCCACCAGCTTAATGACCTTTGGAGCTGAAGGCTGTGTCATCGACGGTCGAAACAGGCTTGTGGCTTCACCTGCTGAATGGGTGACTGCTCGAACATATACCAGTCCTTCCTCCACGAGTAGCGACATGGCTTCGCGGGTATCCTGCAACGAAAGTAGTCGATTCATCTTGACGTATGCGCGCTTTTCGGTAATACCCGGTGCCTGAATAACCAGCGATAGCAACTTGCGTTGGATCGCGAACAGAAATTTATAATTCGTTCCACCGTCCATCTTCAGCCACGGAAAAGACAAGGTGTCCTTCTCACCTTCAAAGACAACCTGAGGCGTCGACGATGACGATGATGATACGATGAGCTTGGAATCAGTGAAAACGGTCGCAATAACCACACGTCTCCATGTTCTTTGACAACGTAGCGCTGATCGTAGTACGCGTTAACACAAATGAGCACAGCCTCATCAACAAGAGAGATCAGGCAGCGTTCCACGCGCATTTGCAAAGCAGCGTGAGGGACCTCATGGTCAATGCTTGAGCGCACCTTTTCCACCAACGCTGACAACGTCAGCCCCTCCTCACCGCTTTCACAAACATGACTCAGCAATGCATGCTCCAGCGCGTCCTCAGATTCCTTGTGGTTTCGGCATTGGCGAAACGCGACTGCTTCCGATTTATCGTTGCCATCCATCTCTTCCAGAGAAAACGCCTCGCAGGCACTCAACAGGTCTGTATCCTCGATAGTCACTGCATACATCTTGGTCTCCACTCTCCAAGTATCAATAAGATCCGATGCTTTCGCAACATTTACCTTGTTGGCCAAGTGTGCAGCGAAACCGGACCTGTCCTTCAGGCTCCTGCAAGTCAAAAGACTTTCTCGTTTAGTGGAGCTTGGTAGTCGTTTGCCGTTTGGCTGTGGTATGTCTAGCGCATCTTCAATCTCTGTGATCGTATCTGGAACCGAGGAAAGAACTGCTGTAAGCGAGCATGTACCAAGCACTTGACAGGCCAACTCGAGAGCACACTGGCCGGGTGTAGCATTGGTCGGGAAATCAACCTCAAAGAGTTGGTCGCTGTTATGCGGTTCGCTACGATGCCTTGCTTCGCTAGAGTCAGCTGTAATTTCTTCTAGTGTGGAGCAAACCATACTCTCCTGTTCTGCGGCCTGCTGAAATAGCAGCAAAGGGTATGACAATGTGGTCACTTTGAGCGAGTCCTGCAGTCGTTGGCTGGCGGAGTATCCACGACCCCGCTCTTTCTCAGACGCGCGAACGATCCAGTTCTTCAGCCAGAGATATCGCCAAACAAGTCGAATCTCCTGTGGGGTCCAGAACGAGATCAATTCTTCAGCGACGAGTGGATGATAGTCTTCTCGTGGCACCGCGATCATCATCACGGCACGCCGAAAGAGTGCTGTAAGTCTAGTTGACGCTTGAATCGCAATTTCCTCGTCAAATAACCCACCAGGATTATAAGCAAGTTGCGCCTCTCGCTTCGCATTTTCAAATAGTAGCTTTACGACAGGCTCCATCAATTTTTCTCGAAGTCGCTTCTTCACGTCAATCTTACGCTTGCCTAGCTTCCTTGAGATAGCCACAAGACCGAAACCTGTTCGTGAAAGTGTAGAATTTCGAAAAGCGACTTGCTCTTTATCACGTTGCAAACCTTGAGGAATAGCTATTCTCCACTGACTCTTGCTACTGTCAATAAAGTAATCCACCAATTGCTGTTCATGCATCTTTGTCCAAGTAAGGACTCCCGACTTTGGCTGGTCTTCATCTCCTACATTGTCCCTGATTTTCTTCCTGTTCCTTCTTTTGACTCCATCATGGCCATGATTTGTTTCGTCCCCATGTTGAGCAAGACGTCGTTTTTTGCGAGATCGGACGTTTGTAGACACAATGCCACTAATAGCAACATGAGCAGTGTCACTACCATCCTCAAGCTTGTGTTTCAGTGCAGGCTTTCGTGATTTCGGTATCCAAGCGAGAATACGCAGCATTCGTCGCGCACGGGTCTTAACTGGCTTAGGTACTCCACACACGACTGGTTCGTTTTTTCGAGGGTTTTCCACTTCCATTGTCATCTGCTCAAGACAGAGACACTCGAGAGCCTCCCAGTAGCGATCAACATCGCATTCCGACTGGAAAGAAAATCGCAATGGCAGCGAGTCCGCGAAGCTGTACGTCTTTTCGGTAAAACCAACAACGCGAATCGAATTGAATTCGTTCACACTACGGCGCTCTGAATCTCCAGGAGAGAAAAGGCGATCTTCTCTGTCACTATCATCTAAAACAATTCGGACCTGCTTGTTAAAGCGAAAAAGCCCGCCGAGTGCATTTTCATTCAGTGCACGGGAAAGCACACCGTCGCGGCCATCAGTGTACCCGGCTCGAAGGATCTTTACCAGGTGTTTCATTCCAATCTTGTGTGGTAGTACTAAGCCTAGATCTGCCAGAGTACCCAAAACCTTTGCCGTGCGCTGAGATTCATGACTCCATATCTTTTCGCGTAGTGCTTCTGGAATTGCTTGAAATGTGCGCTGGTGCTTGATGGTCTCCTCAACAATAGCGAACTCGGCGCCTGTCAGGATTGCCCCGCCCGAGAAAATTTGAATGTACAAATGTACAGGCATTGAGTGCAAAACGGATTCGCGAGAAAACACAATTCCAGGCAAAGTGGGCTGATGCTGCTTCTGGCTACCAGTAAAATAGCTGCTATCTCCTTCAGTAGTCGAGTCTTGTACGGTTGCATCGCTCTCCTCACCCGGAAGCTGAAGGCTTGATCCGTTTTCGTGCAAAGCTTTCCACAAAAATCGATGCAGAGCTTTACACCGATACATGACACCGTATGCAAATCCAAGCTTCCTAAACTGTTGGTTGTGTACTCCAGACTTTTGCTGACTCACAAAACGCCGAATCCTGTAGCAAACTTCGGGCGGAGTAGGGTTACTGACTTCAGTTTCGACGCCAGAAGCATGAGAGATTGTTTGAAAACTAGCATCCTTGTTTCCTGCTACACCGCCTAAGGCAAAAATCGAATTCTTGAACTCATCAGCATGTGCGTTAGATATCCTAGAATTGGCCCGCCGTCTCTTTCGAGTTGATCCAGACTCCACCTCGTCGATATTGTCGCTTCCGATCGCGTGAAAACGAACGAATTGACCTTTATCCAGCATTCCGGTGGATGCGCCGCAAACGCTCATCTCGACAATAGTTCTTCACAAAGCCTTGTAGGAACATATCGTTGTGCTCATACCCTGGAGCAACAACACAACGGAGCGCACGGAATTTAGTCGAGACATTACGAGCCGGCAATGGAAGCTGCAACAGTCGTAACTTTTTGGCGATTTCCAGTTCTGTTGCAATGCGGTAAATTGACCGAGTGTCGACTTTCCCCACGGCAGCAGGGGATATTAAACTGCTCCCCTTGTTAAATACAGTGGGCTCGCCACTTAAGTTGGATGAATTCAATAACACATTCGTTTCCGCACGCTGCTTCTCCATGCTGAATACGCTGGCACACAGCGACGATAAACTAATAATCTTTTCGTCACCGAGCCGCTCCAAGATGTGCTCGCGACGTCGATCACTGGTGCCATCAACTTCTGCGCCTTCAAGTGCCACTTTTAGTGCCTTGTTGGTTCGAACGGTATATGTTCGTTCTGCATTCACCCCAGTAACTGACTCCTCGTCTACTCTGCGATGTTCTTTCGAGTGGGTCGACAGTGACAAGGTGCTATCTGCTACATCTGCTGAAGAAAGGGACTTGTTGCCAGGTGCCATCGAGTCCAGGTACAATCGAAAAGCTTTATTCTTTCCCAGAATGATAGACTCGGCTTTCAGGCTGTACATCCCCGCCAGCACGCCCACTAACTTATACGGCAGCTTGCTTCCAGGAAGCACAATTCGGTTACGCAGGTCGATAATTGTGGTGCCATTCTCGGCACTGTCTTCAATGATCCCATAGATCTGGCGAAGCAACCCGAGCTCCAATACAATACCTCGACGACAAGTCAAGTTCCTTTGGGTGTTTGGCGGCTTGTATCGCACGCAATTTAAGATCTTCGGTTCGAGACTGGCACGTCGCGACGGCTGCAATACAGCCTGAAACAACTCTAACGGGAAGTTCTCATCCACCTTACACTCCTGCATAATATGTGAGCGTAGCACCTCTAGATGCCGCTTGTGTAAACTTAGATCACGTCCAAGATCTGACAGCACCGACGAACGCGTCGGCAGTCCTCTCAGATACGTTTCTGCTGCTGCACACAGAATCTTTTTGCTCTGCTCATCAGACTCAAAATCTGCCGACTCGTCAAACATTTGTGGTTTGAATTCCGCTGCAAACCGCGGCAAATGAATGATATTCAACCGTCGCATTATTGGACGTGCGACAATCATCATCCTTTTGACCACTAAACCGTATGAAATCAATGTATCGAGACAATTGTGCAGTCTCTTGACTGTACCACCTCGTAGCAATTTAACCAGCGTCGTTACAGTGATCCCCTGGACACGAGCGTGACCCACAGCTTCAAGAATACAAAAATGAGCCTCTCCAAGATCAGCAGCAATGGCCTTCACTGGAATATTCAGTGCTCGATACCGCAATTCTTGACACGCAACAACCATCAGTTGTTTTGTCTCCGCCATTACCTCGTCATACGTAATCAACATCAATTCTTCCGTCGTGATTGTCCTTTTTTCCTCGGAATGAAAGCGTCCACTTGTTTCCATCACTTCCCGCTTGATTTTGATCCTCTTTTCTTCATTGAAACGTGGTTGTTTCTTACGAAACGTCCCAAAACTCGTGGATAATCGATAGAAATGTAAAATCTCGTGACTCGAACGCAAGAGCCGCCACACTTGGCGTCGTACCAGCACATCATTATATGGATCAATACTAGAAAATAAATGCAACATAGAGACACCAGTACTGCCTTCAAGTGCAATATAATCCATACATAAAGCAACAAGGTCACGAGGTGCTCGTCGTCTTGACATGTGGAGTACTCTATGATGACTGGATAAGCTGCTGAGTGGCTAGTGGTACATGATATTGATGTGTACGACATCACTGTCCTGTCCTGTCTTGTACAAATCGCGTCACAGGTTTTGTACATCTTTACGCCATAAGGACCGTTCATTTTGTACTCTGAGACGGGGGGTGGGGGCTAGTTATGCGTCGCTTGGCATTGATACATAGTCCTGTATATAGCTCTTCCTTATGGTCACGATGCATGGCACGTAGTGTGTCCACATATGTGGACAATAACAGTGCTAGAGATGGTGGTCATACTACCAGTCGTCATACAACAGACTCGGAGTTACGAACAGAGTCGATGGTACAGCCCAAGATGACAATTAGTAGCAAGCGTTTTAACCTCATGAGTACAGCAGAGTCTTTATCTAGTAATGGATTAATACCTACAACTATTGGTTCTAATGACTCGATGATTGTAAAGAAGAGCAAACACTCTTGGAAAACAAAGAAGAAGAAGAAGAAGAAGAAATGGTGGTCTCATATGGACCGAGAGTCTTTTCGTACGCTTCTTATGGAACAAATGAACTCGAAGAGAGTATCGTCCGTACTACGAAAGGTACAAGAAGGAACGAATGGAAAGACGTGACTGATTAAGAGATTCTTTTTTTTGAACTGATAAACTTGTTGTATTTATTCGTGTCTACTGCAGTATATGGACGAGATACCAATTTTAAACAACAAGTGGTCGGACCAGGAGCTTGTGATGATAGTCTGTGCACTCATTAAAATGAATCGCAGCGAGATGGCGCTGGAAGTGCTGCGTAATCAGATCAACGAACCCGACCGTGATCGTCTTAATCGAGTTGCAGCGGCGAGTGCCAGGTTGGGCAATGCACAAGTAGCACAGGGGGTTCTGGAGATCACGAAATACTTTAACTTGCAACCCGACGTCGTCACTTATACCAGCGTCATTCACGCCTGTGCTCGTGGTGGCAAAGGGGACGTTCCGATGGCGTTGCATTATCTGAACGAGATGATCATGGCCGGCGTGGAGCCAAATGCACGCACGTACGGTGCTGCTGTTCTTGCCTATGCACAGTTGGGGAGATGGGAAGAGATTAAAAATTTGTTGTGCTCGATTGCGTACACGGACGACGCGCACAAGAAGGAGGTATTCACGTGCGCAATTGTCTCGTGCTCGCGCAATCGCAAGCATGACTACGCTTCTCGACTCTTTGAGTTGTTGCTCGAAGACGGTGTTTACCCGGGTGATAACGTTTGCAATGCCGCGCTCAGCTCCTGTGCACGGACCTCTGATCTGACACAGATTCGTCGCATCTCAAAGCTGCTCGAGCTCCACGCAACACCCTCAATCTACTCCTACAACTGCATGATCTCGGCATTTGGCAATGCTTGCAAAATGGATGAGGCGATGCAAGAATTCGAAAAAATGCGGGAGAACCTTGTCGCTACGCCCGATATTGTCACGTTTAATTCGTTGCTAGTTGCTGCTGTGCGCTCACGAGAGGTCCACAGGATTCCCTTCATCTTGTCACTCATGAACAAAGCTGGCTTGAAGTGGGACGCATACACGCTGAACATACTGTTGCAGGGATGTGGGGTAAATGGTGACGTTAAAATGGCCGAGCACTACTGGCTAACGGCAACAGAAGGAAAAGCAGCAGACGCGGATCAGCCTCTTGACACGCATCGTATTTCCCCCGATCGTGCACATTTTGAGAACCTCATGGGTGTATACTACGCTGCGACAGACTACAAAGCCGTCGTAGATTTATGGCAAAAGAACAAGCTCTGTCGCCGTCGCACTAAAAGCTCCAAGGCTCTTAATTTCTTGATCCGCGCGTGTAAAGGTCTAAAGGATGACAAGATGGCAATGACGATCCTGTCTGAGTTTGCTGACCGTGGACATCCACTATCGCCGATCACGCATCACCACATGCTGGAAGTGTTTCTCGCTGCTGACAAGTACACTGATGCATTGGCATATATGCACAAGATGATTAAGGTGGATGGCACGGCATCCATATTCGCGTTCACATTACTTATGAAGTACTTGGCAAAGAAGAATCGCCACTCGGACGTGCTGGAAATGTTTGACTTGTACCTGGATACCCGTGAAGCTTCCACTAAGGGGCAGAGCCCGTTGCTTCATTTCCCAACGGACGCAATCTATGTCTTGATGTTCCGATCGGCCGTGGAGTTGCAAGACCATGAAACAGTCCTTATGATTTACGATAATTTGCCGACTACGATGTCTGTTGCTGTTCGAACGGAACTGCTCCGGTTGGCCATAGCATCATGCGAGCACGAGGGAGATTGGCGCACTGCAGTCACGTTGTATGATGATATGACCGGAAGGCTGGACGAAGACATTAATGTGGAGTTGTACAAGCAAGTCGTGAAGATTGTCGCCAGTGCCGGAGAGTTTGACCGTGCGCTTGACGTAGGCGGTGGAGAATGGTACCGCCAGAACCGACCCGATAAGGGCTGGGGGCTTTAGGGCACGGGACAACAAGTCCGCGTGTGTAGTTGCTAGACTGGTCTGGCTAAAGTTCCTGTATACTTCGAGACGAGAAGTCAAAGTTGCAGATAGAATCGCTCACTAAAACTAACTTTATCGAGAATGGCAGATACCGATGAACACTCTGGCGCTCAAACCTACTCCATCCATTTAATTGAGCCCACCAAGAGATTGCGCGATGGCAACGGGCCTGGTGAGGGAACAAGCAGCACCACTTTCTGCTCTGCCACACGAACCTCCTTACTGAGCATACGTTGCAAAACAAATCAGCAAAAACTGTAGGAAACAATACTATGCTTGCATACGTACATGAAAACGAAGCCTACTGCGGGGGCACCGAGAAGCCACGACATATCTGATGACGACGAAGAGGACGCGCCTTGGCCGTGTGGCGGGTGTGCCACAGCTGCCAACGAGTGCCCCAGGTCAGCTGTCTTCTCGACAGGCACTGCACGCAATCGGTCGGTCTGAGTCTCCACTTGGCCTACTGGAAGCATCACATCGGACACCTTCATGTCTGCTCTCACCATTCACCACGTGATGCAAAAAAACAAGTTAGCAGTGACAATTACTGCAATCACACCTTCAAAACCCCACTAAACATATAAGCACCTTTGATCGCGAAAAATGAAACGTCATCGAATGAAAACTCGTTGATGCAGGGTGAAAGTGTGGGGATCGCTACACTCAGCGAGTGCGCGCCGTAAAAGTATTCCCGGATGCAGCTGATGCGCAAAGCAGAACGCAGTTTGCTATTACGCGGGACAACTCCATCTGATCGTGACAGCTTTACAATTGATCTGTCTACTCCGTTTGCGTGCACTCCCGTCAGTGTGCTTTGCAAGCGACTGTATAGTCTGTCCTGACCAATGACCAGTACCACGTCTACTTCAAAGTCCTTGATGGCATGAACCAAGAGATCGAAACCTGCACCGTCCACCCAGCCGCACGTGTTAATCACACACCCAGACGCATTCACTTGTGCATCATTTTCAAGTCGTCTCTTGACTGTCTTTGCCAGCTGCTGCTGCTGGTAGCGGAAAAGCTCGACGTTATCAGACGACATGGCATGACCATAGAAATAGGCCAATGGATTCGTAAGGACAAAGTCTTCTTCGACACTGAGCGAGTTCATGTCCAATGGCGAAGCCGAGAGCGTTCCTGGGACACTAAGACAGCCGTGACCCACGTCCAGTTCAACAAGCGTCGGTTTTTCGCCCAGACGTAGCGCGTAATTGACGAGGATTTGCGTAAGCGTCGACTTGCCACTGTCTACGGGGCCACACACAAGCACACGCGGACCAGCGGCGTGTTTCGCCTTAGCCAGTTCTCTGCACCGCTGAAGCTGTGAGTGAATGTTAAGATAACTGTCCATAGGCGTCTCTTCTGACGTATAAGCCACTTCAGGAGCTCCATTTACTTCCAATGTACATCCGTACCATGTAAAAATTGCCACTTTGCGATCACGAAAGACGTACTCGTGATCAATGGCTAGCTCGACACCAAAAAGCTCTGCAGATCCGCTCTTTAATCGCACACTCACTTCTGTTTGTGGTGGAACCTCTACACGGTATTCAGCCTCGCGCGCTAGCACCACTTCCGTCCGGGAGCTCATGAGTGGCTTTTTGATTCAAAAATAACAATAGTTTGATGAATTTTAGAATGAATGGTATGAAAATGTAAGTTACAATGTCAAAAATGCGTCGGTATTTTTGACATGACTACAGTCTTATTTCTTACATTTTGTTGACACTAATGCAACAGCGCACGGCAGTCAAGCGACAGCCATGGATGAAGGACGCAGCGGCGCGACGTCAAGCGACGTTATCACAGCAGAGACAGGACAGAAGGGACCTTACGGCGCATGCGCGACAGCTTGTGCAGTCGCAGGAGCCTCTGTCGCTTTCTGGAGACGTCACTACGCAGCCGATGGACGACGTCACCTCTGTTTCTGTCTATTCCAAGCGCAAGACCCGCGAGGAGCGCGTAAAGAAGAGACGTGAGCATTTTTCCAAGCAGTTGATGACACCCGAGTGGCTTATTGACGTCCCTAAGGACTTGAATGGCTGCGGCAGTGCGCTAGGTGAGGGCTGGTACGTGTTGCCGAGACCCGAGGGCAAGCGCTGCCTTGTAGTGGCCAATGGGTATGCGAACGGCTTATTAAAGGTCTTTATTAAGATGTGTCTGACCAATGTATGCTCTATGTATTTGTGTATGCAGAGGCACTACTATTGCGAGGATTCCAGCGGGAAGTATTCTCAAGAAATTTCCATCGGCGCTACCGTGTGGCTCGCACAAGACCAATAAGTCCAATGACGGCTACTGTATCTTAGACTGCATCTATCAAGAGCATAATGAGACGTTCTATGTCCTAGACGTCATGTGCTGGAAGAGTTATCTGCTGTACAATTGCACTACAGAGTTCCGACTCTTCTGGATGCGAGACAAGCTGTCCGAAGGAGCGACGGCAATTGTCACACCGGCTAACCCATATCGCTTTCTGGTACGTAAACAACATATGTGGAGCTTATAGGGCGATGTTTTGTTCTAATCTTTGCTGCCTGCAGCCTATTCCATGCTATGAGAGTGATTCAGCCGGAATTATGACGGCGTATTCAACGACGTATCCGTTTCTCAAGTGCGCGTCTTGTTGAGCTGGGGTTAAACTTGGCCGTATACAATGTCCTTACGTTTTGCTTTGTGCGTGTAATGATGCAGAGATGGACTTCTCTTTTACATGAAGGCGGGTCATTACGAAATGGGTCTATCGCCGCTGGCGTTGGTGTGGAAAGATGGTAACACGAGTCGCTTCTTTGTCAACCCAGCAAAACCGTCTGTCGTACTTCGCCTTGAAGGTGGTGAAAAGGAGTTTGTGACGTTAGAAGGCATCGTTCTTTTCACGTGCGACCAAGAGTTTATCCAGCAACACGAGGTTCGATTTATTCCGTTTCAGTCTCGGCGTGCTTATGTCATTTCACATTTTTGTGTGCAATATCTGTAGCTGAGTGAAGGAGATCTTGCGAGTTTTTCTTTCGAGCAAAATGATGTGGAAGAATGCCAGACACCGCATCTACCCAGTCTGACATTTGTAAAGCGGTGTTCGCCACAGAGAGCCCTTCCAGACAGCTGGACTAAGATTTTGTTTCAGTACAACGTTCGTTTTGGTAATGTCCCGATCAAGCGGATTTTGGAGGTATGAGTTTGTGCGTAGGCAGGATTTGCTGCAATTGCTTACGTTTCATGTTATTGTACGCGTAGGCCGCTCAATTACCGACTCGTGAGGTCGAGATGGAAGGATAAAAAGCTCGGGTACAGTATTGATTCTGTTTACTCTACTGAAGGATGCTGGTGTTGGTACGTCCAAGGCAGTCGCTATTGAATTGCAGTTTACAGTTTACAGTATCAGATTGCTTTGAATGGCACCGTTATATATAAATTGCAAGATACGTATGATGGCCTGAAAGTATCGAAAAATGTTGTGCCTTTGTAGACGTTACGACGGGTAGGGGTAGGCTGGATTATCCGGATAATGTTTTTTTACGAAGGTACTTTTTTGAAAAGTCAAAAAAAACCGTTCTATATGTGGCCCACACTTTCTACTGCTTGCTCCATTAACTTGATTAGCATCAGAAATGGGTCGTACTGGTGCAAAGGTCAAGAAGGGCGGATTGGGAGACGCTCTATTGCGCACACAGAAGAAAACATCACCTGTTAATACAAAGGATGTTGCATCAAGTGCTGGAAAGCACGTGTCTGAACGAGATGGTGGAGACGCGTCTGTCGCATTGGCCTCGTACCTCGAAGGCTCGTCCTTGGTGCGTGATCACTTTGCAAAGCAATTTTACAGCAGCAACAGGAGAAAACGAGATTGTAGACCAAGTTCTAATGACTGTCTCTTTGTATGATCTTATGATTGCAGGATGATTTCTTAGCGAGTGCCGTGCTGGCCAATCGGGAGTTCACGGCTGTAAAAGAGAGTATTCTGCTCATGGATGAAGCGGATGCAGGGCCACAATTGATTGAGTACGTCCAAGAGAGTGTTATTGATCTGCAGAATCGATGCAGATTGGAACTGATTGACTGACTTGCGTGTCTTGTCTTGTCTTTGAGTATAGGAAGGAGAAGAAGGTGGTGCCAGAAATGACCTTTGCAGAGATGAAAGTGCCACGTCGTCCAAAGTGGGACACGTCGACAACGGCTGAAGAACTGAATCGATTGGAGAAGGAGAGCTTTCTCGAATGGCGCCGTGATATTGCCTTGTGAGTAGTGGATCTTATTATCTGAGTGTGTAACACTGATGATTGTTGCTATTTGATGCAGATTGGAGGCTTCATCTGATCATTTAGAGGTAACTCCGTTTGAGAAGAATCTGGAAGTGTGGCGTCAATTGTGGCACGTTCGCGAGCGAAGTGATATCATGGTGCAAATTGTGGACGCTCGCAATCCACTGTTCTACCGGTACGAACTTGTAGACTACAACGCATGCATTCTCTGTTGATGTTAACTGCATTTTTACAGATCAGTAGACCTTGATGCGTATGCGAAAGAGGGTGAAATGCTGCGACGCACGCTTTTGATCGTGAATAAGTCCGATTTTCTGGACGAACGCCAACGGTGAGTTGTCTGAATTCATCGTCATAACCTGATATGTGCATTAAGCAGTGTTTAACGGTTCATTATCTGCAGAACGACTTGGGGGGATCACTTTAAGGCAGAAAACATAGATTTTGTGTTCTTCTCAGCCAAGGAGGCCCAGGACGAAATTGATGAGGAGGCTAAGAAGTTGAGACAGGAAGAGAGAGATGCCGAGAGCCACGACCAATATGATGAAGTAAAGCCCGCGGAGACGCGGCTTGCGGAAGAAGTAGGTAGTACGAACAAGAAGACCAGCCCGTATCCGGTGTTGTCGCGTGTCGATCTGCTAGAACATTTGACCAAAATCGCTACGGAGGTGCTGGACGAGGTGGGCGTGCGAGTGAAGGACCAGGGTTTGATCAAGTTTGGTATGGTAGGTTTCCCCAATGTCGGAAAGAGTTCTGTGATAAATGCATTGTTGGGTGCGTCGACATACTCCCACAAAACTCAGCGTGTTGCTGTCGGTGCTACCCCTGGCAAGACTAAACACTTCCAGGTACGGATGGGTCTGGCTGATACTCATTCAGCAACGATGATTTAACGCGTGGTCTATCTTACACATTAACCTGTAGACGATGGTTTTGTCCGATAAAATTATGCTGTGTGATTGCCCCGGTCTCGTGTTCCCAAGCTTTGTCAACTCGAAGGCTGAAATGTACTGTTGCGGTGTGCTGCCTATCTCACAACTTCGTGACCATATCTGTGCGTCGCCGTGTTTCGTGGTATATTAGTTTCTCATGTATGTCCTGACAATTCTGTGGGTGGTTTTGTAAATTGCACAGCACCATGTCAACTTCTGTGCCATCGTATCCCGAAGCGAGTTTTTGAGCGAACGTACGGAATCAAGATCCCTACGTCCAAGACAGCAAAAGAAACAGATCCCGTTGGTATTTACGCGCTTCTGGAGGTGCGTACAAGAACACACAACCATTAGGATGGTTGCTGATGCATTTCGCTCACTCTCTTTCTGCTGCAGTCTTATGCCCGCAACCGCGGCTACACCACGACTGGCAAAGGCGGGCCTGACACTTCACGTGCAGCACGCGACATCTTGCGGCACTACGTAAACGGTCGACTGCTGTATTGCCACCCTCCGCCGAAGGTCTCGGACCCAACTATCTTTGGCATTCATGAGATTGCTAAGGCCCATTTTCCTGACATTGTGGAGCCGATTGTTTCCGAGAACACTGGTGATAGTGTTGATAAGGAAGCTATGCCCTCAGGAGAAGCAAACACAGAGAAAGAGGGCCTGGATTTTGACACGAACGTGGAAGACAAACACGTCGTAAGCAAGCGACTGAAGAAGCACGGCCGTAAGGGACGCAAGGGACGCGATAAAAACCCGTATGAAGACTCTGACATGCCTGGCGATGTTTCCGGTGTTCACATCAACTCGGGCGGCAAGAAGAAACCCCACAGACCGTGATTTGTTGCCTTATTACTTCGCGCAACGAATGTCGTCAGCTTCAATATACGCACATGCTATCTCAAAAAATGATAAGCAGAGAACCATTGACCCGTCCATTGATCTTGTATTTTCTTAGCTATTTCTTCGTCATCTTGCATGTACAAAGGGTCAACGGATGGAAGAGATCGAGAAGCGAGGCCACACACTATGAAAGAAACATGTCTCGCCACTCGTTTACTGCTTGCAGACAACTAGGCAGGAACAATCTCGAAGCAACGTTCCCGCACAATGCGTCTACCTACTTCCGCCAAATCGTCCTGTTGATTTGCTTCAGTTCCGATCTCTCTTCATCTAAGTGCCAGAGTGGCAAAGGAGCTCGTAATTTCAGCAGCAGCAGGTCTAGTTGCCCTTATGGTCTTCATCGATAGTATCCGCGTTGTACGTAAAACCAGGAAATTGCGCCTTGTTGCGCTGGGTCTCGCTCATTGTCGTAGTCACGACAGAATCCACTGGCTTTTCAGCAGTAAACTCAACGTCGAAATTGCTCGTGTCCATGGAACCCAACCGGTTAGGCGGCTTGAACTCCGGCTGCACCTCCTTGCGCAAAACAGCTTCCCAGTCAATGCCCTTGAAGAACGGGTGGGATTTGATCTCCTCGGCATCCGTGGGGCCGCTTCCAAGACGGTCCGACACCTTACGCGTCAGCAAACCAGTGAGCAGGTCCTTGGCCTCTGCGGACATGAAAGACGGAAAACGCAGCGGCGCGTTCAGGATCTTGTCGTACATGCGCTGCATGTTCTGGTCGTAAAAGGGCGGGAGACCCGTTAACATCTCGTAGATCAGCGTTCCTAGACTCCACCAGTCCACACCCTTGCCGTGGCCCTTGTTTTCCAGAATCTCTGGGGCCAGGTACTCAGGCGTACCGCAAAACGTCTTAGTGCCACCGGTGGCGCCGGCACCTGTGACCGCCTCCTTCGAGAGACCAAAGTCTGTTAGGCGAATGTGGCCCTCCAAGTCGAGCAGGATGTTCTCAGGCTTCAAATCACGGTAAATGATGTCGTGCTTGTGTAGTTCTTGAAGAGCAAGGATAATCTCAGCGGCAAACAGACGCGCTTTCTGCTGAGAGAAACGGCGTTCCTTCTTCAACCAGAAGAAAAGCTCACCACCACCGCAATAGTCCATGACAAGGTAGAGCTTATCAGGCGTCTGGAAGGCGTATGTGAGACTGGTCAGGTACGGGTGCTTAATGCTTTGCAAGATGCTGCGTTCCGTCTTGGTGTGTAGTAGTTGGTTACGCTTGACGAGCGCAGCCTTGCGCAAGGTCTTCATGGCGTAGATCATCTTGGTATCCTTCTTGCGTACCATCATCACCTTGCCAAAGCTTCCCTTGCCCAAGACCTTGAGCAGATCAAAGTCTTCTACGTTCACCTTGGTCTGGGGCCGTGCAGGGCCGTCCATGTCTTCAATTGTCACCTGTTCAATCGGACCAGAGTCATCGTCTTCTAGATCGGCTACAATCACACAATAATCAAAGAGGAAAGAGACAGAAAGATCGTCAGTATGTTGGAGCTTTCTACATTAGATCAAATTCAATAAATAAATGATCAAGACGTACATTCTTCCTCCGTCTGTTGTTGATTTTGTTGTGTCTGTTGCTGAGTATGTTGTGACTGGACGGACGCCGATGCAGGTCCGTTCGATGGGTTCGAAGGTGCAGCAGGGGCACTTTTGCCAGCATCACGACCGCCATTGGCGTAATTACTAAACTTGAAACCACGCGAGTCACTCTTGATAGGTGGACGAAGACTCTTGGCACCTTTAGATCCTTTGTTTCCCATGGTTTTTATCTAGTAAAAAGAGAGAGAGAGAAGAAGAAGAAGAAGAAAATGTATCGGAAAAACCTGTTACCGATGGACGAATACGCGAATAAGCGACCCCAGAAATGACCAGAAAAAACAAAGAAGACACGTAGAGCAAAGGGGGAGGAGAACTCTATACAAAACACAAGTGTCTGTTGCGAGTGTACGTATGTACGTACGTACCCAAGCCTTTCTTTGACGCGCGGTAAATGTGGACTGCGCCAATTGTTGCTTCCTTCCACCCCACGATCGGACGACGTGCTTACAACGCGTCGAATTCTTATACGTGCAACCTCAACGACTGACCGAAGATTTGGGCTAACTTTTTGTGTATCCTGACCGGTTCATGCAACCTTCACGTTACCTTCTTTATCAACCAGCCGGACCTCCTTTCTTTCACTAAGTACGCCGGCGTTTTGTCCCAAGTTATGTGTACACACGACCAACCGTTGCCTTTGGCACAGTGGGTTAATAGAATGATGCGATGGGATGGAAGACGGGCGACAGTTCTGTATGATTCGTTGCTGAGCACACGATGAGTGGTCAGAGGATCATCACAATCTCATCTGCCTATGCATTTGCATGTACATCATACTATAGTAATAGGTCTGAAGGTAGACTTCCGGGAAAGACTTATCTCTCATCAACTGGCGAGCTCCATTGTCGGATCAAAAATCTACTTGCATATCGGGCATGCAAGTAGAATTTTGTTGCGGTCAGGGGGATCCAGGTAAATGATCCTTTGCAGCTTGCAGAGCCGGCTGCGTAGTCAGCACCGTTTGATGGAATCTGGCGCCAATGGAGCCGCCAGATTTCTGGTGGTTGGCGTGCGTGGCTCAGCCTGAGTTCATTATTGATGGCCAATAAATAGTGTCCACCTTCTACAAGTACGCGCTTTGCTGGCAATAACGTCACTGTCGATGAAGGGCGGAGTAAGTCATTGAAAGCGATGATTAAGTCCGCTATTAGTAAGTAAGGCTGGATGTTGTTAGCGCAGCATACGAATCAAATGTATCATAGGCTGCCCATGTAGTATCAATCGTAGTGTTTGAGCATCTGTAAAAAGCATTTGAAGCACAGTGAGTGACTTCAAGATCATAACGAACTTTCAGCGTAACTGTAGATACCAGAAATTCGAATCGGAGTAAAGTCACGTCGTCCACGTCGCCATTGTCACGCAATCAGGCACTGGTGGATTTCATCGAATCCGAACCAAACGGGTAGACGTGCCACCGACCACTTTCTATTCGGTGGCACGAGAGCAGCTGCTATCAACCGTCTGATTTAATTAGTACTGAGAAAGACTTGGAGCACGAAAGCCATCAGTGAGCACGCCGCGTCACCACCATTTGGACGAAAAGATGAAAGAAGTTACTTCCGTAGTACCTCCGTCCCCCACAATAACCGCCAGCGTTGATGTTACTGCTGATATGGAGCTTATGGGTGCTACGAATCGAGACATGTTTTCGTGGTTGTTATTCAATTCGGAGAACATGTCGGCACCTACAAGCATAGGCAGTCATTCCGTTGTAGATCATACACAAGCACTAGATTATCCATTTCGTATGCTTGGCCCTGGAGACGACACGAGTCTGTCTCTGGCGCTAAATGCAACGACTTCGACACCTCTTGTTCAGACGGATGCGGTTGTGGAAGCATTACCAGCCATGACACCTGCTACTACTACAGCACCAGCGACGATGTCTGCACCTACGAAACCTGTAAAGACCAAGCGGGGGAAGAAACGTGCAGCTATGGAGGCGCTGGATATGACCAAGGACTTGAACGCCAAGAGTTTGACCAATACGGAGGGCTTATTGCGCCATCTTGAGAGCGCAAACAATGCACTGGTGCAGAAACGTCAAGCTGTTCATAAAGACACGTCAACTTTGACTGCAAAGTCGCCCAAGACGGAGAAATCGTCTTCTAGTAGTGGCAGTGACAATAATACCGGGGAGGTGACTAGTCTTCAGCGTAAGCTCAAGCTTGAGCGGAACCGAGAATCGGCACGTGAGTGTAGACGCCGCAAGAGAGAGCATATCTTGGGCGTCGAGGAGCGGTGCCGTCAACTGGAGCGTGAGAATATGGAGTTACGTGGACAGCTGAAGGCTGGAAAAGAGGCCATCCGACAAGAGGAAAAGGAGAAGAACCGCGTGTGCGAAGAGCTCGAGCAGATGATCCAGTGTGGTGCCTCTGAGAAGGAATTGGCCGAGAAGATTGAAAGTTTCAAGGAGAAGTACTCGGATTACGGCCATGGCCGTCGCTCGGCGCTGAGCTATCACCTCCACCAGATTGAGCGACTGCTCTTACCCACGCAAGTAACGAAGATGTGCATCTGGGCCCTTCGCCAAGATGACAGCTTTTGGCAGGACGAGGAGGACGAGACCAGTCTACCAGTCATTTTGGCGAAGGAGCTGGGGCTGAGCGAGGAACAGAAAAAGAAGATTCAGCAACAGCGGGGATCGATCTCGCTGATCTGCGAGAATCTTAAAAGCGCCCTGGGACTACTGGGAGAGCTCAAGACGGAAGTGACGAACAAAAATTCCACCCTAGATATGGAGATGGACAAACTGCAGAATATCCTTACCCCTACCCAACGCGCCAAGGTGAGTGGGCAGCGTTTGCTACACCTCGGCGAGACTGAATTGAGCTTCATTGCTAACTCTTGTGTCTTGTATCTATGCTGCAGTTTATTGTGTGGGTGACCAACAACCAAGCGTGTATGCACTTGCTAAACAAGCTGTGGCGAAGTGTGCTATGAACGTATAGAGAGGGAGCTGCCTTTGGTGCCAATAAGCTGGCATGAACTACCATGTTGTTGAGAATGCTTATATTCGTGAGAGAGGTGATTGCTCTCCCTACTCTTTGATAAAGCTGGGGCGAGTACTTGGTGAGATGGATAGAGCCCTGATCCTGGGCAAAAGTGAAGGAAAGATCACGAAAGTGCTGACGAGGCTAAGGGAGAGCGATCCTGCTGTGGTTATGGATGGAACGAAGTTGATTGTTTCCTTCTGTTGCTCTCTACATGTTAAGTCTGCGTGCAATGCGTGGTTCGATCCACTTACTTGTGTAAAGTAAGGTTCACTTTTTGAACTTCTTAACTTTGTTTATCTGACCTTCGTCAAGGTTTCCGCGAACTGCAGTGGGTTCGTTTTATCCATTGTTGGCTACACATTATTAATTACTGTTCTACTACATGTAGCAATAATGCAGTAATAAGAACTTACTTGGGCTGCTCTAACAGTGAGCGACGCAGGCGCTTCATGTGGTTGTTCCATTCCTGGCCATTTGGGTTCGTCAGTCGATACTGCAGCTCCTCCTCCGAAATGCCTTCGGCCATATTTACAAGCGAGCCGAGAACAGTACGGATGTAGTTGGCACTATCCTTGTCCGGGCGGGTGCACTTGTAATTCCAGAGTCCCTTATCTGCATTGAAACCGAATTCCATGATAGCCTGGCGGTTGGGCGTTCTCAAGACGAGTTTGAGCACCACAGGTACATCCTTTGGGTCCAACCGCACGACCGAATCAAGCTCGACGAGAGAGTTGCGGGGACCGCCGCATGACAACTGAACACCATCACCTGCCTGGTTCAACGTGGCTAGGAAGTCTATAGTGATGAGATCCGACCACTTCCACTTCAAATATTCTGGGTGCGTGTTCGGCACGTATTTAGTGTTGGGGCAGAACACAATACCGTCCGTGTAATGCACACGTTTGTCATCACTGTATATGCGACCAAGACTGTGGTCACGCTTCTGCACACGCTGAATCTGGCGGAAAACATCCATGATATGGCGATGGTGCACCCATTTTTTACGCAAAATAAGCATGATAGCGTGGCGATTAATGTCCAGGTCACGGATGCCCGATGCATAGGGGCCACTACAATTCAAAAGGGATAAATGTAGACGCAAAAGTTAGACAGCATGTAGATTCTACACATGGCAAATGAAAATCGCACTCTTCCGACAGAAAATCGTTCAGTATCCGGAGGCGCTCAACGAATGGCTTGTCAACGTGAGAGTCTGCAGCTGATGAACCTGTCGCAATAATATCGAATACAATGAACACGTAGCGTTTATCCTTCTGGTGGAACTGCAGATCAAACATCACGAGTTAGTATCGCCGAAATGACAGGTAGTCGACTTCTGTCATGGATATTCAGCTAGTGTCGTCCTGGCAACTCACCACAAGCTCGCCGTCGAGCACTGTGCCTTCGGGCAGCACTAACTTTAGCAAATCCAAACCTGACGCAGTAAAGGGCGAATTGGAGCGATCGACCAGCACCGTGTTGCCGCCAGCCACAACGAGGAAGTAGCGAACGCCATCCGTCTTCTCTGAAACAAAATACTCGCGACTTTGCACAAGCGGAATATGCCAGCGCGCGAAACCAACAGGCATTGTTCCACTAAACTTGCCACGAATGCCCAGTCGCCCTTGGTAAGCATTCTGCACCTCCGTCGCACCCGGGAAGTCCCAATTGCGTTTGAATGCCTGGCCCGAATTGGGCATGAAATACTTTACCATCTTCCACAGCAGCGACGACGTTTCAATAGCACTCTTCCAACTTTGCCCATTTTCATCGGGTTGACTGAGCCATCGATTCACCGCGGGCTCGCTCAGCTCCACCTCAACTTCAAATAGGTTTTTATTCGTGCTCTCTTCCAGAACCTTGGTAAGGTCTACACGTAAATCACGTCCGACTGCCGACACGCGGTCCTTGTGGCGGATACTCTCAGCTGCAGGCATTTCACTCATATCTCCCTCCAGCTCACGCAAAGGGAACTCGCACGAGATGGACACGCGACAGTCGTACTGACAGTGTGGCATAAAAACGTCAATATTGCCAAGTCGTTCCTTTACTTGTACCATGGATTTGCCTCTTATGTTGGTCTGTGGGTCCACCTCCTGTACGATGCGCTTCGACTGCCCCATGTTGTGCACTACCTGTTTTTCCTTGTGCTCCGAATACGCGTCTCCTCGCAACATGCCCTCCACTCCACGCAAAAAGCCCTTGTAGTCCATCTCAGCTACACCGGGATTGAATTTAGCGCCTATAGCTTTGATCTGTGTGTCTGAGAGCACGACGGCCGCGTCCACCCCCTCCTGGGATGGGCGACAGCGTGCTTCTTGCAGACACGATGTGATGTGGCCAAGCCGCAGCTCTACCTCCACATTGGCACCAAAGCCCTTCTCATCAATGAGCGCTCGCATATCCAGTAGAAATTGAGCGATTGCAGTGTCAGGTGCCGCTGAGTTTTCGTCCACGGTGATGGTTTGGCCGCGACCTGCCGTGAGTTTCGCCACCTGTGCCTCCGCCTTCTTCGCTGTAAACGTCGATTCATTCGTACGGGACAGCGAGCTCAGCATACTGTCAAGTACATTACCTGATGAAATCTTGGAGTGAGCGCGCTTGGACATGGATGGCGTGCAGTGACCTCGAGAGCGCGTCTTCGAACAAATCTTCTTGTTGGCACGGTATTCTATTTCATGGGTAAACTGTTTTGATCCAGGCGTATTGTGTAAACCACACCAAGATGCCGTGTTGTCAAGCGTGGCAACGTACGATCAAAGAAGAGGGGCCGAGAAATCTGGCATCAAGACATTGTCACACTCACAAAGAGGCACTTCTGTTTCAGTGTCGCTCTTAAAAAAAAGTCATGCATGTTTCCTGATTGATACGATCAAAAGTACAGTAACACTTTAACTTCATAAACATATCCGATTAATGACAGTTCTAGCCAACTAAACACGACGAGAACAGCACGTCACAGCATTCGAGTGCCTGTTGCTCGCAACTGGTCGCGATAAAGGAAACGGTAGCGAGTTAGAGGCTCTCAAAAGTTTGAGCTGCTGAGATTTGCCATGATATAGACCCATCCACAGAATTCACTTCGCCATGACGCAACAACGCAAAAGCACCGCGAAAATGGACTCTATGCAGCTTTCGGGTTCGCAGACCAAGAGCAACAATCTTTCTCCCATCGCTGGGCATGACCTACGGCAAAGTCTCTTTATATTAAGGCGGCAATGCGTGCAAACGTTTCGACAACATACACTGGCTACACGACTGTGAAAAGATTCGCCCTGATTTCCGCACTTAGCAACGATTTATTACAAAAGTAAAGGTAAAGTGATGGGCAAGGCGCGATCCTACAACTGTGCACTACAGTGTCCACGTTGCAACGCGTTGCAATACGTACGATCGTTTGATATCAGCTGACAAACTGCGGCACTTAAGGTGCCTTGTTTCTCTTTATGCGTAAGCGCAGCCAACAAAGAGTATACTTGCCATGATTGGGTGCTCTTCATCTCGACCGTATATACCGACCTCGTCAAGTATAGAGAAAGAGAGATAATAGAGAGAGAGGTAGATGAGTTTATTTGATCGTTTAGAGGTTGCAGGATGTCTAATAGTTCCTAAGCTTGATTAGCAATGCCGGTGCTCGACGAGTCCGGTGATTGTACGGGGCTGGCCGCCTATGCTGATGCAGCATAGCAGCAGACGTGTACCGTTGTTCATAATCTTATAGACCGTACGAGCGGCGCGTTTGTCTAAAGTACGGCAGATGTAGCCCCCTGTATGACCGCTTTGCGCGGTTCATCGAGCTGACTAGTCCGATTGCCGAAGTACTGACGCGTGGCGCGGGGACACCGCTCCCCTCAACGACTGGCCCTTCGGACTTGGGAGTGACGCATGGCGTTGAGACGCTACCATCCGGTCCCTGTTCTGCTGTTTGCACGACCGGTGGCCACGTGAGATGCATGCCCGAGACATGACCTCACCCACTTCGGTCTTTGCGAGCCCACCTCGTCACATTGTTGTCAATTAATTGTCTCATGTACTTCTACATACCGTCACTGTTAAGAAAACTTACGCAATCCAAGTGTGTCACTGAAACGAGGGTATCCGTCGCGATCCTTTCCCCCTTTTCCCCCAGAGTCTCATTTCCGAATTTGGAACGTCGAGCAAAGACGAAGATCTTCGGCTGGAAACTTCCTACACCGGCGCTGCGTGGTAGCCGATCTAACACCATTAACAGCAACATGACGCAATTCGACGCATATCGCAACAAGATGCAGGCCGCTGGCCTGTCCACGGAGGCCATCATGGCTTTCGAGTACTCGTACGAGGCCCTCGTGAGTGGCGAGACGGGCATGATCGCTGAGGACTCCATCAAGCCATCTGACAACCTCCCGTACCTTGAGAACAAGGCCGACTGCATCCGTGAGTCGATCAAAGCCGACCCGGAACTTCTCAAGGAGACGGTCGTGCTCAAATTGAACGGCGGCCTTGGCACAAGCATGGGTCTGGACAAGGCAAAGTCACTGTTGACTGTCAAGGGCGACGACACCTTCCTGGACATTATGGCCAAACAAGTGACGGAGCTACGCAATACCCACAAGTCTCATGTGCGTTTCGTTCTTATGAACAGCTTTAGCACGAGCGCAGACACTCTTGAGTATTTGCAAAAGTACCCGGAGCTCGTTGAGGACGAGACCCTGGAGCTGCTGCAAAACAAGGTGCCCAAGGTGGACGCCTCTACCATGGAGCCGGCTACGTACTCGCCCAACCCCTCCAAGGAGTGGTGCCCCCCGGGTCACGGTGACCTGTACGCATCTCTGGCTGGGTCGGGCAAACTAGACAAGCTCGTCGCTGACGGCGTCAAGTACATGTTTGTATCCAACTCGGACAATCTGGGAGCTACTCTCGATCTGGACTTGCTGACTTATTTCGCACAGTCGGGCAAGCCTTTCCTCATGGAGTGCTGTGAGCGCACGGAAAACGACAAGAAGGGTGGACATCTGGCTGAGCGCATAGCTGATGGCCACCTCATTCTTCGTGAGTCGGCCCAGTGCGCTGAAGACGATGAGAAGGAGTTCCAGAACATCACCAAGCACCGATACTTTAACACGAACAATCTGTGGATCCGTCTTGACAAGCTTCAAGAAGAGCTGAAGCATCAGGGAGGTGTCATCCGTCTTCCAATGATCAAGAACTCAAAGACCGTAGACCCTAAGGATGCGAGCTCGACTCCGGTGTTCCAATTGGAGACTGCCATGGGTGCTGCCATTGAGTGCTTCGACGGGGCTGGCGCTGTTTGTGTACCACGCACGCGTTTTGCCCCTGTGAAAAAGTGCGATGATCTGATTCTGCTGCGTTCGGATGCATACGTGATCACTGAGGATTACCGTCCCATTATCGCACCTGAGCGTGAGGGCGTGGCTCCCATCGTGTCGCTTGACTCGAAATGTTTCAAGCTAGTGCAGCAACTGGAGGCCGCGGTTCGTGGCAATGTGCCGTCACTGGTAAGGTGTGATCGCCTGAAGGTTACGGGTAACGTTGGTTTCGCGCCGGGCGTCGTATTTGAGGGATCCGTTGAGGTCGTGAACAAGAGCGCGGAGCAAAAGACTGTCCTTGCTGGCACGTACAAGGACACTACCGTTGACCTCACCGAGCAGAAGGGCCTGGGCAAGCTGAAAGTGACGACCGTGAAGACCGCTCCGTTCCAGGATCAGAAGCCCGGCACCTCCGGTCTGCGTAAGAAGACCAAGACGTTCATGAGCGACAACTACCTGCAGAACTTTGTGGCTTCAGTGCTCTGTGCACTTCCTGCTAAGGACCTAAACGGCGGAACGCTCGTTGTGTCCGGCGATGGCCGCTACTTCAACAAGGAGGCCACCCAAATTATCGTCAAGATGGCCGTGGCTTATGGTGTCGACCGTCTTTGGATCGGTAAGGATGGTTTACTGAGCACGCCGTGCGTTTCAGCTGTTGTGCGTGAGCGTGAAGGTGGCAGTGTTGCATTCGGTGCGTTCATCTTGTCGGCCAGCCACAACCCTGGTGGCCCGAACGAGGACTTTGGCATTAAATACAACTGTGAGAACGGCGGCCCTGCCCCTGAGAAGGTCACGGATGAAATCTTCTCTCTGTCGAAGGTGATCACGTCGTACAAGATCGCTGCGGACTTCCCCACAATTGACTTAGCCACAATTGGCACAACAACTATCGCTGCTGACGATGGCAGCCGTACAATCACGGTTGAGGTATTCGACTCGGCTGAGCACCACGTGACTTTGTTAAAGCAAATCTTCGACTTCCACGCCATTAAGAAGTTAGTATCGCGCTCGGACTTTACGTTCGCCGTGGACTCGATGTCGGGTGTGAACGGTCCGTATGCACGCCGTGTGTTCGTGGAGGAGCTGGGCTGCGACGAATCGTGCCTGCTGAACGCCACTCCTATGGAGGACTTTAACGGCGCCCACGCAGATCCGAATTTGACGTACGCAAAAACTTTGATCAAGGTCATGGGAGTCGATTCCAACGGTCTGCCTGTGCACGGCCAGGACCAAGAGCCGCCTTCGTTCGGTGCCGCTTGGGATGGCGATGCTGACCGTAACATGATTTTGGGCTCGCGCTTTTTCGTAACGCCTTCGGACTCCCTTGCCATCATTGCTGCCAACTGCACGGTGATTCCGTTCTTTAAGAACGGTCTGCGTGGCGTGGCTCGCTCGATGCCTACGAGCGGTGCTGTGGACCTCGTGGCAAAGAAGCTGAACGTGCCTTTTTTCGAGGTGCCGACAGGCTGGAAGTTTTTTGGTAACTTGATGGACTCAAATGTCGTGTTCGGCAAGGAGGACTACACTCCTTTCATCTGCGGCGAGGAGAGCTTTGGTACGGGCTCGAACCACATCCGTGAGAAGGATGGTATGTGGGCCGTGTTGAGCTGGCTGTCGATCCTGGCGTCAAAGCAGGTGGACGGCGCTCCGCTCGTGACTGTGGAGGACGTCGTCCGCGATCACTGGAAGAAATTCGGCCGCAACTACTACTGCCGCTATGACTACGAGAATGTGGACAAGGCCGCTGCTGAGGCTATGTTTGCAGACATGACCAAGTTTGATGGTGTTGTGGGCAAGGAGATTAATGGTTTTAAGATTGAAAAGGCTGATGAGTTCGAGTACGTGGACCCAGTGGACGGCAGCGTATCGTCACACCAGGGTATCCGCTTCCTGTTTGAGGGTGGATCGCGCGTTGTCTTCCGCCTATCTGGCACGGGCGTTGCCGGTGCGACCATCCGTATGTACATTGAGAAGTACGAAGAGGCGACGGGCAACTTGGACCAGAACGCCGCTGTGGCGCTGGAGAAGCTGATCGATGTGGGTCTGAAGCTGTCGGACCTGGTGAAGAAGACCGGTCGCAAGGCCCCCACGGTCATCACTTAAGGGGCCTGCTTCGAAGTTGGCAGTCTTGTCATGTGTAGCGTCATGTGCTGTCTCTGCCTTCACCGCGCTCTAATGCATCTTGCATGGCGTAGTTACTATGTAGTAAGTCGGCCAAACCGCCATCTCGCATTGACAAATTCACAAAAATAACAAACCCCTGAATATAGTTGGTGACCTTCATCTTACGTTTACATTTGCAACTACTTCGCTTGGCTGCATTCCTGATCATGAAACTCCTGCGTCTGTTGTTTACTAAGTCGCTTGAACAGACGAAACTCCGCTGGTAGCTCCGCTTCAGAAAACATTTGCTCTGCAAAGTAGATTCGGCGCACTCGACAGCTCGCATGTAGCTGCACACTGATAGCGTGGACATAATGTACGTCGTAGCAAGTGAGCACGAGGTTAGCCAGGTCGAGGTGAAGTTGATTCCACCTTACGTCCAAGTGCAAAGGAAGCAGGGCAATCTGAGGATGCACAACAGTCTTCTTCTGAAACGTGGAGAAGCGGAGCCGCCTTCTCGTGGCGTGGTTGTCGGCCACATGCACTTCCAATGAAACGTGCTGCCCGAGATTCTTAAGCACCATTACTAAATGTCGCAGTCGTATATGCAACGACGTCCTGCATGTCATCAATTCTTGCTCCTGCTGCTCTTCTACCCCAGAAGGAAACCGCAGCCAAGTGTTGACGAGGTTGTCGGCTGAAAGCTCTACTACGGACGACTGCACCTCCTCGTCCAACACTCGTCGGATACTTCCAGGCACTTCCTCGTGCTTCTCGCAGAGCTGCAGTGGTCGAGGGCTGTAGTCATTACAGTAGATTATGAAAAGTTAGATGTGAAGTATGGGCAACTATTGCCTACAGCACATACCCGATGCTGTAGAGCAGTGAGATGAAGCCTGACTGGTACGCCTGTGCAAACATCGATAGGCCACACTATGTGCATGTATCCGATTTTTAGCCAAAACACTACCTTTTTTTAGGGACGAATAGGTTTTTAAGCAACGATTTGATATTCGACGAATTATTTGTTGTAGCGTACGTAAAAAAAAGTTTACATATCTAAAAAATAATATAATCAAAAATCTGACCGAAATTGTAACGGGGTGATTATACAGTATTAGATAGTTAAACTATCTTAAATACAGCTCTCTTTTTCCCAACTTATAAGCGTGTCCGGTTAAAGGTATAAATCTTTCTCTGCTAACCTCGTGTACGTGAGCTTTCAGATCCCCTACTTACACTGTCACCAGTGTAGGTAGATTATACTGTGTCAGTATAATCGAAGAGCGCCCCCATTACACCTGGTAGCACTTCGTGGTCCGTTCGACGACCGTACCATCCGCTATGTAATCAGCGGATGCAGAACGTCATCACGCAATGCCTGATGACTTTCGCCATGTGAGTGATCTTGAATGGAAGGCGGTGCAGCGTATGGTTGAAACTATTGGCAACCCTGCAGTTGGTGCCATGTTACTGTCTCTTAGCGGAGAAGAACAACATGCAACCATCGCCAAGCTCATACAACCTTAACTTGACAAAGTCTTTTAGAAATTCGCCTTGCTACAGAAGAAAGTTTATCAACAGGTAGACCTGTTGAGAGAACTAGGCGCTCAACAAGCTGACTTGTTGATGCAGCAGGGTGCTCAACAGTCTGAATTGTTAACACAACAGCAGGCTAGTGCTGCCACGTCGTATGTGACGCGAGCAATTTCGCTATAGGATGTGCTCTCATTGCCCAAGTTGCATGATCAACTCGTTTAATGTGCCAAAGAATGCTTACCTCCTTACTGAGTCCTATTGGAGGGTTAGAGATGCGCGAAGAAATTGCAATCTATTTACAGGAGAGCTAGGCGCTTGTTTTCCAATGTCCCTACTGAGTCATTGCGTACTGCTCGACAAGGCCAAGAATGTCTGCCATTAATTAATTGGTCACGAGGTTTACAGCTATCCGCCGAAGGCGGATAAACGCGTCGTCGTACGAGGTAACTCGGTCTACTCTCTTCACCTTGCGGTGGTATAAGAAAAGTTGCACAAGAAAACGATTGTCACTACAAGAGACTATCAGCGGATGCGGGGTGGTAAAAACGTGGTTTGAATCTTCCGTCGAATGTGATAGCCGAGCTAGGTCGGCTTGTCACGTCTCGTGGGTTACGTTGGGACGTGGACTGCGAGCGGGACATGCGTCACCGCATGAGGGGCTTTGTGCAACAGCTTGAGTTTGACCGATCGAAAGCTTGTGACGATTATGCTTTTACGCGGCTGGAGAGCAAGCAGATGCTTTACTCTCTGCGTAACGATCTGGCGGCAGCTCGTCAGGATGTCGCCCAGCACCATGATGAGATATCGTATATAAACCACCAGGCTTCGATTTTGCTTATCGACCACAAGAAATTGAAAGAATTTTTTTGAGAGTGATGGCTATCTTCGTCGTTCGAAAAAGCCGCGTACTATATGTACGGAAGAAGACGTCCCACGTATAACGTAGGATGCGTACGCATCTTACGTGGCAGCTCGATCGTGTATGCGTTGCTTAGGCGGCACAATACACGAAATGGGCCGATGTACTTGGGAAACAATTTATTTTTGCTCACATTATTTACTACGTGTTTAAGTAAATTTACTGTCGACAGTAAAACTAAGTCACCCTAAATAGAAGAATGAGCGTTGGCCGTTCCATTATTGCTTGCGTTCCGTTTCTGTTTACCTATTGCTTTGGCGTGGAGTGTTGCACGAAGCGGACAACCGCTTCTAAATCCAAAAGAAAACTCTCTGCTGACTCGTTGCTTTTGGCTCCAGTGCATTTTGAATACACTGCATGATTAGCTGAGCGGGAATATCAGTGTTCTTGCTGGTGATACCTCGAACGATGCTGACTTCGTCACGTCGTCATCAGTAAATCGTCATCGCTTTAATTTATTTCTTCTCCATTGAAGTCGAATGGCACGACTTCAATTACTTTAGCCTCGCCCATAACGTCGGCGCGTGATGAGAAAGAGCCAAATTGGTTCTTGCTCGAGCGAGTCCCTCCACGTATCCTAATCGCCTAGACTATTTGGGAGCGCCTTCTCTCAAACGATCATGCCGATCAATTCACATATCGTAACCTACAACCCCGTACCGCACGCAAACGTGCGTCGGCCCAACAGTCTCACGAATGCATCGCACAACTACATGCTTCCTGTTTTCGCTCATATGATCTTCACAAACACGAGTCGGAAGCTTCCCTCATCGCACTGTCTGGTCAATAAGAAGCCTTCACACGTTGTTATAGTCGTGCAAGCTGCCAATTCATCATACGAAGCTCTGATTGTCGCGTACCAGCATCCCTGTCGTCACACCATACGGCGTGTCGGCGGCAGAAAAAGCAAAAAAGCAAAATTCCCCAACCGGGACTCGAACCCGGGTCGCGTGGGTGAAAGCCACGTATCCTAACCGCCTAGACTATTTGGGAGCGCCTTCTCTCAACCGATCATGCCGACCAAATCACATATTGTAACCTACAACTACATACCGCACGCAAACGTGCGTCGGCCCAACAGTCTCACGAATGCATCGCACAACTACATGCTTCCTGTTTTCGCTCATATGATCCTCACAAACACGAGTCGGAAGCTTCCCTCATCGCACTGTCTGGTCAATAAGAAGCCTTCACACGTTGTTAGAGTCGTGCAAGCTGCCACTTCATCATACGAAGCTCTGATTGTCGCGTACCAGCATCCCTGTCGTCACACCATACGGCGTGTCGGCGGCAGAAAAAGCGAAAAAGCAAAATTCCCAAACCGGGACTCGAACCCGGGTCGCGTGGGTGAAAGCCACGTATCCTAACCGCCTAGACTATTTGGGAGCGCCTTCTCTCAAACGATCATGCCGATCAATTCACATATCGTAACCTACAACCCCGTACCGCACGCAAACGTGCGTCGGCCCAACAGTCTCACGAATGCATCGCACAACTACATGCTTCCTGTTTTCGTTCATATGATCCTCACAAACACGAGTCGGAAGCTTCCCTCATCGCACTTTAAGAAGCCTTCACACGTTGTTAGAGTCGTGCAAGCTGCCACTTCATCATACGAAGCTCTGATTGTCGCGTACCAGCATCCCTGTCGCCACACCATACGGCGTGTCGGCGGCAGAAAAAGCGAAAAAGCAAAATTCCCAAACCGGGACTCGAACCCGGGTCGCGTGGGTGAAAGCCACGTATCCTAACCGCCTAGACTATTTGGGAGCGCCTTCTCTCAAACGATCATGCCGATCAATTCACATATCGTAACCTACAACCACGTACCGCACGCAAACGTGCGTCGGCCCAACAGTCTCACGAATGCATCGCACAACTACATGCTTCCTGTTTTCGTTCATATGATCCTCACAAACACGAGTCGGAAGCTTCCCTCATCGCACTAAGAAGCCTTCACACGTTGTTAGAGTCGTGCAAGCTGCCACTTCATCATACGAAGCTCTGATTGTCGCGTACCAGCATCCCTGTCGCCACACCATACGGCGTGTCGGCGGCAGAAAAAGCGAAAAAGCAAAATTCCCAAACCGGGACTCGAACCCGGGTCGCGTGGGTGAAAGCCACGTATCCTAACCGCCTAGACTATTTGGGAGCGCCTTCTCTCAAACGATCATGCCGATCAATTCACATATCGTAACCTACAACCCCGTACCGCACGCAAACGTGCGTCGGCCCAACAGTCTCACGAATGCATCGCACAACTACATGCTTCCTGTTTTCGTTCATATGATCCTCACAAACACGAGTCGGAAGCTTCCCTCATCGCACTAAGAAGCCTTCACACGTTGTTAGAGTCGTGCAAGCTGCCACTTCATCATACGAAGCTCTGATTGTCGCGTACCAGCATCCCTGTCGCCACACCATACGGCGTGTCGGCGGCAGAAAAAGCGAAAAAGCAAAATTCTCAAACCGGGACTCGAACCCGGGTCGAGTGGGTGAAAGCCACGTATCCTAACCGCCTAGACTATTTGGGAGCGCCTTCTCTCAACCGATCATGCCGACCAAATCACATATTGTAACCTACAACCACGTACCGCACGAAACGTGCGTCGGCCCAACAGTCTCACGAATGCATCGCACAACTACATGCTTCCTGTTTTCGCTCATATGATCCTCACAAACACGAGTCGGAAGCTTCCCTCATCGCACTGTCTGGTCAATAAGAAGCCTTCACACGCCTTCTCTCAACCGATCATGCCGATCAATTCACATATCGTAACCTACAACCCCGTACCGCACGCAAACGTGCGTCGGCCCAACAGTCTCACGAATGCATCGCACAACTACATGCTTCCTGTTTTCGCTCATATGATCCTCACAAACACGAGTCGGAAGCTTCCCTCATCGCACTAAGAAGCCTTCACACGTTGTTAGAGTCGTGCAAGCTGCCACTTCATCATACGAAGCTCTGATTGTCGCGTACCAGCATCCCTGTCGTCACACCATACGGCGTGTCGGCGGCAGAAAAAGCGAAAAAGCAAAATTCTCAAACCGGGACTCGAACCCGGGTCGAGTGGGTGAAAGCCACGTATCCTAACCGCCTAGACTATTTGGGAGCGCCTTCTCTCAACCGATCATGCCGACCAAATCACATATTGTAACCTACAACCACGTACCGCACGAAACGTGCGTCGGCCCAACAGTCTCACGAATGCATCGCACAACTACATGCTTCCTGTTTTCGCTCATATGATCCTCACAAACACGAGTCGGAAGCTTCCCTCATCGCACTGTCTGGTCAATAAGAAGCCTTCACACGCCTTCTCTCAACCGATCATGCCGACCAATTCACATATCGTAACCTACAACCCCGTACCGCACGCAAACGTGCGTCGGCCCAACAGTCTCACGAATGCATCGCACAACTACATGCTTCCTGTTTTCGCTCATATGATCCTCACAA